GATAGTCTAGAGAGCGGCGTGGTCACTTTGCGTAGGGAGCGGCAGAGCTGGGCGGCTATAACAGAAACGGCAGCACCTGTGTCGACGAAGGCAAAGGTAGAAACACCATCGACAGATATGGGGACGACGTTAGCAGGTGAAGTGCGAGGACTCGAGCATTTCGACGACGGCGCAGTTCTGGCCTCTGTAACTGCGAAGTTCAGTTTTCCCGGTTGGAGGAAGCGGGTCGGGGACGCAATGGGGACAGTGATCGCCTGCGAGGAGATGGGAAGCGGGAAGAGTGAGTCTGAGACGGGGGCTGGCGTGACTGAGACTCGGGAAGGTTACTGTAGCTATACTGCACTGAGGGATAGGGAGCAGGCAGGTGCATGGGCTGTGGGTCATACGGTAGTGGCCGAGTAGTGTCGTGGAGTGGTTGGAAGCGACGACGACGATATCGTGCCACGTGTCCTGGAGTACCGCAGACGTAGCAGATCGGTCGATTGTCAGGAGTGCGCCAGGAATCGCTGACTCGCGGTGCGACCCAAGGTGTCGAAAAAGGGGTGGAGTGGGGAGCAACTCAAGACATGGGTGGCAAATGCTGCTGGCAGAGTGTGCTGCGTACCACCTGGGCATACATAAGAAGTGCGACCATGGCCTGCATAGACAACGAATGGGGAACAGGCATGGCCACAGGCTGCTGGTGGGCAGCGACGGGAACAGCCTGAGCTAGCTCTTCGGCAATAATGTCGCGGAGTGGTGAGGGCAGACGAGAGGACGGCGGCTGCTGCGTGAAGGGAATCAACAACAGTTGCCAAGCTACTTCTTCACGCACAAAGTCTTTAATTTCTTGCAGGGTTGGTGAGTGATCGGGAACAGAAGTAAGACTGGAGAGCGAGTCGGCGTGGGTGAAAAATGGCCGAGTCAGGGCGCGCTGCTTCCTCAACTCGTCGAAACTTTGACATAAAGTGAGAAGTTCCGTAACGGTGGCAGGATTACGGGCCAGGAGCATCTGAAATGCGCCATCATTTATCCCTTAGAGGATGTGCTGAATCTTCTCCGACTCGGGCATGGTGGTGTTCACACGGTTGCAAAGACCAATAATGTCTTCGATGTAACTGGTGAACGATTCCGTTGGCTTCTGTGCGCGAGTCTGCAAGCGTTGTTCCGCTCTGGACTTCCGGACAGCGGGTTGGCCAAAAACATCAGCAAACGACGTTTTGAAGATAGACCACGTCGTAATGTCATTTTTGTGGTTGTTATACCACATTTCGGCCACATCAGCGAGGTAAAAGATGACGTTAGTCAACTTGTCCACATCATCCCACTTGTTGTTTGCGCTCATCAGTTCGTAGTTAGTGAACCAGTCTTCCACGTCAGTCTCATCAGCTCCGCTAAAGACCTTGGGCTCTCGCAAGAGAAGAATGCCAGGGTTGCTGGAGGATGGAGTGGAAGAGCCAGGTTGTGCCTTGTTGGTGGCCATGATGGGAGGTAGCGTTTGGTTGCACAGCTCCAGGTTTAGGCGACGGCCAATGGCAGCAGCCAGGTTCAGGCGACGGGTGCCGTCAGCACCATCCACCAATTGAAAAGGGGTTTATTGGCGTGTGCTGCTACGGTGGCCCTACGACGAAAACACGATCGGGACAGAGCAACGGTCAAGCAGGTGCCGGTGACGATCAGCACGAGAAGCCCAGAACCCAGTACCCAAGCGGTGGCAATGTTGCTTGCCAACGATACGTTTTCTTCTTCACAGTATGCACAATCATTTACAAAGTCCCCCACAAAATCTTTTGCAAAAATACACACTGTACAATGCTTGTATCCGACCTCTGTTTGCCTTACTATTCGACATTATGAACAACTCAACGTGTAGTACGTATGTGTTTAGCTTCCCTTAAAGGGGCCCTGCAGCACAATTTGAGCATGTCTTTTTCATCGGTTTTTATGGTGCTGTGCAATGTGTTGATATCATTGCACTATAGTGGCAACATCGAAACCGAAGCTGTTATAATTCTAATTCATGGGATAAACTATCTTCATTTCCGGCTACAGTATCACACATTGAGTATTTTTGTTGTGAGAGGTGACGTCATCTCATGTGACAGTGACGACAAAGGCCATTCATTTTTTATTGGCTCGTAGCGCAGAATATTCATGTGGTATTCATGTGGAATATTGTGTGCACAAGTAGCGCTCAATATTCATGTGGTAATAGCTAGGCGATACGAGTGAATGCTTAAAACAATAAAAGCCCTTTTAGATTTTTTTACACAAAAATAATCTGTTTCTAAATAAGGTGTTTTTGGAACAGACACGACACCTAGTCAGTGAACGCAGCTATGACATGCCAGCAACTAAAGGTTGAAACGCATGCAGCATTTTTAGTGAGCCGAAAATGCGACATGCGGCAGATGCCGTGGTTGCCGTCAAACGTGTCTTGCATGCAAACTGAGAAGTGTCTCCATCTAAATAATATGTATCTTAAACAGTGGGCAATGGGAGCGTCTGCCACCCGACGTACGTGGTAGTGCGTCGGGCAGCAGACGCCGTCGCTAATGAGAGCAGTAGCGAGGTACTGTGTGAAAGTCACCATGAGGCGTTATTTTCGGTAATATGTCCGTGTGAGACGCGTACGGTGATTGGAAACGGCTTCTGACGCCGGCAGGAGAGTGAAATGCAAAAGGCAATGTTTCTCCTCCTCGTCTGCTCTAGTTTTGAACTCCGAGGTCTAGTAACTTCAATTTTCGTGCTTCAATTTGCATGATCATTGTTTTATTCATCTTTGCATTCATTACTACACGCATTACACCGCTAATTGAGGCTTTTGTAAAAGTGTTGCAGGGCCCCTTTAACGGGGCTACTACTTCCAAGAAATGGGAACCACTCGTACTGATTAAATGGCACTGTTTTGGAGATGCTGTCAAACGAGGTATTAAAATTGAAGTGCAGTACATGCCCTTGAAGGAAAATGAGCAAGGTGCAAGTGTCAATTGCTTGCACAGCAGCAGTATAGGCTCCACATCAGGTTTGCTCTAGTAAGCTTCACAACACAGCACGTCACGCAGCAACAGATGATTAGAGAGAAAGGTAGCTGTTGTGTACTGTTGAAATAACATGAAAGGCCTCTCTGTATAATACAAGTGTTCCTCAAGAAAGCATATTATGCACATTCTTCACTATGAAAACATGCATATAATTTTGTTTTAGCCGAATGCTTCATTAAATGCTGTACCTTATAAGAGCTGCACATCTCCACAGAGCTTGATCAAGTGTACAGTGCAAGTTGCCTTTAGTTGCATTTGCTATGCTTTACTGAGCCTGCACTCACAGCAAGGGCATTATTTTAATAAAGCAGGAATGCATTACTACCTTTAGTGTGCCTATACACACTGGGTAGCTGGACAAGCCAAATTGCCGCACCATACTATAATTGATGCACTACGGTAGGCTCATGATCTCAGCACCTCCTATTCCTGCTGTTATAGGTGGAAGCACAGGGAAATTTTTGTTGAACACCCACAATAATGACTCATAGAAGGGGGAACATGTATTACACAAACTTTGTGGGGTGCAGTTTTAGTCGGATGTGAAACAGTGAAGCACACTGCATGTCCTCTTCATTACTGTACTTTTCCCAATACCACTGCAGTGGGAGATTTCCCGCACAGGTCTTTCTCGTGTGATTGTGCTCTCAAAACAAAGTGGGTTGCACACCAATCATCTTACTGTGCTCCTTTGATCCAGCAAACTTCGCTTACTGCCTATCGTAAGCTTCACTGTTGACCACAAACGATGGTCCAGTCGTTATGGTGCTCACCTGCCAACCCAAAGGTCGTGGGATTTAATATCAGCTGTGGCAGCTGCATTTTCGTCAAGGCAAAACATCAGAGGGCTGTGCTGTAGCTCTGGCATGTAAAACCCTCAAGTTGTTATTTAGCCATGAAGATTTTTCTTAAAACCAACGTTTTGCAGTGTATTGTAAGTATTGATACAGTATGAGCCGGGCCATGTTTTGGGGACAAAGGTAGAGGAAGAGGAAGTTACTTGGTTCGGCCTATGTTCGCCATCGTCGCCTGATCTCTCCTGTAAATAAACATACCTAGTTAAACTCAATCTAACCATAACAGTTTTATGGTAGAGGTGCGGGGTACCTAACCAAGCAACGCGGTTCTGCAACAACCTGAGCTACCCCGAAGCCGCCGCATTGCTTGGCTACCCCCATTACCGCTGGTGGTCGAGATGTGAAACCCTGAACCCCGCAGCTTACGGCACTGCACCACCAGTTACAGCGACACCTTTACTACTGATGTCATCCGCGGCTGTTCTTTGGCAGCGTCAGCATCTGATAGAACCCCGTCCTTTCGGGGGCAAATCTGGCGAGGACGTGGACGATTGGCTCAAACATTACAAGCGGGTGAGCAACTGCTACTCTTAGGACGCGGCAAATCAGTTGACTAACGTGGTGTTCTTCTTGAGCGACACGGCGCTCACATGGTATTAGAACCATGAGGCCGCCCTCACAACTCGGGAACGCTTCGTGTCCGAAATCAAGGAGTGTTTCTGGGACACCGTGGCAAAGAGTAAGCAAGCCGAACAAATGCTGCTGCAAAGAGCCCAGGTCCCAGGCAAAACATGCACGATGTACATCGAGGCGATCCTGAAACTATGCAAGACCGCTAACTCTTGCATGTCCGAGGAGGACGAATTCGGCCACCTTTTGAAGGGCATCGCAGAGGATGTTTATCACTTTCTTATCGGCAAAGACAGCATTGGTACAGTAGCCGATGTCATACCGTACTGTCGCACGTTTGAGACGCTGAAGATGAGGCGCATTATTCCTAAATTTGGTCGATTACCTAATGTGACCACGGTAGCGAGTGTTAACAACTACGCGCCTTCTGATCTTGCGTCTACAATACGTGAGATCGAAGAACTCAGTCGACACACTCGCGCGATGCTTTGCGAAGTTACACCCTTGCCGGTTCCAGACCAGCATCAGCATCCTGTTTCCATTGCTGCAGCAGGCATCGAGGAGTATGACTACGCTTCTGGCACACCACCGAGGTCGCAGCGCAGTCACTACCAAGACACCAGGCACCAGTGCCGCTTCAGTTACCCTCGACAGCTGGCCGCCGCCTATCAGAACCCGATTGAATACGCACCTGTGTCACCACGCCCTGGCGATGATTTCCAAAATGCATATCGTCAACCTCCTGTGTGCTACAGCTGTGGTGCTCCAGGACACATTGCTCGGTTCTGCCGTCGGCAGAGAGAGATGACATTGAGATACGAGCCATCGTCAAGACCTCCTCGCGGTGGCCACAATTATTACGACGATCTTTGGTGGTCCACGTATCCCAATAGCACCCTACGACAAGAGAGCCGGCGTGGAACCTCCCCCACTTCTGATTGTAGCTTGACACCTCCGCCTGGCCGAACGCATTGCTCTCCTTCATCTCTACGGCGACGGTCGCCACCACCACTGCCGGGAAACTAGCCGGCACGGCCGATGGAGGTGAGATTGCACAACAGGATTAGCCTCATATACCTCCGCCAGTTACGCTGGACAAAAACCGGATATGTGTGTCAATAGACGGATTGTGTGCAACGGTTTTAGTAGGTACTGGTGCCACAGTTTGTTATGAGCAGTTTGTTTAAAGATGGATTAGGCCGCAAAGTTATGTTTTTCTATCAGGATTCTGGTAGATTTCGTGGCGTGGGCGGGGACATACTTCAACCCGTAAGAGTATGTGCCGTCAACGTGTGGTTGGTGAGAAAGGCGTTCCCAACTGAGTTTCTGATTCTGAAATGATGTACACATGATGTTATTCTCGGCATTGACTTCCTCCAAGAGTGTGGCGCTTTCGTCAACTGTGGTACAGGTGAAGTTTCTGTTAGCGGTGGTGATGCCCTTCCCGTCCTAGCTGAGCAGCAGCTGCCTCCAGAAGACTTACTGACTCTTTCCAAAAAGCTGACATTACCACCTTGGTCTATGAGTTCTGTAGCCATATCTACTCCAATAGCTGCAGTATCAGTCATTGATGCCGTCGTTCAACCTCTTATGGTTCAGTGTGCAAAGAAAGATGTAATAGTGCCTCATTCGATTACTTTAATTACTAATGACTATGCACATTTTTGTGGGCACTTAATTCTTCGTCTGCGCGGATCATCCTTCCTTGAGGAATGAAGCTCGCACTGTTCCATGGTGTTACGAAAAATTCTATTGTTGCCATCAACGATGAGGAAAGTGAGAAACGCGTGGGCACCTCTAAACGGAGTACTTTTCATGAGTCCCACATTTTGAGCATGGTTAGCAAGACACTACGGTCACATAAACAACAATTGGTCCAACTATTACAACGACATGGGTTAGTGTTTGACTTCCGTGAAAAGGGTAAGTGACTGTCTTTACCATTACCATGTTCTCGACGACAGTGTACCATCAACACGGGCTTTGCCCATCCGGTTCGGCAAAAGCCTTACAGGGTGTCGGCATCCGAGCGGAAAGTTATAGCTTAACAAGTTCAGGACATGTTGCAGAAGGGCGTTATGAAAGGGTCGTGCAGCCCGTGGGCAGCACCTGGGATTTTGGTTCGCAAGAAAGACGGTTCCTGGAGGTTTTATGTTGATTATAGACGATTTAATGCCTTGACAAAAAAGGATGTATATCCGCTGCCTCAGATCGGTGACATAATTGACTGTCTAAATTCTGCTTCATACTTTTCTTCACTCGATCTGTGATCAGGATATTGGCAGATCCCCATGCACCCTGCTGACAAGCAGAAAACGGCATTTGTAACACTGGATGGACTATATATCAGTTCAATGTGATGCCATTTGGGCTATACAATTCCCCCGCAACTGTTGAAAGATTTATGGACTCGATTATTCGCGGGCTGAAATGGGAGATCTGTATGTGCTATCTGGACGACGTTGGCTGCACATTCGAAGAACATAACGTTCCTATGAACCTCGTTCTAGACTGTGTGAGAAAGGCTGGCTTGGTCTTGAACTCCAAGAAGTGTCGGTTTGGTGAACGGCAGGCCTTGATCCTTGGCCATTTGGTAGACAAAGATGGGTCAGGCCTGACCCCCGGAAAATTGAAGCGGTCAGCGCCTTTAAGCCACCCATGTCTGTAAAAGAACTTCGCAGCTTTCTCGGGTTATGTTCTTATTTTTGACGCTTTGTGCCTAAATTTGCGGATATCGTGTACCCATTGACCAGCCTCTTGCAAAAAGACAGTGCATTCGAGTGGACATCTGAATGTGACGCTGCGTTCTGTCACCTCTAATTTCTGCTGACATCAGAGCCAATTCTCCGTCACTTTTACCCATCTGCTCCTACGGGAGTACACAGCGACGTTAACGGTATTGGCATCGCTGGCATTCTTGTTTAGCGTTTTAATTACAGAGAGCATGTCGTTGCATATACAAGTCGTTCCCTCAGCAAGGCTGACAAAATTTACACTGTGACCGAACAAGAATGCTTGGCAGCCGTATTTGCTATTCAGAAGTTTTGTCGTTACCTGTATGGGCGTCCTTTCACGATTGTAACAGACCATCATTCCCTACGCTGGCTCGTTACTCTCCGAGACCCTTCTGGACGCCTTGCACGCTGGGCTCTATGCCTCCAGGAATTTGACTTTAATGTTGTATACAAAAGTGGACGGCGTCATATCGACACCGATTATTTTCTCGCCTTCCATTGCCTACGACTGACGACAATACAGACACATTCAACAGCTTCTTTGCTACTGTTCCACGCGCATTTCCTGATGTCACCATGGTCCAGCGGGAACAGCGCAATGACTTGACTTTAGACTCGTTATTCACCACTGTCAAAAGCCCCGAGGGCGGTGGTCGCTTTTGTCTTTGCGATCGACTGTTGTACAAGGTCAATTTCTCGGCAAATAGTGCGCAATATTTGCTAGTGGTTCCCCAAAGCATGCGTTACGACGTCCTCCAATTCATGCATGATGACCCGACGTCTGGCCATCTTGGATTCATCCGCAATTCGCATCATACACAAGAGTGCTTCTACTGGCCTAAAATGCGACAATGCACGAAGCAATACGTCTCCAGTTGCGACAAATGCCAGCACCACAAATATCCTACAAGCAGTCCGCATGGCCTACTTCACCCTATAACGCCGCCCACAACACCTTTCGAACAAGTCGGTATCGACCTGCTAGGACCGTTTCCGCGGTCTTGCAACAACAACCACTGGATCATAGTCTGCGTCGATAACCTTACTAGATATGCGAAAACTGCTGCGATACCATCTTCCACAGCGGATTACGTGACCTCTTTTTTGTTACGATCCATCATTCTTCGCCATGGTCCACCTCGTGTCATCATCAGTACTGGGACTTGCCAATGTGTGTTACTTAAACCGCTCTTCTTCAGCATAGCTTATGCAATATGAAAATCAAATGTATACATGTTTAAGGCAGCGAACAATGAAATAATCACAAAACATAGAGGCGGTATAGATGCTTGTATTTAATGAGTGCAGTAATAAGAGTAATGAGGAACGATGAAGCCGAAAAATAACTTATACAGTGAAGAACAACCAAAGTGGCCGTCAAAAACATGAAAAGATGATGAGGGTACATGCCTGTACAATTGCAAAAAACGAGCACACATGGTTCACACTTGCAGTATGCGCCAAATCCGTGAATACTACTTAACGACTGCAAAGGTAGTTCTCAACCTGGGCACTTTATTGTACTAGGTTTACAGGTGGTATGCCTCCACCATGAAACCAAGCGAACAAGACTTGAAGTGATCTGTACATGGCTATAATATGCACCCAAGAGCAGAGCGACGGTCTCTTGTCAATAGTTGGTTGTGCAAATATCACGCACAAAATGCGTTAGACAGAAGTTCGCAATCTGCTTTCGATATACGAAAAATGCACTTCACATTTTATTATCTATGTCAGAAACTTCTGATGAAGTTTGTTCAAGTAGGGAACTTGCATGCCCTGTAGTTTCTCGTTCTAAAACTGCATTAAACAAAAGACTCATGAATTCCATAACTGAATTAATAAGATTATGGATCTACATATAAGCAATAAGAAATGCAGTGTTGAAAACTGAAAAGGCAGGCGCATAAGTGAATGGTGGTGCAAAAATGTCAAACAATAATGTAAACTTTGGACACAAGAACATGAAAGTGTATAACTTGGTAAAAGAACATGTTCATGTGTAAATGCCTTTCTATACTGTACCAAAAGAGTAACAACATGTTTGGTTTAACTACTAATACTACTAGCAATAACAAAACAAGACCACTACAAACTTCCTCCGGTGGCAGTGTGTGATCGCTCTGCACACAAACTTGCCAACAATGTGTTGCAGCACTGGCACAGGGTGTATGAACGCTTTCTTGCGAAGTAATGAAATGAATCTGTTTACCAGTACACAAAGTGGAAATTATTCACAGTGATGTAAAGCTTGAGCCAAAAGGCTATTAGCATTGTCATTCTGATGCATAGTAGCAGAATAAATGAGAAGTCCTGTGCTGACATCAGATATATGCTTGCGGCAGCAATGAATTCACGTTTGCTAGAACACATTTTGCCAATGCAAACATCCGCTATGATTGTGATGCGATCTTCTCTGTATGCCATTTAGGAACAAGTCTAGTCCAAAACTCAAGAAGAGCGCATAAGCATATAGAAGCAGTATGCTATTCTCCAAAGTTTTTCTGTTTAAGATTGTCGAATGTTGCAACTGTGTGCTCTAGTGTCCATCTTTGTGCTACTTTAGTATTTCCAATTACATAAACTACCATGCAATATGGCAACTGCCAACAAGAAGTGCAGTTGAAAATTTTGAGGCTTTGTGGAGAATCGAGTACACGGAGCCAATTTCAGCATCACATTTTCTGGAGACAAAGAAGTTTGAAGGCCAGGTCAGAGCATTCCTTTTTGATTAGTGCCATACAAAATAATGCCATTAAATTTGCAAACTTGAGGACGTCGGGAAACCAATGACCTCCCAAGTAGCCCTCTGGGCTATGAGCATATAATACCTTTAATGAATGCTGCAGCGCACTTCATTTGTCACTTGTGACACCTCTGCACCCAATTAAAGTGAAGAATCGGAAAGCAGCTTTTAGAATGGGGGCGAAATGGGCATCTTCTTGAAGGTTCACTATGACAAACTGTGCAGCAACAGGAGCAACTGCAGACAGGCACAAGAAAAAGACAGGACTTTGAAGTGAATGAAATGAAACTTATGCGACGCGTGTTGCAAAGCTGCCAAAATCTTTGAACTTTCTCTGTAGTGGAAAAAAAAAAAAGACCAACTAAGAGCACAGAATAACAAAAAAACTAACTTTCTGACCGCTATTTACATGACTTCTGATTTGCTGAATGTTTCATAGAATTTCTGTATGTTCACCAATTATGGGCAGCATTTGCAAGGTTGGCCTGAACACCTGTAACATGCTCTAAGATTGCATCTGTCAGTAAAACTTTTGTCCTGCGAGATTTTCGTTCCTGCATATTGCTATCTCTTGTACTAACTGTCGTTATCAAGTTGTCTTCACACAGTGATAACTAGGCTTGTGCGAATCTTTGAATATTCAAACGAATAATACAGTATTAGAAACGAATGAATAGACGTAATCTACATGTGAACCCCTACAAAGGCGGTTTCACAGCAATAAAGGGGTACTAAGCCGTGAAAACAAAAACACTTAAGCATATGCAAATTCGTGTATAACTCTTTGTAAAGGTGGTTTCACTGCAGTGAAGGATTGTTAAGCAGTGAGAACACGTACCCAGGAGAAATCCGTACTGCCACAAAGTCACACTTCCAAGTTAAGTGAACATATTACTCTCACATCGATGCATTTCCAAAGTTTAAAAGCTTGTTATATTGACTTATATGCTCTGAGTATAGCAAATTTTTAAATGTAACATATTTTACAGGTTATCACTGGCATTCTACCGATGGTCAAATCCTGCTGCTATTCAAAGTTGTTTCTACTTTTCTTGAAGAAAAAAAAAGGCATTTGCACAGAAACTATTTCAGTTCCTAAAAATATATTGTGCAGGTTAGTTGGGTAATGATAAATATGCCCGTTTTTAATTGTAATACCTGACATATGTACTATTTGAATTCGACAAAATCATTATTACAAAATTATTGACTAAAATCACTCGAATTCACTTCGAACCTAAAATTTGCTATTCGCACTAGCCCACTGATGATGCATGCCCAATTTGCATAAAATGAAAATAAGGCAGCCTCCAAATGACCAGCTAAATTGTGATGCAGTGCAGAAATATTACAGCGTTCAGGCACATTGCTTAGCATCCTTGTAAACAAGCTGGCCTTAAATTGTAACTTGGCTGTGAGCCAAAGTGGACATTAAAAGTGTCGTAGCATTACCAGAGAAACATTCATTGTATGATACTACATCACATGCGAGAGTTGTGATCAGTGTAGCATTGTTCAGTGCATTCAACATCATGCTGGCAAGGTTTCACATACTTGTGACATACGGGTTTGCATCTTCCTTCTCATAGTTCTTTTTATAACTGCATCATGCTCATACTTTCTGAACAATTAATTTTCTCTCGCTATTTCTCCATCCATCGACCCATGTGCATAGTTAATCACTGCGAGATTCTACCTTGATGCTAGCACTGATCATGTTGGAATTATTCCCAATTAATGGTAAGGAGGGTAACAATTGTGTCCAAATGATGGCAAGGAGCAGAGATATCTTGTGCCTATAGTCGTCAGCTGTAAAGTCGCCTTCGAGAAGCTTGCTTCACAAATGAGTAGCTTAGAACAATACTTTGTGAAGATAAAGAGCCACGTACTAGAACATAGACAATGGTACGGTAGCAGTCCTCTTTCTCTCCTTGCACTCTAATCAGTTCTGTACCTTCACTTGAACACACCAAGACGCCCAGCAAATAGGGCTGCTATGCATTACACAAAGCTGTGTTTGCTGTCCAAGACTAATAGGTATACACTTTACACCTTGTTTGTTGGATTATCAAAACGACACTGCTCTGTCAAACAACACTTCTGTGAGCCGTATAAATAGAGACACGTGTGTTAGAACAACGGCAGGGCCCTGGCAGGGAAGGCTCTGTAAAACACTGGGGAAAAAAAAAAAAACCCAGGCAGAAAGGCGTGCACCCCGGATCACTGCTGTGCCGACTCTTTACGAAGCTGCCACCGTGGAGAGCTGGCTACAATGCCAACCAGGGGTGAAACTGGAGTGACGCCTTGCTGCGGTCTCCGTAGTCGTACAGCAGTTCCTCTCCGGCTTCAATGTTACGTTGGGCCACGAGCACCAAGTGAGGTACGCCCTTGATAATGCAGGTCTGCGTCTTTAGGTTGCCTCGCTTGCTGTGGTTCACAAGCCGTCCAAGCCGGCCAGTTTCTTTCGTGGCGTCAACACTGCACATAAGGCACATCTTGATGAGACGATCGAATGACACTTCACATGTCGCGTGATGTGCACTTCACTGCATTTAACATGCCTTTACATGCCACAACTCGAAGTGCTGCTGCTAACAGCTGTTCAACAAGAAATTGTGGCTTCGTCATCGCAGCTGCATGTGCAGGACAATCATAGTGCAACAGAATAAAGGGGAACCCCTTGTCAATGCACTTCTTTTAATTCCAACAAATTTTTGGGCCCCTTTGAGTTCGAATGATCTAAATTCGACTGCTCAAGCAGGTTGTTGTCAATTTCCCTTTTTTTCTAGTGTGGCTTGCTTTATCCTGAGATTTGCCCATTGCGGCCGCATTTTGCTCGATGCTTTCTCAGTGTTCAGTCCGCAGTGATTTCTCGACTCGAGTGCAACCTTAAGTACGCACAGTACGTACATGGATATAATATATTAGCTGTGTGATGGTGTATTGCTGTGTTCCGTGTTGCAAGTCCTGTTTAAAGAAAACAGCCGTTCCCCCCTTCCCCCACCGATTGCCAAGCAGTGCTGAGCTGTGCGAAAAATGGCAGGAGAATATTGCAAGAGACAATCTCATCATCAACGACAAGTCTGCATAAGGCCTCTGCCCACCTGCCACGCAGGAATGTGCGAGAAGTTTTGAAAACAGCAGTCCAGCCCTACTTGCAACGCGCTCCTATCCTAAGCTGCCCTGAAGGCATTGACGATAGCCACTCCCGACAATCCGCAGATCTCATAGCCGAAAAATTGTCAAGAATTCTTCTCGTAAATCACACAAACTGACTGACACAAATGACAAGCATTCCACCTACGCACACAAGCCAACTGGGAAGCATTTTAGCTTGTGAACAAGACATTTGTGAAGTCTGGCAAAATTTTCACTTGAAAATGCTCAACTATTGCCAGTGCTTATGAGCAATGAATATTTATTTCCAGACCTCAGAATGTCTACATGTTTGATGGCTGTACTCCTGGCATTTATATGTTTGTTCGATAAACTTAAGCTCGATGCACACAGCACATATAAGAAGTCAAAATTATTTTTGCACCTTTAACGATTAGGCAACTTGTTTTTCAACACAATGAAGTGTGCCCAAACTCATGTGCTGGCATTGCACACGCCGCATGGATCAGCTGAGGAGGGTCAGTGCCTCCCCTCAAAGCAGCAGCGAGAGGCATGTAATACACCCGATGCGAAGGCTGCAATAAGCGAGCGCGCAGTTGCAGTCTAACCCGACTGTGGCAGAGCCTTGCAGGGTGGTCTGAGTCAGCCTGTATTGCCAGAACAAATGCCTTATATTGAGATAAAAGTGCTTGTGAAAACTCTACCACATTGCTTAGAGACTTTTCCACAGAGGGAGGGAAAAGGCGCAAGCACCGTGGGACCATGAAAAGGGAGGACTGATGCTAAACCCATGCATAAGTAGCTTCTTTAGCCTGCTAAGTTTGTATTGCTACCAAACAGCTCGTTCCATGCTGAATAGCATGTTAGAACCAACAGAACCCATGTGTGCTTTTCACCCCCATGTTTCAAATTATATACACTCAAACATTGATATAGCAAACCCAGACATAATGAAATAATTATAACGAAGTAAATGAAGAATAGTCTTCCCATAGATATAGTGTTGGGAATATACCTTTATAAACAATTTTCAAATATAATGAACTTATTTTTGTGTAAGATGCAACTTTGTTATAAGGTTTGAGAGTAAATATAAAAAGAGAAATAAACTTCAGAATATAACTGCATTGCAACTACATGTTAGCCTCTCTCAAGACGTTTCTACATTTAACACAATAGATGGCAATTTTTTTTCAACCGAAATAACATATAAGTACTTCAGCCAGTCAGACCAGCTACGACTCGCTCCTCTAGACTGATCTGTCAAGATTTGTCACTTAGACAAGTGGGCATAAAAGAGGCTAAGCACTCACCAATACTGTTTGTTCCTGCAGGTGAAGTAGTACATGTAGCACCCGATTGATGAGTCAGTGGCGTAGATCTGTTCGCGCAGCTTTGCCTCTTGCACGTCAATGAGTTCACCAGCGTACTCCAGCACAAAGTCACCGGCTTTCAGTGGCCGAGACGTAGTCACTCCCCGGCCCTTGTCAGCAAGCTCTACGACCTTTATAAGGTTGGAAGAGGTAGACGGGAAATCATGCTCATCACTGTTAAGTGAACTCAAAGTGAACAAGGATTATGATCATATGCGAGGTCAACTGATAATTCAGGTAGCCGCCAGCAAACCTTATTCAGGCAGCCGTTGTGCACTTAGTCTGCGAAGTAGAAATGCATTCATTTCGATGGTCAAGTTATGAATCGGCAATCGCAGTGAAATCTAAAGCTTGCTCATGCATAGGTGATACTTATTCTTCACTGCTCGTTAACAATGAAAACTCTCAGAGGCTGTAAGTCCAATATAGAGAAATAAAGCCTGCTTAGTAACATGAATGTCTTAAAGGGACAATAAAGAGCAAAACGATTTTTTTGCGTATTAGTGAAGTACAATTTCCCAATCCCAAAAACACCACTTTTACCGCGACATGACGCCTAATGAACAAGAAAAAGCCTGAAAAAAAAAAGTGGGTAAGACGTCGCCCTCAGACTCCCACACCAAACATTTACCGGATCCTGCATGGCTCATAAATTGATAAAAATGAAGTACATTGTCATCTGTGGAAGCCACAGACCTAGCATACAACAGTTTCAGAAAGTTTAATTGAGCCAACGTCGAATAAATGAAAAAAAAAAAAAAAAACGTTTTGAAATTTGTTACGTCATGCATCGATATTTCGGCGCAAAAATTAAAAATGAAACTTCGACCTTGATTTTCTCCTAGTAATATTGATTGTATGATAATGAGACATATGGTATTAGAGTTCTCAGAGTGCAGTTTGTTCAACCTAAACAAGTAATTATTTTTTAGTGTCCCTTTAAATAGAGGTGTTCTTTATTGTTAATTCAATGAATGCAGGTTCAAGGCATGGCAACTTATCAACAGATGCTCGCAACACTTGAACAGTAGTCATAAATATGAAAAAAAGATTTGGACCACAGAACATAAATGCTCATTCACACTGTGGTCCTAGCGACTGGAAATGTTCTGCGGCCACAAGCAGAACTGCTCACATCAATTGACCACCAGCACATCAAGGCTCCACATAAATAATGATTGATTTGTAGGATTTAATGTCCCAAAACCACCACATCATTATGAGAGACGCCGTAGTGGAGGGCTCCGGAAATTTCGACCACCTGGGGTTCTTTAACATGCACCCAAATCTGAGCACACGGACCTACAACATTTTCGCCTCTATCGGAAATGCAGCCGCCGCAGCCGGGATTCGATGCCGCGACCTGCGGGTCAGCAGCCAAGCACCTCAGCCACTAGACCACCACGGCGCGGCTCCACCCGCCATGGTGGTCTAGTGGGAATGCGAGAGTGGGAAGACAAATAGAGCACTGGTCTACACAAATAAATACAATCAACGATGGCAAAAGCGAAATACATAAGGATGCAGCTTTCAGTTAGTCAGGTTGCTCATTCCAAGGGGGCAAGGTTGTTACAACACAAACAACATAAAAAGCACACTATTTTATTACCTGGAAGCCTTCTTCAATGCCGTTCAAAATTGCATCTTCAACCTGCTTCTGTTTCTCTTTCTGTTGAGAGAAAAAATTAAATGAGAATGTGTCCATGCGAGTTGTTCTACTGTCACTTTACACTGCTGAATCACGCTCACCACAAGTGTGGCCTTCGTCTTGCGTCCACTCCTTCGGATGGAAAAGTACTCTGTCAGGGAGTGGCATGGCACCTCAGTTTTTCTGCAAAGAAGAAGCCGCAGCTGGTTGTTAAGTGGCCACAAGACAAATGAAAGAGCAAACACTCATGTGATGAAGCTCCCATAACTGTCATACTTTGCTCCGGCAATCATTTGCTTACTTCCAAGTTTACTTATTCACTCACAGTATACACAAAAGCCTAGCTCAATCAGTTCTCGTGTCACAAAGTCGCTTGTTTTTAACAGCACAAAAACGGTAGGAAAGGAAAGATGGAAGCTTGTGATGAAAAATCCGTAAACAGAGGTTGTAGCGAGCCGACATTTTGACAAGCGGACTTGTCTTCCTCAAGGCTAGAACAGAACTGATTTTTTTTAGTCCTAGTTTGTCTTCGCTTCATACCCTCTCCTCTATCCTAACAAAGAAGGGGGAGGGAGCAATATTGGATATGTGGGTGCAAGAGAGTGGGAGAGGTGGGCTGTGACGAATTGTATGAGTGAAGAAGGAACAGGCATTCTGTGAATGAAAAGAAAATAAGGAAGCAGTGGGGAGGTGAGGATGTACACATGTTGCGGGGTCCTGGTTGTCGAACCGGTTGTCAGAAGTTAACAATGGCAGGTTTGAAATTCCTAGATGGAGGGCTTATGTAAAAAGCTTAATTACACATCTATACTTGAAAATGCTGCTGTAATAACCAATGTGGAGGCAACACAACTAAAGCAACGAATATGGAAAGAAGTTCTGCCATACAAGATACAAGTTGACTCTACGCCCCTATCTCGGCAGCTTAACAACGCATAAAAGTGACAAAATAAAATGGCTGCCCATCTAAGTAGAGGTAGTCGTGCCTTTTTTTGCGTGCATGTGTTAATTAATTTCTCGTTTGCCTGTTCACTAGCAGCATCGCCTTTCCACATTCCTACTACAGCATCTCAAGGAATAACAGGAGTGACTATGATCACTGACTTGGATTTTAAAAAAATACACGCAAACTTGCATTCAAGTAGCAACATATAGTGTGCAGGCATATTATATCCGCAAATGTAGATCGTTTCATTGTTGTTTAGTAGTACATGCAACCACCGTGGTGCAGATTTGATTCTACGACCTGCGCATCAGTAGTCTTGCGCCATAACTACCATGGCAGGTAATGTTTGGACATAACAATTGATGATAAAAATTTTTTAGGCAGGAGAACAAGCTTTCGTCACGATTTCTAAGTCTGCCAAGACATGAAACATTCCAAAAGGTAGGTAAACTGCTACAATATAACCCTTATGCTGTGTGTGCTAGTGTGATACAGCAATGTGTGATAGAAGGCGTTGGAACTCCCAGGTCATTTCTGTCTGTGATTTGCAACATTGTGGGCACAAGTTTATTGACAATGTTATGTCAGCTAATTTTCATGCTTGTTTCATGACAAATTTAGAGTTGAGGCCTTCTGCCTAGTGCTTGTGGCATTTAATGCGAGAAACAAGTTCGAATAAAATATTCAGCAGGCTTCTTTGCAGTACTATAGCAGGCTGGTTGCTGTATGACATTCTGCTGCTATAAAAAAACACACAAACAAAGACATGAACACTATGACATGGGCAGCACTTCCAACAGATTTATTTTAGGCATGAAACAGTGATATACATAAAAGTAACCCAAACATTCGCTGAATAGCCAGCACTGCATAACTTGCCCTCCTTTCAAACTATCTTATCTCAGAAGACTGCAGCAGTATTGAAATGCCACTAATACATTCAACACCCAACTTAATGGTATATATAAGGCATCTTGTAACTTCAGTGCTGTCTGATACTTGCGTATGCCCAGATCGTCGCTTTATTAAATCGTGATTCGCATTTGCAGACCTTGCAATGCACAAGCTAACTTTCTTTACATTTCGGTCATGTTCCATGGCTTGTACGTTTATACAGCGGCCAGTCTGTTCAACATAATACCTGCCGCATGTCAAAGGGATCTGGTAGACAACTCTTGTCTTTCATTTGGTGTACGCGGTAGCATGTTTTACACCACTACCCGCAAATCCTTTAGCAGTGGAACGAGAGCAGACCTGCAAGTGCTGCCCATGGCACCATGTTCATGTCTCTCCTTTGCGTGCGTTTTTTTTAAAGCGGTAGAATGTTATACAGTCACCAATATCAACTAGGCCAAAAATAAATTCCCAGGCTGGTTGAAATGACCCACTTGTAATGTATTAGCCTAGTTCACTCCCAGAGGCTACGGGCACTCACACAAACTACGTATGTTAAGCAAGATTCAACAAAAACTTCGTTACACAGATGCATTATCTCAGGAGAGGCATAACCTTAGGCTTGGGCATGCTTGCACTGGCTATGATGTCAAGAGGCCAAGGACCAGTGTCATGGTACAGTGGAGACTGCTCAAAGCTACCACTACCAGCGCACTGCAAGCTCTTTCTGGTCATAATGTGAAAGGTGCACCACAGAGATACTGCAGTCTACATTTCACAGCAGAGCTGTTATGGCTGAGGTTTGCTGGCATGTTGTACATACAAAGGACTTTCTTGGAGTTCTGAGGGGCAAGACTACAAGAGGCTAAGAGACCTCCTCAGTCAAGTCGGTGGCTCCACCAATGTCGGCACTGGCGCATGCTCACTCGCTAAGCACTCGGTAAAGATAGTCATCAAAAGAAGCTGTGGCTCCTAATCAGTGTTCTTTGCCCATGTCTTCCCGCAATTTTTGGTAGACCAGTGTCGTGAGCAGTGGGACTTGCCCAACTTCTGTGGCCCATGTGTGTCAGGAGAGAGCAAGCCTAACCAGATATAGTACAGTATAGCAAATGTAGGGAAAGAGACATGCGAGAAGGTAGAAGCTTAGCCAAGCCAGTGCCAGCTAGATGCCCAGCAGCTCTGCTGTGACTCAGTCTTGCAAGACTTAGTGCAAGCTACGATAATTTTGTTAGCCCTTGGAACGAATTGAAAACGGGCAATTTTCCCTACCTTTTTGCCACCTTTAAGGGGTCGTGCTCTGCTGCCACAGGAGCCTTGACAGTGACCTTAGTGGCTGGCTTGTTCGTAGCTCTGGAGGCACTTTTGCTCCTGTCCTGGTAGGTCCTGTGCACCACAACAGCGGGCGTTTTTGTGTCCACAGATGGGGGCGAGGGGGGCTGCGTGGCCGTAAGGCTCAGGCCGGCGGGAAGCGCTGCAGCGTCCGGGCACGGAATTTGAACCTCGGGTTCCACTAGCTGCTGAAGCGGGCAGGGGGGCTCCCTCTTGATGGGGCGCCGCCGTGAGTAACTGTGCTCGCTCGCTACCTCTTCGGCAGTCGCCATTTCGGCCCCCAGAACGGGGAAGTAGTCGTCTATCCGAGTGCTTCTGGTGACCGGCGGTGAAGTCCTGGTGGCACTGGCCACGGTCGATTTGCCATCCTGCTGTTTCACTGAAGCGTTGACATCACCGGAGCGACATGAAGCGGGCGCACTCTTCTTGCTGCGAGTAGGGTTCGTAGCGCACTTTTTTCGTCCTGTGGAAACAGATGTAACATTAGCAGTTGTGACAGCCCCAGAAATGCTCCGCTATTTAATCAAGAGATATTCACAGTGGCCCCCAACATAGAAATTAAAGAAATACATTTCTACAGATATAAATATTGGCCTAAATGAAGTAGGTGGTGTTACATTTGGACAATCTTTCTATAATGCGGTTTTCGTGACATGTTGCCACTGATGCACAATCATGTACAGAGCATCACACACAGCAGGCTATGCACCTACTCACAGTGACTACATAACGCAGCTTTACGTTGAAATCATTTATTCATATACCTCACAGGTACCAATGCAGAGATCCCACAGACAGAGCTATCTGCAAGTGCACAAAGCATCTGAGAAATAATTTTGCCGTATCTCACTAGTTTCACGAACATTGAAGACAACAAGGTATTTACGGGTGATGGATAGGTGGAGGTGATGCATCTGGGAATCGGTTGCATATACGCTGAAGGTAGGGTACGGTGCTAAAAAAAATGAACACCAGACGTTTTAAACATAAGGCGTGAAGCTTGCACAAAAAAAAAAAAAAACATCCTTCAAGGGCTACAATGGCACAAGGAAACTGCAACCTGACAAGAGTTACAATAGCTTGGTCTTGATAGACAGCACAGCTTTACCGACCACCTTACGCGCAACTCTCGCGCTCACGCTTGCTAAAGGCGCTAATCAAACAATTGTGAGCGATTTACGAGATCTCCGCCCGTTAAACCCCACATATCAATCAATCATGAGATCTTCGCCACAAAAGGTTTACGATCCCGGGCACAACTTGGAAACGCGGCGTCGGCGTGATGAAATAAAACAAGCGCACTTAGATGCGTTAACAGGAGCCGCTGATTATAATGTTTTACGCCAAAGATTTAAGTTCACATCCTGAACTGTGCAAATTACTACGTTGCTTCTTCAACAACTCCGGAACGGCGAAAATTGAAGACCGTGTACTGTCGACCAGTGCGTCCAAGCGCACGCTAGAAAAAAATAGAGAAGTTTCTGTGTAAGCCATAATATTACGTTAAATAGGAATAAATCACAATGCAGTAGCCAACGAAGGAAAAGAAACGCTGCACGCAACTATAAAATCGACGATATGAGCGCAGCCGCCAGACGTGTGCAGCCTGCGTTGGCACCGATCAAGACTCCAACAACAAAAAATCCCGCCAACTTTTGCTGCTCGGCTCCAACGTCGACAGGCCATTTTGAATTTGTGCTTCTGACAGCACGTGTGCACGCGTTCAAACGAGCCAATTCGCGCGAACAATGCTGGCCGAAGACGAAAACAACGTCTGCTAAGCGGACAAAGTAGCGTATTTCTTCTTTTTTTTCCTTTCTTCAACCGACCTTTCACCATTGCCCCAGTTCACGCCTTGGGAGGTGGCGGCGGCGATCCCGTTGCCCGCACCAGCAGCTCTGAGCACCGTCGCAAGAGGTCGACGTAGAGCCATTCATCAAATGTTACCACTGATAAGGACAGCAGAGACTAATGCGGCCACATCACACACGCGGCGCTTCGCGATCCCCGGGAGAAAACCATATGCCCTTTTCAAAATGCCCACAGCAGCACAATCACAACAGACAATCGCAAAACGGCTTTCCCGCTAGGCACAGAAACCGCCGGCTTCCTCACAGATTCACTGAAAACACAAACACAAAACAAGAGCGTGGCGCTAGTGAACACCTGCAATAATCTTTATAAATATGATATTTCTAAGTAGCTTGCCAAAACTCGTGTTTAAACTTTATTGAACCTTAAACATTACCACTTTAACGCGCTAATGATGGCTAGTAATAGTAAGAATGCGTTTAATAAACACAAAAACAGTGAAGCCCTCTAGAACATTTTTTTTTCGCTCGGCAGGCACGGCAGGTGTCGCGTCGTAACTCAGTGGGAGAGAAGGACAGCGTCACGAGCGCTGGTGCGAAACTAGCGCTCGCCCTGGGCGAGGAATGAAAGGCCTTGCTCGCCGCAGCCTGTGTTTCGGGGCTTTTATTCGGTTGTGTGGATCTGCAGATGTAGAAGTAAAATGCTGCTCGTTCTCGTGTTGTGCTCGACTTGAGTGACAATCCGCCGACGCCAACCGGGTTACCACGAAACGCTGAGGTGAGAGCGACTTGCATCGCGCCCCTCTGGCCTGTACTGTGCGCGGTTTTGCCAATCGCCGATGCCGATTCTCGCAGTATTGGTTAGGCTTAGTCACTAGCCTGCATTAAAGTCGTAGTTAATTACATAAACGCGGCGTACGATCCAAAATGTAAGCTCTCTCGCCGGCGTACGCTTTAGCAATTCCAGTGGACCTTTCTCTTATGCCTAGAGCTTCGACTTGTCATTGTTTGCAAGCATCGGGCGGGCCTTTTTTTCTTTTTTTTTTGTTGCCGCAGCTTCAGTGCCAATTTTTTTTTGTGTTTGTTTATTCTAAGCGGCGTTTTTTTGTTGTTGTTATCGTGCGTGATTGCGCGTTTTGTTGCTATATTACGGAAAGCGCGGGTCGTGTAAACTTCAAGGAATGCTTTGAAGGTTTTACAGCTGCATCCGTCCAAACTATTCGTCCAACGAATCGCAAGTTATACGGTATTGATTTTTTTTTTCTTACCGGCTTCGATTAGATTGCGTCTCTGTGACAAGTTCCGCGCCGTGTGCTTTTCGTTGGTTAGTAAACGGGCAGTTCTCGTAGCTCAAGTCCCTGCTTCGGCCAACCGTGGCACGAGTGTGAAGCAGTGCGCTGCAGAAGGTGCAGCTCCATCTGTCTTCGCGCGATGTGGGGACGAGATATTGCGAAAATAACAAGAAAACCAGCTTGAAGATGGGTATACTTTTGTCAGTACCATGCAAAGTGTTGATCGGAGCAGCTGCAACGTTGTAGGCTGCAATGTTCGCATGTCCATCTGAGCACGTGCTCTGGTCAGCTGCCTCGGGCGAAACGTGGCCGCGTGCAGTGCAGTAGTCTCTCGTTGACCAGCGTTCCTCTTGTTTGCCGCTGTAGCCAAGCAACAGCGGCACGTGCCAGCGCTCGTGCGAAAAGTTTGGGCGTAGTGTAGTTTTCCTATAGGGACTTGCGCAAGGAAAAATTTTCATTCATCGGGGCCATAGGTCGTCGTAACCTTGTTCTGCGGCCGAAACAGTTGCAATGTGCTGTTGGTGGGGCCGATTTTGATGATAACCAACTAGTTACCTTGATCGAGTCTATATCATATCTATGTATATATACGAAAATTGAGAATCTATTTTTGGTCGCTAAGCTTTGAAATTGTCTTCATTATGTCGGTGTACGCACTGTCGTCTACGCTGGTGCGGTTCCAACCAGCCGCGAAGCCCTAAGTAATTAAATAATAACGACAAAGGGGCCACTCAGTTAACTTGTGTGTTTATTATTTTTCAATTATAGCATATAATAAATGCCGATTTGACCTTGCCTCTCTTCAGCTGGCATTTGTGCCAACCTTTTTAGTGGGTGCTGCCATCTCGTCTGTTGGCTGCGGCGGCTGCGTTTCCGATGGAGGCGGAAACGTTGTAGGCCCGTGTGTTCAGATTTGGGCGCACGTTAAAGAACCCCAGGTGGTCAAAATTTCCGGAGCCCTCCACCACGGCGTCTCTCATAATCATATGGTGGTTTTGGGACGTTAAACCCCACATATCAATCAATCCATCTCGTCTGTTGGGCGCTAGTGCGCATAAGGGTTTTCAGTACCCATTCTTCAAACGCTTTTATTGAAAACAAAAGGTTGTTTTCACTAAAAGTTTATCAAAGCGAACTTAGCTGACCGATAGTTTTCCATCGCTATTCAAACTTTCCTTGCTCGACCATTGCAACCATGATTTTTTTTTAGGGGGGGGGGGGGTAAAAGGGTCATAATATAAATCACGTGATTTGTGTTCAGTGTGAGTGATCTTTAAATGAAAAAAAATAAATAAAAGTGAGCTCCGTAACTGTCTGCATCAGAGTGCGACACCTCAACAGTAGCTCACAAAGGGTTAGGGGTAAAAGAGGGGACTAAAAGGATAGGATTAAATGGTAAAGAGATAGAGAGAGGAAGGAGAGAGCGAGGCGCAGGGACAGCGAACGATGGAAGTAAGGAGAAGCTAGGAAAAATGGACACAGTTGCAGGAGTCCGAGGACGGGGCACCACTCTGCGAGAGCTCTTGTCGGCGTCAGGAGGTGGCGTAGGGAGAACCAGTCGGCCAGAGCTGTGCTGTCGTAGGAGATCGCGGGGGCACAAAATCCAGCGAGCGAGTCCGTCAGTGTTCTGAGTGCTGTGTTTGTCATCCTAACGAGAAGTTGTTGATTTGAAAAGGCAGATTAGTTTTTTAGCTGATTGGAATTAAAGAAATATGTACTAGTATGTTAGTGGAACATTCAAAGCTATTGTACGAGCTACGTGCCTGCCTGTTTCCTTCAGCGTCTGAATTGGATAGTTATTGGTATGGCGAATGGTTTTCGTTTACAAGCCGCCTGCCTACAATTAAAAATAAGATCGGAGCCAATCTGTTGTAACCTTTTCTGTGGACGTAGTTCTAAAACTAATATAGGAGAACAGAACCCGGCGATGATTCACTGTCTTGGACAGTCCTGCGTGTGTCAGAAAATGGGCTCCGTCGTATTGCTTTTAACACAGAATGCCCCTGACCTGAGGTGCGAAAACAGAAACATGTAGCATTATCAATATCGTGCATGGACACTTCGTATATGTTGTTGAAATGACTGTTTATCAGTTGGAGAGTAACCGGCAGCTGCTTGCAAAATAGTCACTCCTCATGTGTGAGCAAGTTTATTTTCCAAGCGAGACTGATAGTTGGGCTAGTTGGTGATACAATATAGGCGGTAACAGCACACAAACTCACGGGCGCTTGTTTGTGTCTCTTCTCTTTGTCCCGTGAGTTTGTGCGCTATGTGGGGTCTCCGCGAGGCGAACGCGCTCCAGGCCACGCTCTTGGAGTGAAAGGACACAACAGGCATCCACCCAGCCTAGGCGCAGAAGAGGCAGCCGCGAGGAGACGTCCACTCTGTGAGGTGGCCCTATCGCTCGCCGCACACAGCAGCTTACCGAGTGATCGGCGTCCAACACCCCGGGCGGTGTCACGATACCTCGGCGTCGAGCCGCAATACCAGACAGCGACGACGCCCGGCTCCCTGAGCCCAAAGATATAGAAGAAGCTATTTACAGAAAATCGGACCACCCACGAGGCTTCCGTACTCACTTGCTTGGCCTGGCCTACAAACCACGTGCTCTAGGCCTTGCTCACCCCAGGATGCGGACCGCATGGCTCTCGTCCTAATTCAACGTTTTTGAAAACTAACAACAAAAAATAACACTTGCGAGCAAAAAAATAAATAAATAGAAAGTCAACCTGCCGAGAAATTCAAACACAGTACAAAACCTATCTCCTCGCTTCTCAACAAAGCACACCACCGGCGCTAGCAAAGAAGTCCCCCCTAGGCCTACTCTACTCCGGCTCTAACAAAATCCCTGTATTGAACCGCAAAAACTGTTGTCCGATACTCCAAGAGCTCCACGTTGGGCAGCCAGTGTAGGGTCTCCGCGAGGCGAACCCGCGCCAGGCTACGCTCTTGGTGTGAAAGGACACAAAAGACGCGGTCGGTAGAAAGCGCACAACGTACATACATTTATTAACTAATTTAGACAACGACATCGTCCGCCAAATATTACATCAATTTTAATTAGCACGCTACCATACAAACAACATAACCCAATGACACACTAAACACACAATAACATGATAAACACACACTAACATACCCAAGGCGGCGTCGCCAATGCCTGACTTTCCGCGTGGGACCCCGGCGCGAAGCCCGGGGTGCCGAGCACCGGGGACCCACGCTACAGACAACTGTTCGCGGCAGCCGCCACGCGCAGAAAAAAGCTCGCTCAACTCTCGCCCACCACCAAGGCCTGCCTTCTGCCAGGGGCCACCGCCGGCGCTACCACTCTACCAACAGTGGTACTCAAAGCGAACACAACGCCATCTATTACCCGGCGGTGGTCTTCACCAAAATAAAGCCTTGGGGCGAGACACGTGCGCCACGCGGCGCAGACAACTTTACAGGGGGGGTGTCGGCACCCCCACAGCTATTACCATTCAAAATTTATTTTTCACAAAAATTAGCTTGCAAACTTCATTCTATTTTGTTTTTATAATTTGCTTAGTACACTACTGAACTTGCACTGAGGTGTAACATTCTTGCAGTGTGTTATTAAAAGCCTTCTCCGAAATGTGGAGGTAGTGTAAACGTATGAAAAAAAGCAGTCTGGGAACAAAGATTTCTGGTGGGAAACATTCTAGCAGCAAAGCGAGTATACAGTTGTTTTCAAAGTATACGCAAGCGGGTGCTTAATATTGCAAAATAACGGCGCATATTTCGTCATAATTATACCATTGTTTTTTCAAGTGAAAACACCATCAGTTGTTATAAATGAGGGCAATGTTGATACGGCCGGGGATGTCCGTTAAGAAGTGCAGCCAGTGTAACATGTATGACGAGAGATGGCCCTCTTATTATTGTTGTAAGGGCCCATAACAATCTATTTGTTTATTGTTACCACTCCACCATAGTCATTACCACTTCAACCTAATTGGGTCTGCATGTAGGCTTGTCAATCTATGCTGTGTTGCAGATGGAATAATAGCGTATTGACGATGTTGTACACTGTTTTACTGCTTTATGTTGATTGAGTTGCACGGGGACTATAGTAAGCTCGGCATACGGTGCCTAATAAATGTTGACAGTTCATTTAATTTCGCTACACATAGTATTGACGCAATGTCACAGGTCCTTTTGTCTTAAGAACACAAATGTCGCGGCCACCGCGACACTCATTAGCATCAGTGAAAGGGAGGACAAGCAGTCGCCCAGTACCCTCTTCCCCCCCCCCCCCCCCGCTTTTTTCTTTGTTCACCAGCCGTGCGAAGGGTGAACTCAGAGGAACACGAGAAGGCACCACCGCTAATCTAATGTCACAGTTTTCTTGCTCTGCGCGATCGAGTAAGAGTTCATGCAGTGTCTTGAGATTTGTTTTTTCATTGCCTTGCTAACTATCGACAACTACAGAAGTGTAGCCCACGAATCTGTGGCCTACACTCGTTTTTCGGTAGCCGTATTCTTCTTAACGCTTTTCGAGCACCTGGTGAAACGCGCTCTCGGCTCGCTAATGACATGCTTTGTACTCCAAGTTATAGGGAACACAGCGCCAGACGCTGAGTGCGCCTACTGATGGGGTGAGTGGAAGGTGGGGGGGAGACCCACTATTCAGTAGTCTCTTATACCCCTGTCACACAGGCACTTAAAAGTCTTTTAAGTAAGCGGTCTTTTTCCGAAAAGGAGTTCCTGACAGCAGACACACGGCACAGAGCGAACTCCTTTTTCAGAAGCGGTCTTTTTCGTAAACGGCGTTCGTCGATCTCTTTTATGGCTCCGAATGAGTAGCTTCGAAACCAGTGGGCGCCAGCAATTTTCGAGTGGTGGGAAAAAAAGATCGAATGCTTATTTTTCTGTCACCAAAACTCTTTGTAAAAACAAATTTCATATCCTGCAGAAGGTGTAATGAACTCTTTTAATGGTTATTTCCTTTTCTACTCTCGTGAGCAGCTACAACGCGTCGGCAATATCACGTGGTGACGCTCGGTCTTGCGTTGCTTTATCCTATCCTTGGCGGCTTTTGCAGCGTCTGCCTCGCTTTCCAGAGCGAGAAGGCAGGCCGTGAGGCTTGCGATCCTCGCATTTTCTCCCGTACGGTCGCCCATAACGTGTCGAGAGCAACGAAAAACAAATACGGTAAATAAAAGCACAGTGGTGCCAGACGGACTTGTGCACGTCGCTAGTTATTGGAATGCTTCCATATCTAGTGCAAAAACATTCACATTGGTGTTTCTTCATCTCTTATTCTTAAATTTATTTGAAGAAACGAGCAGTGCAACAAGTCTTTAATTTGTACATCGTGATACATCGTTTAATTTTCATTGCTTCTCTTTTAACTGCTAGCGCCACGCTTTCGCTAGCGTCTTCGAACGAAAACACTAAAAGGAGATCGTTGCTGCCGTGTGTCTTTGCTGCAAACACCTCTTTGTTAAAAGTCTTGCAACTTCGTAAAAGACCGCTTACTTAAAAGACTTTTTGCGCGCCCGTGTGACACAGGTATTAGCAAGTTACCGAAACATGCGGCAGATTGTGTGAGTGAACAAACAGGCACTTGTATGGACAGTGTTATGGTAGTGCTCCTCCTTTCTTGCTCGTTGTGCTTTTGCCGGTGCCCTCTTCGAGAGAGTTGCCGTGCTCACCGACGCCCCCTTTTTGATGCAAATGACTGAAGTGCAAAACATTTTGTGATACAGGAGGAGTAGAGAAGGAAGAACTACTCCTGTTTCACGAGATGTTTTTTACACCTCCATCATCTGCACCAACTTGTCCGACATCAAGTCCTTTTGCAACCCCCTACATGGTAGCAAAGCACTTCGACACCGAGAAAGCTTGTTCAAAATTTCATTGTGGAGTTGTCACGTCTCATTGCTGCCTGTTGGTCTACGCGTTAAGAAACAAAAAAAAAATGTCAAAATCTGACAAAAACTTTGACGATTTGATTGATATAACGTCCCAAAACCACCACATGATTATGAGAGACGCCGTAGTGGAGAGCCCCGTAATTTTCGACCACCTGGGGTTCTTTAACGTGCACCCAAATCTGAGCACATGGGCCTATGACGAAAACTTCGAAATTACATTTCGCAGCTGTCACTGTACCGATAAACAGTTTCAGCAGTTAGCTTTATTTTTGATGGGCTGTCAGTGCCCGTGACATTGTACTTGTTGAGGCACCTGTAGTGTGCACGTGTTCCATTTTCTACCTCCCAATTCATCCTACTCTCCCCTTTGCAAAAGCTCCGAGGCTTTCTCTCTGCCGGGAGGGAGCATTGTTCACTACAGTGGTTCTGAGAACCGTAGAGGGAACTAAGTGGGTTGAGAGAGCGGTTGACGGCTGGCATTAGAAGGCGTAGTTCTGTCTGGCACTCCGTTCCCGGTTGTTGACCTTTTACCAGTGAAAGCACGCCAACAACATGAAAGCTGTTGCGAAATTACTGTGGTGTTGTCACGCCTTGTTGTGGTCTGTCAGGCTGCGCATTGTTCCCGTATTTGTGTACCGTATTTAGGCAACGTGCTAAAACTTTTCATGAATTTACGGCACGTTGCGTATTCGTTCATTCGTTCTGTCCCCAGTTTTCCAAAAGCGATGACAAAGGCCCAGTGTGCCACCCCCTGGCTGCTCCGCTGTAGCCAAGCGAGTAGGAGCAGAATTGGGGCCCGCGGAGCATGAGGGGGGGGACCGCAAATACTGTACGAGACTACTCTATCTTTCCTCCTCTCTAGCTGGTGGTTGTGCTTTTGCCGCTCCTAATTGCTATACAGTTTCCTAATATACATTAGAGGGAACTCTGGCGCTAGTGTCTATGGGAGCTACAACGCACGGCGCTTCAGCGAGCATGGGAATGACGGGTAGTGCATGGATTTGTCTAATCTCCATACTTCTGGCCTCCTTTTGGCTCCGTGTGTGTTTGTGTGGCTTGGAGTTGTTTTCTCACAAAACAAAAAGCAGCAAATGTTTAGCGGTTGCATTTCACCACCTTATTCTTTTAGACTTATCTTTCCAAATTGAGTCACGAAGTTCAAAAGGGTTGAATGTTTCTTTCAAAACAAAACCGTAACACAGCAACAAATGCAGCCGCAAGTACGATTCGCCACCTGCAAGTCCGAAGATTAGGCAAATGGGTGTACTATCCATCATACCCATGGTCGTGGAACAATCGGAGCGACTGAGTCTTCTCTAGTTAATTTTAGGAAACTATGTGTAAAGGCACCCCAACCACACAAAGGCCCTCTCAAGAAATTATTGTGGATGCACCTGTTGATTAGGGGATGCACGCTGGAGAGGAGGAGGTTTCTGTTGTCACAACATGTATTTTTACAACTTGCTAAAACTGTAATAACACAAGGGTGTTCAGTTCATTGAAGGGGCGCTGCAACACTTTTTGAGCATGGTCATAAAACACTGCCAATCGTTAGTGGAGGCTCCCGAGAACACGCGAGCCAAATGTTATAGCGCAGCTTGTGGCCTGGAATTCACAATAAATTATCAGTCAGCTAAAAATTGCTTTCTCTTCCTTTGACAAATGACAGAAAATGCTCAGAAATCACACAAAGATTGCCCTTCTATCAGCCATTGGCTGATTTGAACATGGTGCGCTCGGTCGTTACAGAGAACGCCGCGAGAGGCAGTCACTTGTCCACGCCTGCGCGCACGATCGCACTGAAAAAGCCGTGTATTTGAAAATGAAAAAAGAGTTCAATGCCACGAGGCGCGCGTGTTGATTTTTGTTTGCCCCCGCTCATACATCCCTGCTTAGCTTCCAGCGCTTTCGTTGGGACGAGCGAAGAGAAATTGTGATCGCAGCGTGTGGCAAATCTTATCGTTGGTGACAACCTAAGAATAAATATAAGCTCTGCCCACGAGGCCGCATCGCCCTTATTTTTTATGCCTTCGCGCTACAAAGGAACTAGTTCCCAAACAAGCCCAATAATTTTCCCGCTTATAACCATTATCTAGTAATCTTTCATTGATATTTAGATAAAGAAACCAAAGCTCGATAAGAAAACTTGTGAGGGCATGGAGTTCAGCTTCAGCTTAGCAATCTATCTGCAGTTTAAATCACACCCTCTACCTTCAGGTATTTAACTTCAGGTAGCTAGAGAAGGGAGAAAAAAAAGCTTTGAGAGGTAAGACTAAGACCTATAGTTAATTATCTAGAAAACTTAATTTACCGTTGCCTCAACCTTCATTGCATATTTATTGCCACTAGGAAACAGAAACCACCAAGAACTCTGATGTATGCCAAGCAGCTTACAGCATAGCCATGCTTCGTATAGCACGTCAAGGGGGAGGGATAAGAAGGTGAAGGTAGGGAATATGGGAAAGGGTAAGCATAGCATAGCTTTGTATAATATAGTTTATGCACCACAGAAAACAAGGCATATGCCAAGTATCTTGTAGCATAGTTAGGCCATGCATAGTGCATTATAGATTGGGGTTGGAAAGGGAATCGAGTGTGATGAGGAAAGTGAGGTGAGTGTAAACTATAGCACAGTCGTGTGCAGTATGGTATAGAGAGGTGTGGGAAAGAGATTCGAGGGTGGTCGTGACTATGCCATGTCTTCACCCTAGTACCACTTCCTTGCTTTTCTATACTATGCTTAGCAGAGGGCCCCGCTGTGCAAAGGAGATAGGACGAGACAATTGTATTGGAGCACCTTCTCCATTTAAAAATGGCTGGTCTTCTCGTGTTGCTTGAATCAGGTGGTACTTGAACGGTGTGGAATAGTTCTTTTTGTACTCGTCGCTGTCTTGGGGGTCCTATGACCTCCTTTTCGCTGTGTAATCTCCTTGTTCACTCTGATGTGCAGCTTGCAGGGAGTGAAAGAACAAGCGGGATGGAGACTCCAGACCTCTTGTCAGCAGCTCTGGATGAGTCTGGAATCGGGGCGGAGGAAATGGCCAACAACCATGCGCTGGACCCCAGTCAAAACTTGTCACGCTATGTGAGTTGTGCTGTTTGTCAAAGCTGCGATCTCTCATTTTGTCTATGTCGTTTTCTTTCGTGTATGGTAACCCACTTGCTTTAGTGTGCGTGTCGTTTGTCGTGGTGGTGCTATGTGTATTTTCAAGCAGCTGGATTTTTTAGTCCCGGGAAGCTTGAAAGATGGGTGGTGCTCTGTCAATGAATGGGTTTGATTTCTTGTGGACAGGTTAGTGCCATTTCGCAATAAGAGCATTTGCAGACTTCAAATAAATCTATTAAGTAGGCATAATTTGGAATGTATAGATGTAAACATGTAAACACCGACTAGGTTGATTCATACTTTTAGTGTTATACGAAAAAAAAAAAAGAAATATTCTAATATAGGCTAGCCCATGTTTTTTTTTTTAATTCAAAAACAGAAAAACGAAAACATAGCACACCTTTATTTACATCACCTAGAGCCCTAATCGCTACCGGGGCCCTCATCTTGTCAGATGTGCAAAATGTTTTTGTGATCAGATTTTTCGCAAGCATCCGTGGCCTTTCAGATGACGATGTCCTTGCTGCCGTCGCTGCAGACTGCTGGGTCGCGAAAAGCACGAAGCCGCTTGTTGCACGCATACAGGTGGCTTCTTGCATTGCTCCGAAACGCTGCCTTTGGTGCTCCGAACCTACTCCAAAGCTCCTCCAAAACACTAAATTCCACTTCCTACCCCTGACAAATGACAGTCTACTTTGTATCTTTTTTCCTCTCTCCTGTTTTGACAAGATTTATCTGGAGATAAGCAATTATTTATGTAACTTGGTATTGCAGCTTTTAAAAGAATTCGGGGGAACTGGAACTAAACCTTAAATCTTGGCATTCTCCACCGACAATTCAAATTCAGCATGTGTCACTGCAGCAAAATAGAGAGCTCTACTTGTAAGATTCTTCCTGTCTAGTTTGTCACGCCATTTCCTGTCTTTCAACACAGTAATGAGAATAAAAACACTTATTTTTGATGTGATGAGCTGTGTGTTTGTGTCTTGTCTCCGTCTTGTTATAACGTTGTTTCTTTGTTCTGAATCAGTATGTAACTGCCAGCTCAGTTCAAAACTCTAGTATTAGTTTCTGTGAAGTTTTATCAAAATAAATTGGGATGATTACTCTTCGTTTCATGGACCTGGCTGAACTGTTGCGCTTAAATCGGTGTCTGCGTTCAGTATCAAGAAATTTGGGTAGAGGCCGAAGTTCATTTTTTTAACCAGTGTGTGGGCGTACTGTTGCACCCCTTACATTGTTGCTCAAGCGCACAGAGGTGAAATAGCATCAATTATTTCCCAAGTTGATTCTTCTGTTGTTTTGATTTTCAGCAAATTCCTCCGCACCTGATGAACTACTTGCCGCCTCACATGATCCAGCAGATGGCACAACACATGGCCCAACAGATGGCACAGGCAATGGCTCAGCAGATGCCTTTCCCTCAAGCAGGCCCAGGCGGCAAGTTCGCCCCAGGAATGGGTCCCCCTGGCCCCGGCATGGACAAGGGTCCGAGCGCACCAGTACTACATGGTTCCACCTTTTGGGTTCAAGGCCGGAAATGGAGGAACACCCCCGTACCCCATATTTCGACCGCCTTTCGGAATGGGGTCGGGAGTCATGCCTCCCCAGGTGTGTGCCGTGATGTGATTGTTGTGCCAATTGCGCCGAGAGGGGGAACCTGGTGCGTACTGCTACATTTCGGCAAATATTTTACGCCGAAGCTACGTCGTTTCTGCAGTGTTCTGGAGGAAACAAAAAAGTGGCAGTCATTCGAGATTCTTGTTTAAATCGTGACTAACCTAATGGTTGTTGAATAGACAGACAGGAGCTATGTACAGTAAACCCTTGTTAATTCAAAGTCACTGGGACCGTGGAAAATCTAATTAAGTGGGTATTTGAATAACAGAAATAGTCAAAAGGTGGGATTCAAGGAACATAAATGATTGAAAATATTGAGAGGTGGTTGTTCGTGTGCTGGGCTAGGTTGCGGCTCGAAGGGTTATGTTTTCAAGCAATACTTGGTCCCAATTTTGCCACTAACATGGGGAACAGAGGGCCTAGCTGCTGGCATGGGGGGCCCTCTGTGCTGAAATTCATGCATCAGGAGGAGTTGTGCTTCACTGCAACACAATCATGGACATTCGGGCACCATGTCACCTGCTTCTCACGGTGTCAGCGCATCATGATGCGACCATTCGCCCATTCTTCCTGCAGTAAAATGTTTAATAAGAGCTAGTTGATGGAATCCGCAATGTGTTTTGGATGGAAAACATTATCATTAAAGTTTTGATTTTTAAAAGTAGGCATTGCAGGTGAAAACCCAGCCAGCAATGCAATTACACAAATTGCATTGTGTATTGCTGGGTGCAACCGTGGAACGATGCCTTTTCCGATTTCGATGCTTATGATTATGTTCGCACTTGGCCAGTGTGGTAACTAATCAGAGCGGCTCTTCATCTGCATTATCAACAAAATCAGCTAGCCGCGAGTGATGGATGATAAGAATGGCATAGAATAATGCAAAAGTCGCCACTTCACGATACCCTATTTCCATCTCGGCGTTGTCGGATACTTTTGACTGGCGGGCAGCTGCTGGTGTTAATGCAACTGTTTGATTCGTTCACGAAAGCGGTTTTAGGCTATGTCAAATTCTGTCAGACAGTCCTTTGTCATCATGATGCTCTGACATTGCATGAAGCATGTGACATACTGCTCGTGTGTCACCACTGTGTTGCAATGAAACACGTCTTCTCTACTGCGGATGCACATTTCAAATGACCACAAGACTACTTTGTTGTTTTTTTACTCTGGCTGCAGCGAGGCCTAGGTGCTTCACCTGTCACTCATTAGTATCGCTACAGTGCAGTGTCTTGTGGCTCCTAAGGGTTGTTGTTTCCACTATATTTGGGGCCAAGTTGGTATCTGGAATTGCATGGCATTCGAAGTTTTCTAATTAAGCAATCAATCTGTGTGCCCTGTCATCAACTGAAATGCCCTAGTTTCACAGAAATATGTGCTTGTGGAAGACGGCATTGTAAAAGTAGCTCATGCCGCACCAAAAAATTAGAGGTTGCACATTGCACGACAACTTTAAAAAACTCCAGCTTGATGTGGTAACCAAAATAATAATGGCTAGAGGGGGGGTATCGAAAGCTGAAATCGCTGTGTGTAGAATGTCAGCACATGAGTAATCTTTCTAATCAGAATATCAACTTTGGGGACTCAAGGTTTATGCCACCAGTCTTGTAAATCTGAATGTTAATACATTTGTGGCTGAAGGATGAGGGGTGGCACCGCCGTGCAAACAATTGTTACGGCCTATCCTGCTTAATTAACGTTTTCTGCTGCTGCACACACATACTGCGAGATTATGATTAAGATTAGTGAAAATAGCTTTTAACTATTTGGGAGTTTAAGAAAAGTAGGAATTACAAGTTTTTGTAAGACGACAGTCTGTTGCTGAATTGTGGTTGCATTAATTGCATAGAATGCATGCACGTTCTTGAAGAGACTGTCGTATAATAGTTTGCCGGCTTTGCTATTTATTTTGATTGATTTCCAGAAGAGTTTTTGCAAGGCACATAAGTATTTAGACTATTAGTCATAATACAAGCACTGAGATCAACTCAATGTAGTTCGATCTTCAAAGCTGTACTTGAAATTGTGTTCTTAATCCAATGAAGTAAGACAAAGCAAAGCATTCTTTTGTGGTGTGTTGTCTCCCCCTAACCTGTGTTCAGCAAATATCCTGCGTTTTCAACCCCTAGATCGAAACAGATATGGAGTAGGTGTCGTACTGAAGTGTAGGTTCCAGTGTTGATTATCTAGCTAGCCTAGCACCCCCCCTCCTCTCTACACACATACACACACATTGCATCAGCTTGCTTTGTTTCGAACAGTTACATTCATCATTCCCTGTAGAAGGGCCAAAATGGCCTAGTGGAACTTTCTTGTGAAGTGTGCTCAAGCCCATAGTGAGCGTGCAAGTGGCCGTTTTGTGCAGCCTCAACAGACTGGAGAGGATGCTGAAGAGGAAGAGGAACTGGGACTGGCTGAGACGTACGCTGAATACACTCCTTCTAAGCGTGAGTCGTTTGTTTTATCTACTGCGCACTTTTGCACCGCATTGAAGCCCGTGTTGGTATGTGGTGTGTGCACGGCAATTCTCGATATACATGTAAGCCCATAACTGGATAGCAGTGTTTGAGATGCAGTAGTTTTCTTAGTGCAGTCACATTAGCTGGGCTTTTGTAATCTGCAAGAACTAAATCTGTGTAGATGTAACATAATGATCTTTGTTGAAATGGGTTGAACAGATGACATTGCAGCAGATGTGCGAAAGAAAGGTTGGTCTGACAAATACCAGCAATTAGGATTTCTGATTTTCTATTTTGGTCGTTGTGATGTTGTGGCATTTGAAAGCATTTTCAAATTTAAATTGACTGCATTTTTCATGCTGCTGCTTTAAATATTTTACATGTAATATTCAGGACCAAGTCATGCAATGCAGTTTTTAGGAAAGATTGCGCAATGCCTTGGAGTAACCTGGAAATGTCAATTTTCGCAGCTTCTTCGCATTGAGGTCGTGCTACATTATTTTCATTCTGTAGATTTATTTTTGGGCACTTGTGTCTCCGAAAGTCTCAAGGTTGCATGTGGCATATCTCTGTGGTGCACGATTTGCGATCGGCCGTCTCGTCCTCTTTTTGTTACAGTGAAAATCGGCGAGCGGCACCCGGATCCTGTGGTGGAGACCAGCTCTCTGTCGAGTGTACAGCCGCCGGCTGTGTGGTACAACCTATCTATTCCTGAGGAGGTCATTGACCGTGCTCTCCTATCCGCACTTCAGCTGGAAGCAATTGTCTATGCAAGCCAGCAGCACGAAGTGCTACTTCCCGATGGAAGCCGGGCGGGGTTCCTCATTGGTATGCTTTGGCTGTACATCGTGAGCCTTTCTTAATTGTACACTAAACCTCGATATAACAAAGTATTGGTTATAATTAAATAAATGAGTCGCAATAAATAGTGTTAGGAATATATACATACCTCTATAACGAAGTTTTGGATAAGACAAACTTATTTGAAGTTGGAGTGTATACTGAAATATACAACTATAAATGGATGTTATTATCTGGCATAGCAAGGGCGAAAGTGGCAGCAATTTCTTTTCGTAATAACTCTGATGATTACCATGAGGTGATAGCATTCCTGTTGCAGTTAAGAGCATTGAGGAAATGTGGGATTTTACCTTTACAGTTAGCAAGGCTGTAGCAGCTGGCTCTCTTCAAGCAGCTCAGTACACATGTTCAGTTACATCTTTTGTGGCGAGTGGAAATGCTGGGCAACCAAAGATGGCAGTTTGCTTAGTAAGGAGCCGCGTGGATTTTTTTTTTCTTTATTGTAGGTTGTGCTGAATGATTGCTGAATAGATTCAGGCCCTTGGATATATATCGTATGCTAGCATTCATGAGTTGTGTAGGGGTATGCCAAAGTGTGCGACAATCTGGCAAATAGAAAAAGGTCAGCTGCTTTACGTTTGTTGTCCATTAGTTGAGTACAGTCGAACTCCGCTACAACAAACGCCGCTTCAACGAAATTTCCCTAAAACGAAAAATTTACGATTCCCCGTCAGCGGTCCAAAGGAGTCTATGCATAAATATTGTCTTCACAACGAACACTTCTTCTTCGATCGTCCCGCTTCAACAAAATTTTACGATGAAATTCCAGGCTCAGAAACTTATTGCTATGCAGTAAATCCAATCTTTAGCATTCAGATGCATTTTCAGAGCCTGAAAATGTGTCAACGAAGTCTAAAACATGCGTTGGCACCACCAGAAACCGCCGCTGTTTAGCAAGCATGGGTGCGCCATTGCTCGATAGCGATGGCAATGAGACTGCCCTGCTTTTGCCGCTGGCTTGCTTTTGACCCGCAGACGATACGAAGCTGAAGCTCAGTCGCTGAGTTCATGGTTTCCTTCATGCAGCTGCTGGGCGCAACAGCGGAACGATGCCTTTTCCGATTTCGATGCTTATGATTATGTTCGCACTTGGCCAGTGTGGTAACTAATCAGAGCGGCTGTTCATCTGCATTATCAACAAAATCAGCTAGCCGCGAGTGATGGATGATAAGAATGGCATAGAATAATGGAAAAGTCGCCTCTTCACGATACCCTATTTCCATCTCGGCGTTGTCGAATACTTTTGACGACGGGCAGCTGCTGGTGTTAATGCAACTGTTTGATTCGTTCACGAAAGCGGTTTTAGGCTATGTTTCAGCGTGCTTTTCACCATGGCCTCGCTATGCATGGGTGAGAATGACGTCGTGACGCTGCTGGGGAAGAATAGGAAGAAGGAAGCAGCAAACATTTTTTGAGTTTTGAGAATAAACGTTCCTTTGCCTTGCAAGATAGGATCAGCTATATTTTTTCGATGTACTACAACGCAATTTTTCCACGCCCGGTCAGTTTCGTTGTAGCGGGGTTTGACTGTAGCACCTGCGCTGAAGCATCGCTAATGTGAACTTGAATGCCAATGCTTTTACAGGTGCAATATTGAAAGTCTAGCCTGTGTTAGTCACTTCACAGAGCAGATACACGAAGACTTACTACAGGCTTACTGTTGCTTTGCACGCATTTGTAATCTTGCAGGAGACGGTGCTGGTGTGGGCAAAGGCCGAACCATCGCAGGGATTATTTATGAAAACTACCTTTTGGGCCGCAAGAGAGCAATCTGGTGAGCTGGAATCTCTTACCGCGACATGCAGTTTAGTTACGAAGTGTATATGGGCCATCCACGTATACTTTTGGCAAACACAGTATTATTTTCACTGTTATAATTCTGCGGTGCAAAATATTCGTACTAACTTGAATTCGTGTACTGCAATTTTGAGTGATCAGTGAGCTAGCCAAGTGAGACACTAATTTGGTTTTAACTTCCGTCAATCAGACAAGATCAAAGAAATTTGTGCTATAAGTTAAATTGAGCCCCGCAGAGCTCAGACCTTTCCCTTGCTTGTAAGCAGGCAATGTTAATCAATCCTGTGTAGTTTACTTTCGTCAGTTTGCACAATTCTGCACCCCTCTCTGGAAGGTTGCCTGCAAGGAAGCACATTAAATTTGACAAAACATACATGCTCCGATTTGTTGCACCATAGATATTTTGCTCTAGTGATCCATGCGATTGCAAGTTTGGCATGTACGTACTTGTGATCGTAACCTTCATTTTGAATACATATGTTTCTGCAGGGTGAGCGTGTCCAATGATTTGAAGTACGACTCCGAAAGAGACCTGCGGGACATAGGTGCTGGAAAAATTGAGGTTCATTCTTTAAACAAGGTACGAATGGTTGTTCTCTCTTCTTGCATGCACAGAGTCCATCATTACACATTTGGAGGCATTATTGCAACCCTAGTAAAAGGGATAAGACATACCCCAATGTTATGTTTAACCATTTGAGACGCTTTGTACACGGTCGTGTGCACAACTCTTTTTTTGCCAATTGTGTCGGCTAATACCTCAAATACCGTATTTACTCGATTCTACCGCGCTCTCGATTGTAACGCGCACCCGATTTCCACCGCGGGGAAAAAAAAAAAAAAAAAAAAACCTTAAGACATCGATTGCAACACGCACCCATTTTTCTCGCTGGCCCGCACGATCACACCACTCGAAAAAACGACTCCTTTCGGGAGCGTCTTCCATTTAAATATGAGGTACGGGCGAAGCTTGTGCCCGTCTGACGTGTAACAGAGCATTGCCGTCACTGAAGTTTTACCGTGGACCGATGTCAGCACGCGAACTTGCTTCGCCCCCTTCTTCTCGACGGTTGTGGTGCCAGGCATGTCGAAGTAAAGAGGCGTCTGATCGGCATTCCCGATTTGCCCAAGCAGGTAGCCGTTGTTGCACCGCAAGTTTAGGACGAACCTCTGAAAACTGTGAAGCTTTTCATCGTACTCCTCCGCAAAAATTTTCGCATATGCGTGTTCCCCTTCGGAGGGAAAAACCTTTCCTCTTCATAAAGTTAGTTAGCCAGCACCTGCTCGCTTTAAACTGGCTCCGCATTAGACCTTTTTCTAAGACTAATTGCATAGCCCGCACTTGGAGCAGTTCTGTCGTCACGGGCCGCTGTGACGCTCGCTGCTCAAGCACATGCTCGCCGAGCAGCTCTTTAATTTGCGGAAACCGACCCTGCTGTGGTCCACTGAAGCCTTTGCGTGAAGCTTTGCTGTCGACAATCTTTTGCTTTTGTTTCCGCCGGTCCCGCACGCACGTTTCGGGAACTCCGAACGACCACGATGCGGCCCGATTTCTGTCCGTTTCTGCACACGCGATTACTTTTCTTTTAAAAGCGGCATCGTGGTGCACTCGAGTTTTTGGAGTCGGCCCTTCCACGCTGTCGATGCTAATGCACTACTAGATGACGAACTCCTCAGCACACGTACGAAGTGCCGCACATGGGAAACACATAGGCAGAAATGGCCGACGCGCCATGCCGACGCACGTAGGGGGCGGCCATTTTGGATTTGCCGATGGCAATAGATTGATCATAATTTTTTTGTTCGTACTCGATTCTAACGCGCATGCGATTTATGAACTCGCTTAACCGGAAAAAAGGTGCGCGTTAGATTCGAGTAATTACGGTAGAACAAGTTACATTGAGCTCCTGCGTAATTAATTTGTCTTTCATGCATGTTGCTGCCGATTATCACTTTGCTTAGTGCACCACCATGTTCGACTAATCGTTTCACGTGCCACTTTCCACGAGCTACATCAAAAGTATATTTGTTTGCTTGAAAAGAGTATGGCCAAAATTAATTTGTACTTGACTTTTAACTCGAGCTTTCATGCTATTCAAGCAAAAAATAAAGATGAGTGACTTCAGGGCGAACTTCAATCAAAATAATTCTGAAAAGCACACATATACATGCACACAAAAATATTGCACACAGAAAATATTTTCGTTGCAACAGAATATGGGTTGCTATTGTGTAAATTTGGCGAATTTCTTGCCTGAAGGGAGGTTAATGGGTATGCAAGCATAACTGCAGCTGAGAACTTGCAATGAACTTCCCAAGTCCCCCAGTCTAGAATCCTAGTTCTCTGCTGTGCAGGTGAATTGCTCCAAGCAGCAACTTCAAAGGCATTTCACGAGACTGTGCACAATCTCAGGTGTATTCTAAGGAAAGCATAGTGAATTAGTAGAAGCTTAGAACATTTGCTTAGTGTATTGCAGGACTTGCCTGACAGAGTTCATCTCGATTATGAGTTTATGCAGTCGAATCTCGAACTCAAAGGGGCCCGGAAATTTGTTCGAATTAAGGGGGGAGGCTACACTTGATGGCAACTTTTTTTTATTTATGTATAGATCTTAACGACATCTCACAGTCCGTGTACTTAGATGTTCAGATTCTAAAAATGTAATTACTTCTTTGATAGGTCAAGCAGTTTCCGAGATACTCCAGAATCAATGTAAAACCTGGGTCCTTTGTTTGCAGCCTAATTAGCATCTAAGCAGGGTGCACCAAAACATTGGCAACAGTGTAAAAACAATGCAGGATGTTTAAGGAGTGCGATATGCTGTAAATCAATTTGCTGGGCCAATTTCAACAAGAGCACATCAATGTTCAGAGAAAAAAAAAAAGCCACCTTCACCTGTCATGCATGTAAACCTATTAAAAAATGTTTTTATCTGTATATTGCCTTCAAAATAAGCATATTGCATACTAACATGCATTTATCTTTTTGGCAAAAAAAAAAAATTATGCATTTAATAGCTCGAATGGAACAAAAGTTATTTTCCCTCCAACTTAAGCAAATGTGCCAAAATTGTTTTGAGAAAACGAAGAAAATCTATCCAAAACACTCTTATTGAGAAAATACTAATAAAATCTTATGAAAAATGCACCAGGGCATATTCTGGATGCATCCCATTCTTACGCTTATTCTTGACCAGCTTTCTCAGACTTTAGGACGCTTCTTTTTATTTATTTGAGGTTGCACTCTGACGACAGTGCTTCTCCCTATCCCTCAGGGATGCGCTGCTGATTATCATGACGCCCAGCTGCTCTAGAATAGCAGCAAATGTATTGACATTGCCCGTGTTGAAGCACAGCACAGCTTCTGCATCAGCAGCTTGCACAGCATAAGGAGAATTGTGCTGCTCCTTTGATACCAAACTCCAAAACACGGATTGGAGGCTTTCATGTAAATTCTGAGTCTTGCCTTGCTGGTATCTTGCCTCGATGCCTCACCACTCGTCTCCAAAAAGCGCCCAATTTTTAGTGCTTTTGCCGACACTGACGAAAGACCCTCAAGCGTAGTGGTTGTCCTCGCGGGCGCACGCGTCGTGAACTTCACTCACATTAGCTGTCTGCCCGCATACGGCCGGAGTCGACATAGCGCTTGCTGTCTGGAAGGACCTGTGTCTACGTGCACTTCACCATTGCCTATAGCATCGGCGCGGTCATAATTCACAGAGCGCCCGCTATCCGGGGAAGCCTTCTCGCACACTTCTTAATTGGTAACATCTTCAGTACACGGGCGGCCAGCGTCCACGCCGCGCACGCATGAAAAACCGACTTCAGGTTACGACGTTATCAAACAACGTCGGCACTTGTTCCCGCGAGAGAGTAGCAGCAGTTCTGCCTTTCTTCCCTCAACAACGAAAATGATGCTGTGATTGGAACTTTTTTGCACCGTCCGGCATTGCGAGACGCACTAGCAGGTATACAAGTCACGACACCTTCACAAGGGCGATACCCTTTCAAAACGACGGCGAACACTGCCAGCAAATTATTGGGAAGCTCCATTTTGGTCACGTGCATCAAGCAACCAAAGGAATCATGCGCTACGCGTGATTTTCACTTCGGTTTTTTTGCTTTTGCGAGGGGCACATAGTTGTCTACTGGAAAAGAACAAAAAAAGCTATAAACACGACCTTTCCAACAAGACAATGGCGCTGGCGGAGCGCGTACTTCGCATGCCATCGGCGGTGTAAGTACTGCTAGTTTACACTTCAATTTAACGGTCCGCTTGAGCGAAGTTGCTCTTTTTATGGGTTATAACTTGAGCAATATGTGGAATTTCGAAGCCAAACTTTGCTGATAGATGCGAAAGGGCATCGGGAACGTGAAAATAACGAGAGAGAAAATTCAAATTTTGGGCCGATTTTCCACTTCTAAATGTGTAAGAGTGCCGACACCCCCTGTAAAGTTGTTTGCGCTGCATTGCGCACATGTCTCGCCCAAAAGTCGCATTTCGGATTACAACTACCGGGTGGTAGGTGGCGTTGTGTTCGGGAGCATTGATCACCACTATCTTCATCATCATGGTATAATCCCTGGCAGAAGGCAAGCCTTAGTGGCGGGCGAGAGAGTTGAGCGAGTCTCTTCTGCGCTGTGGCAGGTTGCCGCGAACATTTGTCTCTAGCGTGGGTCACCGATGCGTGGCACCGCAGGTTGCGGGTCAGGGGCCCTCGTGGTAAGTCGAGCGTTGGCGACGCCTCCTTAAGTGTGTTTTGAAGTGTTTGTGTAAGGATGTCCTAGCGTGTTGATCTCGATTTATGTTATAATAATTCGGCGACGATATTGTCGTTCTAAAGCAGTAAAATATATGTCTTTTAGTTTGGTTTGGTTTGGTTTGGACCGAGCGCATCTGCTGTGTCTGTTCACTCCAAGAGCGTGGTGCTCGCCACTTCAAGACCCCACAAGTGTCGTGTCCCCCCTTAAAAGAAGTTGGAATTAATAAAAGCTAAATGAACGGAGGACTCGCCATGCAGTGGCGCATGTGCATTGAGCTAACGCATGAGGGGGAAGTTTCAGAAGACTTACATTTATTCACGAATCAAAGGATATCCATCATTAATTGAAGTAATCGGCGATGCACGTCTGCACACTTTTGCCTATCAGCGACTCAATTTAGCTTGCAGCTTGCAAAGCATATCTACTTCGGCTTCAGCATTTTCCTGGCAAAAGAAGTTGCGAGCGGCAATGTCCAGAGCCGACACTCTCTAAAGACTACAACAAAATGACTGTGTCTCCGCTACGCAGCCGCAGTGTGGCCAGCAAGTAACAAGAAAGGAGGAGAGTTTCGACGCAGAGAGAAGCAGATCGGCATTTGAAAAAGAACTGAAGGTCCATATAATTCACCCTGCACTTCCAGAACTAGTTCACAGTGGTTCCGTCTCGGTGCTGTCTTCATGTAGGTGACGTTTCAAATAGTGCAGCAGCGACGAGACGCAGAAATGAATACGAGAGTGCAGATGTCGTGCAAGGCCCTATGCTACTCATCGGCTGTCTCGAGGGTTGTCGAGGCTGTGCTTCGTAAAAGACTGCGCCGCTTACGTTGTTTGGCATGTGTCTGCCTGGAAAATTTTCAGTGTCTTAATTGTTGCTCGTCGCTAAGACAGACACGAATGCGATCAGGCTGTGTCGTCTGCTGCAGCTGCAGCCATCTTGTGCTGCACAGACTCGGCACTATCTCACGAGCAGGTGCAGGGAATTCGTGAACTGACCTTGCACGACAGCTGCATTTTTTTAAAACGAATACTGCGGTTCACGAAGTGCAGGTGAAATGAATGGACCTCAACACTTCATGACAGGTTTTTTTTTTTCTTCGCGTGCGTCGTTGAAAGGAGAACGGTCTGCGTGGCAGGGATGAGAAAGGGGAATGCGTGGCACTGGCGACGCGTGAGAGAAAGCCAACGCTCTGCGACAGCTTTCTTTTTTTCTCTCTCTCCCTTCGCGCGTTGCGTTAAAAGAAGAAGGGTCTTTATGTGGCAGGGACAAAAAAAGGGAGAAGCGTGGCACAGGCGCGTCGTACATCAGCATTTGAGGGAGTGCAAACAGCCTTTTCTTTCCTTTTATTTTCCTTCGCGAGCAGCCTTGAGGTGTCAGAGGGGCCATCCTGGGATAGGGCGTGGTGCTGTGAGCATTTTCGGAGCGCGATATGTTCGAATATACCGTCGTAAGTGCTTGCCCACTCGGATTACAGGGCGTTTTTGCCAATTGGAATACACATCGCTTTGGTGGGACTTTAGCGTGAGTTCGAATTAACCGGAAGTTTGAATTAAGCCTGTTCGAGTTAATGAGATTCGACTGTATGTGGCTTCTTTACAAGAAATTTGTGTGCAAGCGTTTTCATTGTTCTATTCTCAAAATTGATTTAAAAATTTGCGATTGCACAATATTGTTAGACTGTTGCATCTTTGAAGAAGTTACATGGGAGCTTCTCTCACATGACTGACTGCAGCTTGAGTAATGCATTTTTATTGATTGATTTTTCATCTTGAATATGACCAAGGTTCGCTTGGGACGCTTCTGAAGCACGACGTGGTATTTGGGCATTGCAGTTCAAATACGCGAAGATCTCCTCCAAGGTGAATGGCAGCGTGAAGAAGGGCGTCATATTTTCCACGTACTCGTCTCTGATTGGTGAAAGCCAAGGTGGTGGCAAGTACAAGACGCGACTCAAGCAGCTCCTGCACTGGTGTGGCGATGATTTCGACGGAGTTGTATCCTTCATTACTGTTTGAGTAATACTTGTTTCTGGGCAAATCTGCTGATGTTAAAGGGATACATATTAGTACAAAGTAACAGAGACTCAAAGGAAACGCAGTAAAAGGTTACAGGATTGTAGGGAAAAAAATTCGGAAATGCGGACTAGCCTGGAAAGTCATTTCCACTCTTGCGCCGAACATATGCAGCGCTTCAGTGCTTGTTGCACGCCCAAAATTGTTTAAATAACCATGTTGTAGTCCAATATGACCATATTAATGAGAGCGACGGCAAGGTATACAAAGGCTGGGCTGGAGAATACGCTCGATTTTTTTTTTTTATAATTAACGACAGTTGAATTAAGAATTTTTTTTTTTAGTAGTAGGGAGTATAGTAAAGTTGGAAGATTCTGAAGTTATTCGAGGCTTTTCACATTTTAAGGAAAGAAACACGCGTTGCAATAGTAGTGACACTGCTGTTTGCTTTGTTTTTGTATTTTATTGAAAGTGAGTGATATGTCTTTGCGATTACCTTTTGCCTATACTGACATGCTCGCGCACAACTGTTCTGTTCCTGTGCCTTCACTTTTTCAATAAACTGTTCTTTTATAATTTCATTTTTCTGCTTCCTATTATTTCTTTCTTGAGTTTTATTTGTTTGCACTAATATGTATCCCTTTCTGTAACTGTTGTATTCAGTACTGTGTGGTGTTATGCTTGTGCATATGTGCTTTGAAAGCCTTAGTACAATCTATTGTTGATTGCATACTTTCTAGCTCTCTTGAATTTTCGATCCGGTTCATGGCGAGACGACAGTTTAAGATTAGGCACACATTAGGGCTGGCCTTTGTGTTCGTGCCTTCAAGGCGGAGATACCACAGTCTTAAAAATGTTCCACTCGACTATAGTCGTACATCAAAATGAACCCCAAATAGTCCAACTTAATCCTGAGGCCCCACTATGGCATGCCTCACAATCTTGTTTGTACATCAACCTTCCGTTAGAAGTATGGTGGTGGAAGATTGCGAATAGTGTATTTTGTTTGAATGACTGTATGCAGAAAAGTTTCTAAGCTAGCGAAATTGCCCCCTCTACTTTTGCTCTTGGAAGTGCATTTCAAGGTGTGTGGTTCAATTGGCGGTGCCTTTTCAGAAGTGTTTGTAGCTTGACACCAGTTCTGAGAGAGATGTGGTAACATCTAGAGAGCTTTCGTCGGCATGGTGTTTAGGCCATGAAGAGATCTTTAGGATGTACCGTGTGCATAAGTTGTCTGGCACTCGGGTTCTTGAGAAAGCTACAGCAGAATATGGGTCAGTGAATGTTTTTTTAAATGTTATCGCTGCGTGGAACAGCCTGCTCTAGTTTGATTGGTCTTGTGTTTGACTTCTATGCTTAATGCATACTTCACCAAGAACATATCTGTCAGATTATTGTAACATTTGTTGATAATGTTCTTTATAGTAGGTTCTCTGGGCAGTGCTAGCATCATTTTTTGGGCTCCTTGACTGCACGGTCAGATTGTATTTGACGAGTGCCACAAAGCCAAAAACTTGTGTCCCGTGGGCTCCTCCAAACCAACCAAGACTGGCCTCACTGTGCTAGAACTGCAGAACAAGCTTCCCAAGGCACGAGTGGTCTATGCCAGTGCTACAGGTCAGTGACTGGCCAACCTAGCATTCTTTTTAACCATTTCACTTTGGTTGTCAAGTATAGTCATGACCCCCGCCGCGGTGGTCTAGTGGCTAAGGTACTCGGCTGCTGACCCGCAGGGCGCGGGTTCGAATCCCGGCTGCGGCGGCTGCATTTCCGATGGAGGCGGAAATGTTGTAGGCCCGTGTGCTCAGATTTGGGTGCACGTTAAAGAACCCCAGGTGGTCTAAATTTCCGGAGCCCTCCACTACGGCGTCTCTCATAATCATATAGTGGTTTTGGGACGTTAAACCCCACATATCAAGTATAGTCATGAGATTTTGTACCAAATAACCGGTGGTGTGTACTATACTCGTCATAGATGGCCATACTTGTCAGCGTAGGGCCATTTCAATACCGTCCAAGTCTCAGGTCGATCAGTTTGTTTGCTTGTACAGTTGTTAGGAAAACCTCCCGAAAGTCAAAATTTCTGTGCATGATCTGGTCGCATTGACGAAAATTATTTTGCGCATCCTTTGCACTTTATTGCAGATAAATGTGGGAGGCGTTCGTCTGATTGCACAGTGGTATCACAGTGATGCGAAACCGGCATATATGAATTCGTGAAGTTTCCTAGCCGGATTCATGTTCATCGAGCCAAAATTCATATGTTCTGAACAGTTCCTCGTCGCGGCAAGTCGTATGAACTTTAGTACCGAATAGCAGCGTGCTAGAAGCTTTGGAAGGTCGCGCGCAGCCAACACAAGTACCGTCAGAACTGTGTTTTTGTTTGCCGTAATTGCTGTAGACAAAACTGCAGTCGCTCTTGACATGATCATGTATGGCGACGACATAACTGACAGAACTCCAAAAGTGCACGTGCATCGCACGCTCGACCAGTCAAAGCAACATTGCTTTCTACAAACGCTCTGAACGAAATCGGGGCAGATGCAGTTGTAGATAGCTAAAAACGACTGTTTTGAGGGCACGTGCACGAAATGGGGGTTGTGGCGACGCGATGACTAGCTGAGGGCACACGGCTAATACAGCGGTAGATCAAAGGCAATAAAGATTGTAAAAAGGCTACAAGTATGTTTGGCGTTCCTGTTCAAATAATCTAGTACCATTGTTCCTGTCGATCTGCATACTTTGGCTATACCTTTGCATTCAGTTTTCAGTAGGCGTCAAGCGAAACTTCGACCCGCGCTTTTCCCAGCAGACGGCTGCGCCAGTCCCATCCGTTCACGTGTGTCCCAGGAAGATATACGCAAGTCTCTTTGGAACAAATAGATTTTGCTAGTTGTCTGATGACACAAAATTTTAGGACATATGAGTATTTTCGCCCCCATTTGCCTCTTGCCTACTGTAGTTGGAAAACCCTACCCTTGAGTATTTGCCCACTTCCAGCCATTGTAAGACAGCAGTGTCGATGTTTACGGACCCCCCCCTCCCTCGCTTTATTTTCTTGTAGTGCAAGGGGGGGGGGGGTGGAAACGAATAAGTGCAAACCCCTTTCCCTTGATGTGTATGTGCCTGTTAGTATTGGCAAAGCGCCTTTCATTGTATTTCCATGCAGTGAAGGCAACTTCTAGTTGTCCTTCTTTTGCACTTAGTGAAATAAAGGAACCCCATTGAATTAAAAAGAATGGTACCACTTTATTTGTAAAAATTTCTACAAGTTGATGGAAAAAGAAAACTGTAATAAATGTGGTGTGACTTTCCTTCTTTTTCGGGCTACGGAGAGTGTAATACACTCAGTCTTATATTCAGTGTTTTGATACATCTTCATGGCACTGCCATTTGTGGCATTCTTTCCTTGAACAATAGTAGAATATAATGGAGTAAAACTTAGTTAATGCTTACATTGAATATGCTTTCTATGCATGTTTCTTATTTTGCCTACCATGCGGAAATGTTATACATATGTTGCTATATATTCTTTGCCAGCTTTGCTTGGGCTTGTCTCCAGTGTGTAATAAACTGAGTTATTTATTCTTTGCCAGCTTTGCCTGGGCTTGTTTCCAGTGTGTAATAAGCTTATAAAGATTATGTTTAATTGCTAATAAAGTTTCAACCAGTGCATTGTGCCCCAAGCCGAGGCAGTGGGCACCTTAACTTTTCGGCCACATTTGTTAGGGCTTTCTGTATTGGGGCAGACATTTGTGCATGTTGGAGTGTGGCCACAGCAGGTATTGGTGTTGCATATAGATGAAAGTAGACGCTCAAGTTTAAAACAAACCGACCATAAAATCCTCTGCAATATATATGCCCAATGACCGAGCAAGCCCCCACCCCCTCATTCGCTACCTTTGTTTTTTCCTGCCATTTTCTTTAATACAGAATCCTGCAGCAGTGCTCTAAATGGTTTCCAGTGACCCAATTTCAACGAATCTGTGGATAGATAATAAGTGGATGTTTTTTTGTACCTCTTACAGTGTGCTGCCTCAGGGTTGCATTTCTAGTTGTCACAAATTGTCAGAAAATTTGAAGATGATCTTTTACCCCCCTTATTATAACTCTTGAAACTTTGCACAAGGATTCCCTCTGGATCAGTAAAAATAGTAAATGCATGTCTATTCATTAACACTTTTCATTAGAAGCACTGGTGTGCACTTTCAATTCTTAGTGACTCCTCTGTTGCCATCTTCAATTTTGATGCTAGACCGAACTAGACATCCCCCACCCCTCCAAATTTTCCACCTTAGAAGGAGTCTTGCTCGGGATTTTTTACGATAGTTTTAGACGTTGCTGTTGTGTTGGGTTTGCTACCTTGGAAGGGTGAGGACTTCTCAGCCTGCAAGGTGACTTGTTGCCACGGTTGGATGTGTGTTTTCTCTGCAGGTGCCTCCGAGCCAAAGAACATGGCCTACATGACTCGCCTAGGCATCTGGGGTGAGGGAACACCGTTCCGGGAGTTCTCGGATTTCATTTCAGCTGTCGAAAAGCGAGGCGTTGGGGCCATGGAGTTGGTCGCCATGGACATGAAGGTGAGCCTTTAGAATGCAGAGCTTTGTGAGGCTGTGTGCTGGATTTCCGTTTCCCCTAGTTGTACTGAGAAGCTGATGGCCTGTTACGTGCACCTGTGCTTCCCTGATTTAGAAAGAAAGCTGAAAACAGTATCTTACGAATTCGCTGGCCACTGCGAAGGATGTCTTTTCTTTGGCAGTTAACTTATAAAGTTATGGACGCTGAACTTCGAATAACCAGGCACACGACGCGAGTGGGTTGACATGCCAGCCAAGTTTTATGTATCAGAAACATATTAATGGGCATTCCAGGTTTCTATTGTAATCGATTCTGCCTAAGAAAAACATAAATGTTGGCCATGCTTTCTGGTTAGGGAATGAAACTTGTGGGTTTACTGTCCCTTGATAATCAATACGATTATTTACTTTGTAAACCTTTGTGTACCAGCCAGGCCTTTTCTCTCTTTCTTTATTTGAGTGGAAAGCTCTAGGTGCAGCACATACCCGTGTTTTCTTGAAAATTATATTTAATAGTGCATTATTTTATTGGATGACTGTACGTCTGAATTATGTTGTTGAAATTTAATTGTGAGGTGTGGACAATGGGTGGCTTGCATTGTGCCAACTGTACTAATGCTTTGTGCCGGGAGTGTTGTCTCCCTGATACATCGATGCATTCAGCAACAATCCTGTGTTGCCATAAGTGATGTCTTGCCAGGTGCGTGGGCTGTCTTCACCGATGGTAGTGGCACGAAATAACAAGGTGTGTCATTACAGGTGCTCAAACAACGCTTGGTGCTGGAGATTGCAGGTTGCAGTGTACACAGAACAGCTGTGACGGCAGGCTTCCCGAGTGGGGTGATGTAATTGCATGCATTGTCTGAGCGGTGAAGATGGGCTGGCTCGGTCAATCTCTCTGCTTCAGCTGCGTCACCTCTGCTCGTGGGCTTTTAGCCGTGGCCGAACATAAATGCACGGGCTATGTTATCAATATGGACTTTATGTGGAATGTGGTAGCGATGCCGAAAACCATGTCAAGAGTGTCCATATAATTGTTATCACAATAAACTTCAGCCAGACTGTCATAATTACTCATTGTCCGATCACTGTGGAAATATTTATTTTGCAGCTTTTTTAGTAAGCACTTACCCAGTTTTTGTTTTGCCTTGCAGTTGAGAGGCATGTATATGGCTCGCCAGCTGAGCTTCACTGGAGTATCCTTCAAGATTGATGAAATACCTCTGGCAAAACAATTCATTGCCATGTACAACGAATCTGTGAAGCTGGTAAGTTTTCATCTTAATTGAGTTGTTTTAGATTTATGGAGTGTGAGTGTTAATAGAATTTGCAGTTTGTATGCCATTCTCACTCTTCTTTCGTTCAAAATATTTCGTTCAAAATATTTCATTCGAAGGCCTGCTTAAAAGGCTAAAATACAATTTACCGGAAAATCAGCAACAGTATTCTCCTGCCGCACATGCATATGCGTTTCTGCAAACTGCTGATATTTGGAGAACTGCCGTAACACTCTCAGTGCACATCACATGTGTACATGTGGCAGAGCCTTTGAAAGCTGCTTGTTGATAAGTGGCACAAAACTTGGTCGCAGCAGGTTGATCGCATTGCCTGGGGGTCCAGTGTGTGACAGAAGGCACGCTGGATAAGTTCAACATGCACAGTGAACTGCCGGTGTAACTTTTCCAACTTTGCACCTCCACCAGTCTCATGGTCTGGAAGTGGCTGGCTGATAGCTGCAGAAATCACCAGGATTTGTTTTGGGATGTTGTTAGCAACATACAAAGTAAAACAAACAAATGCAGGCTTGTTTTGTTAAGCCCAGTGGCTTTATTGGCTTGTGGTTGTATAGGCGAACTACAAACTTCAATGTCTCTTTGTAAGGAGCTTGAAATTTCGGATCCCATGAGTTATGTCTGTGGAGTAGGAGATGGTGTTCTAGTAATATCAAAAGTAAACAAATCCGAAAAGTGCCCCGCCGCGGTGCTCTAGTGGCTAAGGTACTTGGCTGCTGATTTGCAGGTCGCTGGATCGAATCCCGGCTGCAGCGGCTGCATTTTCGATGGAGGCGAAAATGCTGTAGGCCGGTGTGCTCAGATTTGGGTGCATGTTAAAGAACCCCAGGTGGTCTAAATTTCCGGAGTCCTCCACTACGGCGTCTCTCATAAACATATGGTGGTTGTGGGATGTTCAATGCCACATATAAATCAATCAAATCTGAAAAGCTAAGTGATTGGAAAATAATTGCCTGTTTCACTTGACATCTGCATGCGGCCAGGCCGACAGTGGTCATTGCAACCTTGTGCCTCTCTTAGTGGTTGTTTGCTGTTGTGCAGTGGGTGGATGCTCGTGCAATGTTCCAAGAGGCAGCTGAGCTGATGGAGGGTGATTCGCGCATCAAGAAGACTATGTGGGGCCAGTTCTGGGCCTCGCACCAGCGTTTCTTCAAGTATCTCTGCATCGCTTCGAAGGTACCCCACGTGGTGTCCCTCGCCCGAGAGGCTGTCAAAAATGACAAGGTGAGCAGTGGATTACCCACGAGCACAAGTGCGCGTTATCCGCAATTCCTTGTGCTTCACCAATTGTGATAGGATCCTTAAGTTTGCGTGGAACTTGTGGATAACTGGGACAGGCTTGCCCGGTTGTAATACAGTCGAACCTCTTTATAAGAGGCACTGTTGAAGAGACAAATGGGTATGTATAAGAGACACCAGTGTGCTTATAGTAAGATATGGCTTGATAAGAAAATGCATACATGGTACCTGCTTATAAGAGACATCTCATATAAAAGACAGCAATTGCTGCCAGGAGCAGTGCTTCTTATAAAGGGGTTCTACTGTATTGTTATCCCACTGGCATATCGTTTCTCCGAAGAAGTCTGGCCTTTGTGTTTTTGTGAAAGGACATGGCAGAACCTGGCCTGTGTGGACATTGTAAACTGCGGTAATATGGAGCTAGTTGAAACTGCATGCAAGTGTCAACGCTGAATTTTCTGACCCTCACTTGGGTAGGCTTGTTTAGGGACCTGTGAAGTGTCTTGGTCTTAGACAACTGTGACCTGACTGCTAGTCTAAAATGTAATGATGAGACGCTTGTAGTAAAAGCGCTGCACATTTTGAGTGTGGATGTCACGCAAGATGTTCATGTGTTTCTTCCTTCAGTGCGTGGTGATTGGCCTGCAGTCCACTGGGGAGGCTAGGACACTGGAACAGCTAGAGGAACAAGGCGGTGAACTCTCAGACTTTGTCTCTACGGCCAAGTGAGTGCAATGACAAAAATGTCTGTCTTATGTTGTGCTAGGTTCCTGTGGTGACTTGTATACAATAACATTCTCTTCCATATCTGTTCTTAGTGCTGTGGGGAGCCTGAACGACTGAACATCACTCTCATCCTTGTCAGTAAAAGTAAACTTATTGATAATTACCATAGAGTTCTGAGCCAGTGACCGTAGGAAATCAAAATAACTGGCCAAGCGAATTAATGAGGGGGGTTAGGAGTATCATGGAATTGTGCCAACATTCAGAATGGCGGTGACAAACCTTTCCTGCTGGAAATAGGCCGAGTGCACATGGATTTTCTCAGGACTCCTCTTGCTCCCTCGTTCATGGCCTGGTGCGTTCTAACCCTCTCAGCAACTCTGAACGCAAGAAATACTAAGGAAACTGAAAACACCAACAGACTACGGGGAGCATGGCATCGAAGCACGACTGATGTGCTCTTGCCGACATGGCTTTGGGCAAGACACACGTCCTGAATGCCTTACTGTTGTTAAGCACATGGGTCATAGCTACTGCCTTTGAATTGCAGATGCAAGTGTTGAAGGCCATTCTTTTTGCTTCAAGGAAGCTGGCAAACATACGTCGTGTGCCAAGTTTGGGGTGCGACCATTATGTGGCACAGAAAGAAAATGTCAAATTATGATGATAATGTTTGTGTGCTAACGGTTGGAGGTGAAGCTGCTAAGCAGGATTGGATTGGATTCTGGCACGCCAGTGCTGATAGATGAACTGTGTGATGACTGTTCGGAGTAAGTTGGGAGGGGGTGAGGGCGCTCAGCATTGTACTGTAGTGTGTGGCATGTCGAAGAAGGGAACATAGGAGCAGTGTGTGCCTGTACAACTGCTGAATGTCCAAGTTGAATGATGTTTTCCCAGATGACCCACAGTGTCACTGATGTCTTTGCATATGCAGGGGAGTCTTGCAGACTCTTATCGAGAAGCATTTTCCGGCACCCAACCGCAAGAAGTCGCTGAGGCTTCTGGGGCTAGGTGGCATTGTAGATGACCCGATCCCCTCGCCGCCCCCGTCTTCGTCGACGGGGGGACACAAGCGGAAGAGTGCTCGACAGGCTCGGCAGGGGGTGAAGCGCTACAGGGAGGCTTCCTCGGGTGACGACTACGACAGCGACGTTGAGGTCAAGAGTGAGCCGGAGAGCGACTTTGAGCCGTCTGTGTCCAGTTCAGCAGCGGAGGACTCCGAAGGCAGCTCGGCTGTCGAATCGGACGCAGAAGACGACTTCAACCCTTTTGGTGATGACTCGGACAGCGACGGTGAGTTCTTTTCACCTGTGCCGACATATTATTTTGAGTGCCTGTTTCACTTGATATCTTAGTAGTTAAATTGTAACCTTTAATTGTTACTAATACCGTATTTACTCGATTCTACCGCGCCCTCGATTGTAACGCGCACCCGATTTCCACCGCGAAAACAAAAACAAACGTAAGACATCGATTGCAACACGCACCCATTTTTCTAGCTGGCCCGCACGATCACACCACTCAAAAAAACGGCTCCTTTCGGGAGCGTCTTCCATTTAAATATGAGGTACGGGCAAGCTTGTGTCCATCTGACGTGTAACAGAGCATTGTCATCACTGTAGTTTTACCGTGGACCGATGTCAGCACGCGAACTTGCTTCGCCTCCTTCTTCTCGACGGTTGTGGTGCCAGGCATGTCGAAGTAAAGAGGCGTCTGATCGGCATTCCCGATCTGCCCAAGCAGGTAGCCGTTGTTGTGCCGCAAGTTTAGAACGAACCTCTGAAAACTGTGAAGCTTTTCATCGTACTCCTCCGCAAAAGTTTTCGCATATGCATGTTCCTTTTCGGAGGGAAAAGCCTTTCCTCTTCATAAAGTTAGTTAGCCAGCACCTGCTCGCTTTAAACTGGCTCCGCATTAGACCTTTTTCTAAGACTAACTGCATAGCCCGCACTTGGAGCAGTTCTGTCGTCACGGGCCGCTGTGCCGCTCGCCGCTCAAGCACATACTCGCCGAGCAGCTCTTCAATTTGCGGAAACCTACCCTGCTGTGGTCCACTGAAGCCTTTGCGTGAAGCTTTGCTGTCGACAATCTTCTGCTTTTGTTTCCGCCGGTCCCGCACGCACGTTTCGCGAACTCCAAACGACCGCGATGCGGCCCGATTTCCGTCCGTTTCTGCACACGTGATGACTTTTCTTTTAAAAGCGGCATCGTGGTGCACTCGAGTTTTTGGAGTCGGCCCTTCCACGCCGTCGATGCTAATGCACTACTAGATGACGAACTCCTCAGCACACGTACGAAGTGGCGCACAAGGGAAACACATCGGCAGAAATGGCCGACGCGCCATGCCGACGCACGTAGGGGGCGGCCATTTTGGATTTGCCGGTGGCAATAGATTAACCGTAATTTTTTTGTTCGTACTCGATTCTAACGCACATGTAAAACTAGCAGTGCTTGATAAAAGGACTGGAGCAATGTGAAGGTAAATTAGCACTTATCGTGCCTCTGCATTTGTCTCATTGATGTGTGTTAGGGGCAAAAAAAAGAAAGTGCATATTGAGTGCTGTGTGATTCAAAACTAGGTATAATAAATGGACCATTTCTTTTCAGATCCCTGGGCAAGTCGTAAGAACAAATCTAAAAATAAAAACAAGAAGCAAAAAACCAAAAAGAAGAAGAAGTACGAGAAGCCCACGAGGAACGGTAAGTGAGCTACCGTGACGTGCGCTCCTTCAAAGGCCTCTGCGCTCGTTCTCATCTCTTGTGTTCGTTTTCTGAAATTTTTGGGCTGAGAACTTCAATAATGGATAACCAACTAGCCCAATCCCACCCTTTACCCTTGCTAGGCTTGTCCATTGTCGGTAAACAGCTGTAGTGCATACTTGGTGATTGTGTGACTGACAAATTTATGGTTTGAAGCAAACAGTTATTTGGTCATATACTTTGGAATTGAATTTGAATAATATAGCATATTTACAGAATAGTAGGTCAACTCATTTTGTCCTTCCTTCAAATCTGAAGTTGGGTGGTCGACCTAGAATCAAAAACTAGTTACGGTAGTTATGTCTTCCTAAAAATAAACTCTGCATATTCTCACAAAGCTAGCTTTCCTGCACAGCTTTTAAGCACGTTCGTTAAGCCACCTTTGCACACTAGATATTGACTTTTGTTTTGGGAGACATTGTAAATTATTATTTTTTCAATGAGATGTGCTGGTGCTTTTTTATGTGTGTGTGTGTGTGTGTGCGTGTGTGTGTGTGTGTGTGTGCAGTTTTAGGCGATCGATCTACACTAAAGTTGACTTACAATCATGTAATTTCAATATGTCACATACTATAAAAATGAGCATATTTGTCATGACCTAACTAAGCTGTGCTATATTTTTTTAAATTTATGCAAGGCATGTTGAAATTCCACCTTTTTTTTTTTGTTAAAGGAAGAGGAAGCAACATTGAACACTAAACACTTACAGGATTTGGTTTCGGTAGAATGCCAGTGATAACTTGCAAAATATGGCAAGTTTTAAAATTCACTTTACCTAAAGCATATACACTGGTATAACAAGCTTTTAAACTTCAAAAATCATGAATTCATGCGAGTTTAAATATGCACATTTAACCTTGACGTGTGGCTTCGCGGCAGTGCTGATTTTTTCTGGATGGGTGTATTCGCGGTATAGCACCCTTCTCCACTGCAGTACAACCACCCTTACAAGGGGTTACATGTGGACTATTAAACACCTACTCATTCATTTCGAACACGTAAAAATTTCGAATAATTTAAATTCATTCATTTAAATTAGTTCATTCAATAACTAATTCATTCAAATACTTGAAAAGCTCGAATATTCGCTCTAGTGTAGTATTGTCTGTAAAGTATGGAGCAGCTGTATGGCATTGCAGAAGTTGAAATTCCAAATGTAAGGAACTGCAGCCTTCCCCGCTGCCTTAACCAGGCTAAGTGCTGAGCCTAGATTTTATGGATTGCCAGCGCAAATACTCTTGCTTAACGAGTTTTTACCTTTGCACTTAATGATTATGTATTTGCCTAACTGGCTGCTGTGCCGTGTGGTTCTGCAGGCGCCGCTCCGCAGCCAGTTGTCCGGAATGTGCCCACCGTTGACAGCGAAAAGAAGGCAGCAGCCATGAAGCAGGAACTGCTTGAGCGACTGGAAAACCTTGGGGACAAACTGCCTCCCAACACACTGGATCAACTCATTGACGAACTCGGCGGGCCCGAGAATGTCGCTGAGGTGGGTGCCGTCGATGCTTCTGGATGACATGCATTCAACGCTAAATGAAGCCTAGCCTAGCCGTCGGTCACCATGTAAGTTTTGCTGTATAGTGATGTATTGTGGTGCAGAGATGCAGTAAAACCTCGGTGACATGTATCTCGTGGGGTCACGAAAAAGATTCGTATCGTGAGAAAACTTGGGAAATGATTGTGCAGCGAAAGAAAATTAGAGTACCGTACTTACACAATTGTTAGTAAACTTAAATGTAGGTCAACCTCCGAAAATGTCATTGCATCAAAAAAATAATAATAATAAAAAGGGAGGGGAGCACGCGCACATTTTCTTTAAAAAAATTTTTTAGCACATTGTAAAGCCACTGATTTGCAAAGGTGGCTTTACAGCAGTACCGTATATATTTGAATATAGGTCAGCCTTTTTTTTTCCCCAAAAAAATGTTCGTAACCAGCTATCGACTTATATTTGTGACCAAAGAATCTCGACCTATATTCACCGTCAAACCAACCAAAAGCGCCCAGCTTATAGCGGTCAACTGCCGCGCCCAATGTTCTTCAAGCGGTTTCTACTGCATGCACATGTTATATACCTAAAATCTGAAATAAAGAGCCTCCTCCTCCTTTCTGACTATTTAGGTTATTAAAAAAAAGTTATTCATGCAATAGCCACGTACCGCCCCTGTGAAATGCAGCCGCTCCGCCGTGTTTGCAGTAACACCCACAATTTCCATGCTTCTGGTGCCGCCTTCCGGGGCGCAGCCTCACCGCTTCACGCTTCGCTCATTGTACAATCGGCGTGATGGGGTGGTGGTTCGCATTTGCTTTAGGCGCTGTGCCCTGCTCCCTACTGGGCTGCAGAGATTAGGCGCCGCCTTCTTACCACCGCCACCATTTGGTTTTGCGTGGTTGCAACGATATCGCGTCCGCAGAGCTACACAAGTGACCAACTGCCAAGTGATACTTTTTACCGAGGACTCGACCAATTGTGCCGTGTATCCCGAGTTCTGTGTAAATGAGATGTTGATTGGGGGTTGGCGAAAGCAGCAGGACCATCTGTTTGCGTGCAAATGTCGGCATAGTGCCTTTCGCGGTTCAGCAATCGGCAGCCGTGGCAGCAAGGACGACGTCATTTGGGAAGTTGTAGATGCTTGCAAAGAATTCGATGACGATATCATCTTGCACATCTGACAAGATGACGACCACGGCAGTGATTAGGGCGCTGAGTTATGTAAATAAAGGTGTGCTGCGTTTCAACTTCTCTGTTTCTAAACTAAAGAAAAAAAAAACGTTGGTCGACGTATATTCAAATAATTTTTTTTGTCTTTCGTAGAACACTATAAGTAAGGGTCAACCTATATTCGTGCCCGACCTATTTTAAAGTAAATACGGTACTTGAAAGCTGTGCAGGAAAGCTAGCTTTGTGGAAAAACGCGAAGATAATTTTCAAAAAGATTTTTTACACCGAAACTGTTTTCGATTCTACGTCGACCACCCCAACTTCAGATTTCAAAATAAGACAAAATGGGTAGACCTATGATGGCGTAAATACGGTACGTTTAGATTTCTTGTTTCTTAAGGTCATAGCACGGTCATGAACAGCCCCGAATGATTGCAAGTAAAGGTTTTATACCAGACTCGGGTTTAGTAATTGAGAATAGCTTTTGAAAGCCTACGGCGTCCTTCAGACTCAATTTTCCTGCTTTGCCGCAGCTTTCAAAGTCATTGTAAATTAAGAGGGTGCCATGCACCTTCGCCCTGATTGATTGATAGAGTTGTGTTGTGCTTGTGTCATTCCACAAACCACAGCTGTTGTCACAAACCACAAAGATGCGTTTGAACTAACATTGTGGGTGATTCTGTAGGCAGTAAAGATTGTCCTTTGTCCTTATTGGAAAACTTGTAAAAAGTGCAGTCGTCTGTATTGTGGCGTGTACATTGAAGGGGTCGTGAAATGTTCTTGAAAAATTAACGTGTGTATTCAGAATCCTGTCTGTCCATTCAATACTATACCTCAACTCGTTCGGTCGTCTGGGCTCGGTGAATAACTAAAAAAAGCGTGATTTAGGTTTTCGAGCTCACGAACCCGTCAACTCCGCAGCTGACGTCACTTAAAGACGGCCAATGAAAAGTCTTTGTCGTCGAGAAAACATAGCGACGCAGCTATATATTTTTAAACTTTAGTTGACTGTAGTTTGTAACATCATACTGTTCTACTGCAATGCCGTCGCCACCCTAACAATACCATAATGTCATGGACACGCAGCGTAGGATGGCTGACCTTCCCGAACTACAGTGTATCTACTAGAGCTTTTGGGCTTTGAGCCGTACGCAGATGCACCCGTGTGAGTGCGTGATCGGCTGTGATGGTTAAGGACGTTCGTCACTGTGTTTGTTGATAGCGGACGAAAAAGGATTAACATCAACAATGGATGCGAACAAAAGAAGCGTTATATTATACACTAGAGAACGAAGTGGCAGGTGAAAATAAAACTATATGTCCAACCCTACACGCCACGCGTCACGCAACATGTACGAGAGTCAGACCTCTAGCATGCGGAGAGCTCGCGGCTACGCTTACTCCGAGTCCAGCGCGTAGAGTTCTCAGTTCGCAAGAGAAAAACGCTGCCTCACAGTTTGGGTCCCCGTCGTCCCGACATGATGCGATCGTCGACGTGCGCGAGGGCAAAGGTGGCACGGCTGGAGCGGCTGGAACGGCTTACGGCACACGGATGCGCTACCGTGTGCAGCGCCGTTTAGTCAGACGTCGCGGCCAGCAGTCAGGGTCGCAACTCCTGAGGTTCAGGGTCAGGCCCCGGCTCACGAGGACCACGCCCGGTAGGCCTCGCCACGAACTTGCTCCCGGCCACTGCACCCAGGCAGGAGCCGTTCAGCAGGCCCCGTCCTTGCACCTTGTACAGGCTTGCGGACTCGACCCCGAGCGAACACGCTGGAGCTCGACCTGGCCGACACGTACGGGTCCCACGTCCGGCTCAGGAACGCTCCCAGGAACTCGGCCTCTCGAGCGGCGCACTGCTTCGTCTGCCTTCGAGGCCTCCACGCTCGAGCTCGCTTTTTTCACGTTCCTTCTTCTTCTCCTCTTCTTTTCCATTTCTTGTTATCGCCTTCGTGCCACCTGCCCTCCGCTCATCTTCTTTAGTTTCGGTTTGGCGTTCCTCGGCGCTTGCAAGTCCTTTTAGCCACAAATCGTACCTAAACACAGCACTTTTGTGTCCATTCCTTACAAATATCCCCCTGCTCAAGAAAGTTGTTTAGGGGGAAAACAACTTTTCACAAGCGCGCGAGGTGGAGTACCCAAAAGCGAAAACATAGCAAAAAAAAAAAACATTATTTACAGAAGTTCATTCTGTTAGGGAAAGGGTGAATTGACATGAAAAGAAATTGTGCCACCAGTAAACGCTAACCAGCGGAGAAGTCAAACGCGGCTGAGGTAGTCGGCACCTATGTTGTCAGAGCCCTTAATGTACTCAACCACGAAGTCATACTCAGTAAGCAATAGGCTCCAGTGGAGTACTCGGCTGTTGATGTGTTTTGCGGAATTTATGTAAGCAAGAGGCTGGTGGTCAGTTTGCAGCGCGAATCGGTTTTCGCAGAGGTACACATGAAACTTTTGGATAGCCCACACAAGAGCCAGCGCCTCTCTTTCGATTGTTGAGTACCGTGACTCCCGTTCGAGCAGTTTACGGCTTGCGTAGGCTACTGGATGCAACATGCCGTCGTGACGCTGCAATAAAAGGCTCCCTTTCGTGGTATTTCTTGAGAAGGTTAATGTGAAAAAGACTTCTCCGAGTTCCGAGATCTATCTCGTAGTCATAGTCACTGCGTTTCTCAAGCACTGTGAAGGGTCCCTTCCATGTCAAGATCAATTTATTCTTATCTGATGGTAACAACAGCAATACTTTGTCGCCGGGTGATAGGTGTCGAACTCTTGCTTTCCTATCGTAATATTTCTTCTGTGTCATTTTCGCCTTCAGGAGTTCTTCGTGCGCTACCTTGCAGGTGTCTTGCAGTCGCTCCTGGAGATCTATAACATACTCGTATGTTGTTTTCGTTTCAGGATCGATGTTGGTCCCTGTCCACAGTTCCTTAAGAATCGACATTGGGCCGCGTACAAATCTGCCGTAGAGGAGATCGAACGGCGCGAATCCAAGGCTCGTCTGGGGAACTTCACGGTATGCAAAGAGCAGGGGAGCCAAGTATCTGTCCCAATGTTGCGGCCGTTCTTGACACATGCGGCGAACCATTTGTTTGAGAAGGCCATTACATCTCTCCACAAGTCCGTTGGCCATGGGGTGATAAGGCGTTGCGGGTAGCTGACGAAATGAAAGTAGCCGACCGAGTTCTTGCATGAGACTCGAGGTGAACGACTTTCCACGGTCGCTCACTATCTCACGGGGCACTCCAACGCGGGAGAACATCTCTACTAGTGCTTCCGCTATGCGCTCTGTCTCGATGCTCGGTAGTGCCACCGCATCCGGGTAACGCGTAGCGAAGTCTACCATCGTTAAGACATACTTGTTGCCCTTGGATGACGTTGGTGACAGCGGGCCAATAATATCGATGGCGACCCGCTGAAAAGGTGTGTCTATGATAGGCATATTTCCCAATGGAACTCGTCCGACGAGGTGTTTAGGCACGGTCCTCTGACATACGTCGCACGACTTCACGAACCGTATCACATCAGCCCGTACACCCGGCCAATAAAACTCTGTAAGGACACTGTCTGTTGTCCTTCTTTGCCCTTGGTGACCAGACAGAAGGCCTTCATGAGCCATCTTCATTACGGTGTTCCGAAGATTCTTGGGTACCACAAGTTGCTCCAAGTCTCGCCTTTCTGCCGTGCGGTGGCGCCGGAAAAGAATGTCGCGTACCAGCACAAACTCAGTGACTGCTGGCTTCTTAGATATGATCTTTCCCCATGCGGTGAAGCAGGTTTCCAGCGTGGGATCTGCGTGCTGTAGATTCTTTAGCGCTTCCCGGCTGATATCCAGGGGTTGGATCCGAGGAACAATCAGTTCACTGGGCTTTTTCCTTTCTTTTCCTGCAGCCGCCGACATGTCATCTTGTCGTCTTCTATCTGATGAGGTTGCATCTTCAGGTTCTTCTTCAGTGCATACTGGATCACGGTGAATCTGTGCTAGTTTTCGACGTCCTGCTGGCTGCTTCGGGGCTGGTTGGGCAGCTGACAGTACACCCGCAATGTTGCCAAGCACGACTTCATACAATGGATTCTCCATACAAACAGCAAGCACCTGACCTCTGAAAAACGGAGAATCTATGTACACCTCTGCTTCTGGTAAGACTTTTGCAGATCGGTCCAATAAGCGAACGGTACGGGTGTTGCCAGTCAAGTTGCAGTCAGGAACTAGCGATCGTTTCACCACTACTGTATTGCAACCGGTATCCCGCAATACGGTAACCCGCTTCCCTTCGAGATAGCCCTTTACAGTTGGCATTTGTTTTGACCCGTTTTCGCAAGTTGCGTTGCTTTGGGTCCCATCACACATGTCATGACAATGTTTCTCATCCTGATTGTGAGGCGCATCTTCCATTGATTTCTCATGCTGCGCTTTCTGGTATCCCAAGACGGAACATGATGCCTCTCTACGTTTTCCCAAGTTTGAGGGACATTTATCGGATCTGTGCCCCGACTTCTTACAGATCCAGCACGACGTCGACTTGGGCGCTCGAGACTTTGTCCAGCAATCGGAAGCTCGATGACCCGGCTTGTTGCACAGAAAACAAAGCGGTTTTCCTTTGCTTTCGCTGACAGTGTCAACTTTAGCTGTAGCCATCGGTTTCCCTTTTTCGTCTTTTCCTCTAGCGAGATTCACAATTCCCTGAGCTTCCAAATATTGATCAGCCGTCGTTGCCAACGTGTCCAGGTTATGACATCCTCGCTCTTTTAGGAAGACAGCCAACTTCTCGTCGCACCGCCTGAGGAATTGCTCGGACACCATCTTGTCTCGCAGTGCATCATATGTTTTGGGAGTCTTCGCCAGCTCCTGCCAATGGTCGAAGTATCCACAGAGACGTCCCGCGAACTGTCGACCTGTCTCAGTATTCTCGGGCCGGGCATCCCTAAACTTCGTGCGGTATCCCTCCTCCGTATAACGGAACCGCTGGAGGAGCGTCTGCTTGAGCTTTGCGTAGTCCGTAGAGTCTTCTGCAGACATCCGTCCTACCACGGTCAAGGCTTCTCCCGTTAGACACAAGCTCAGTGACAGGGCCCACTTGTCGGTTGGCCAGCCTTGGCTCGTGGCAACCCTCTCAAATCTCTGGATGTACGCATCCAGTTCGTCCCTACTCTCATTGTAGGGCGGAATCATTTTGTGTGGGCTGCGAAAGCTCTGACCACCACCCATACTATCGTCCGCAGAACTCGTGCTCGGCCGCTGCGCTTCTGCGACACGACGTCGCTCCTCGAGCAGGAGCCTTTCAGCCTCCATGCGAGCTATTTCACGCTCATGCTCCACCTGTGCTGCTAGCCATGCCTCCTCTCGATCTTTCGCTCTCTGGTCCCTCATTTCTTTTTCCTCAGCGCTCACCCATGCCAGCAGAGCCTCACCACTCAGCCCCATCTCCTTCCCTAGCTCAACTAGCTTTCTCTTATCGTCCATCCTCGTCCGCCACACACAAACAACGTGAGGCTCTCAGATGTACGGCGAGAGCTTAGTCCTGTCTCGCGGACGCCAGAAATTGTGATGGTTAAGGAAGTTCGTCACTGTGTTTGTTGATAGCGGACGAAAAAGGATTAACATCAACAATGGATGCGAACAAAAGAAGCGTTATATTATACACTAGAGAACGAAGTGGCAGGTGAAAATAAAACTATATGTCCAACCCTACACGCCACGCGTCACGCAACATGTACGAGAGTCAGACCTCTAGCATGCGGAGAGCTCGCGGCTACGCTTACTCCGAGTCCAGCGCGTAGAGTTCTCAGTTCGCAAGAGAAAAACGCTGCCTCACAGTTTGGGTCCCCGTCGTCCCGACATGATGCGATCGTCGACGTGCGCGAGGGCAAAGGTGGCACGGCTGGAGTGGTTGGAACGGCTTACGGCACACGGATGCGCTACCGTGTGCAGCGCCGTTTAGTCAGACGTCGCGGTCAGCAGTCAGGGTCGCAACTTCTGAGGTTCAGGGTCAGGCCCCGGCTCACGAGGACCACGCCCGGTAGGCCTCGCCACGAACTTGCTCCCGGCCACTGCACCCAGGCAGGAGCCGTTCAGCAGGCCCCGTCCTTGCACCTTGTACAGGCCGGCGGACTCGACCCCGAGCGAACACGCTGGAGCTCGACCTGGCCGACACGTACGGGTCCCACGTCCGGCTCAGGAACGCTCCCAGGAACTCGGCCTCTCGAGCGGCGCACTGCTTCGTCTGCCTTCGAGGCCTCCACGCTCGAGCTCGCTTTTTTCACGTTCCTTCTTCTTCTCCTCTTCTTTTCCATTTCTTGTTATCGCCTTCGTGCCACCTGCCCTCCGCTCATCTTCTTTAGTTTCGGTTTGGCGTTCCTCGGCGCTTGCAAGTCCTTTTAGCCACAAATCGTACCTAAAAACAGCACTTTTGTGTCCATTCCTTACATCGGCCAGCGTCGCAGCAAGACGGCGGTAGTGGCGGCAGCGATGGTGAAGAAGCCTGCTCCCTGGAAGCACTCGTATCAAGACTATTTGGCAAAACCTCTGCTTGTGGACGCCCCCATGAGCCTCCACTTAGTGTGCGCATACCATCGGGGCCTTCACGGCTGATAGCTCGAAGCCACTCTGCGCTGTAGCTCGCTGGGCAGCTTGTGAAAGTGAACGTTGTTTGCACTTTGATAAGTTGTGCAGCACTGTCTGACAATGCACACGGTTGGCGTAGCGAGGCCTAAGCCACCCAAAACACACAGTAGAACACAATGTGACGCGATAAGAAAAAACTGGTACGCTGTACTGGCTGCACCGATCTAGCCAAGGCAACCGGCGGGAAGGCAGCGATACACATGTGACAGAGCCCGGATGTACTCGAAAGCTGAACCGAGCAGATCACTCGCTGTAATTGCACAGCATACAGCTCAGAGTACAAAAATTCTCGTTTTTTTTTTTTTCTAGTTTCCTGTAAATTCATTACTTTCGAGCAAAATAAAGCTAACGCTCTGTAACTTCTCTTACTCTGTGTTTCACTGACGTCACATATTAGTACCACACAGTTCACTGTGTGGTACTATAGCTGTCAATTAGTACCATGGTCGCTAGCGAGCCCCCCCAAAAAATTGCGATTTACAGACTGGATATTGCAAATTGCAATATCCAGTCTGTAATTACAGACTGGATATTGCACCAAAATATTTCAGAATCGGTATGTGTAATTCTTATTAAAGCAGGGAAAATTGCAACCGGGAAGTTTATTGTTTCATCCTCTAAGGTTTCCTTATTGGCGCATGACTGAGCATTTGTTGTGTGCTGCAGATGACGGGCAGGAAAGGGCGTGTGGTGAGCACAGACAATGGTACAATCCAGTACGAGTCTCGGTCCGAGGTTGATGTGCCCTTGGAAACTCTAAACCTCACCGAGAAACAGAGGTTCATGGACGGTGAGAAGGTGTGTACATGTGTTTGACAGCTCATATAAAGCACGGAAATTGCAGCGTACATTTATCCGATTAACAGAGCTTTGAAAGTAAGCTGGCTTGTACACTGAACAGTTTTATTCAAATCACACTATTCACACTCCTGTCATAATTTCAAAATTTCCTTTTAATTAGTTCGCTCTGGTATTACTTTACAGAATCATTATACAGTGCATTTTTTTAGTCTTTCATTCTAAACATTTTGTGCTGACAGTTGAGCATTTGTTGCATGCTTTTTTCATAAGGTTGGGCAACTTTGTCACTTGAACCAATCATAGCCATGTTAGGCCTGTATTTACAATAATGTGCTTTTGCTAAAATATTCATTACAAAGGAGGCTGCTGGATGATGGATAACAATACTTATAAACATTTGTAAATTGATGCCAAGGTTTCTTTGTTAATCGAGTCTTCAGTTTTCTCTATTAAGCTGGCTTATTCAGGATTTCTAGAAACTCTGAAGTTGCATATTAATGGTGACGGTACCTGAACATTTGAGATGTTGCAGTCAAGCCATGCAAGGTGGTAACATAAACCCAAGTGTTATTCAAGTGAAGCCCTCTTAAGAAGTGCTGAGCTGTGAGTGGCGTATGAATGAACTCTTGTACCTGTTGAACCTTTGCAGCACATTGCCATCATCTCTGAGGCAGCCAGCTCTGGTATCTCGCTGCAGTCGGACAGGAGAGCAAAAAACCAGGCTCGTAGGGTCCACATCACCCTCGAGTTGCCCTGGAGTGCAGACAGAGCAGTGCAGCAGTTTGGTAAGACAGTGCTCTTTAAATATGCGTGTGATTGTTACTGTGTTGAAAGAATTGACGAAGTAGTTGCATAACACCTTTCAGGCCGAACGCACAGGTCAAACCAGGTGAATGCCCCAGAGTACATATTCCTCATTTCGGACTTGGCTGGTGAGCGAAGATTCGCTTCCATCGTGGCTAAACGTCTCGAGAGCTTGGTAAGGATCGGCTTGTCTTGTAGAGTGAAGTTGAACTTGATACAAGGGAAGACGCTTCATTATTCTTTGTTTTTATTCCTGTATTCAGGGTGCTCTGACCCATGGCGACAGAAGAGCCGGCGAGTCCAGAGATCTTTCTCGTTTTAACATTGACAACAAGGTGTGCTATTTTTTCTAAGATGTTGCTGATACTGAAATCAAGAAAATATGGCTCATTTGGCTGTTTTGTTCGCAGTATGGCCGAGCTGCCCTGGAGACCATGATGCGTGGCCTAATGGAGATGGAAATCCCGCCTCTAGTTCCACCACCTGAGGACTACGAGGGGGATTTCTTTGCCGGTCAGTTTACACCTTGCGTCTCATCCGCTTGTTACCTAAAGTGCTTATTCATTGTGTGGCTAGTTTCCTACACATTGTGGTGCGATTCCTCGTGCAGATTGCCGAAAAGCACTGGTGGGTGTAGGCTTGGTGAATGAGGACGAATTCAGCAAGATGCAGACGCTTGACAAAGACTACAACAACATGAGCAAGTTTCTGAACCGCATCCTCGGCATTGAAGTAGAGCTTCAGAATGCCTTGTTCAAGTACTTCACGGATACCCTGGATGCCATCATCACCGAGGCCAAGAAAACAGGCCGTTACGACCTGGGCATCTTGGACCTGGGAACGGCTGGCGACAATGTCAAGCGCGTGAAGGTGGACGAGTTCATCCGGACTCACGCTACTGGCACCGCTAAGACGGAGCTCCACACAGTGAGTGTCGAACGTGGGCTCTCTTTCGAAGCCTCGCAGGACATCTGGAAGGAGCTGACGAGCAAGGACGAAGGTTACTACCTCTCCAATCAGGTGAGCCAACCCTAAAGTGTTTGAGCACAACACTCTCTTGTGTGTTGTGTTGATATGAAAACACTAAATGCAATGAAATAGTCTGCATTGGAAGAAAAATACTTTGTGTAAATAGTAGTGGAACTGCAGAGAAAGCGCTGTGCAAAATTTTTGATTTGGCGTGAAAGGATTGCAAGACATGATGGCCCCAATGTTGAATAGGTTCTTTTTATGTCCGTTGGATGCCACTCTGCCGGTAGATACTTCATGGTGTGGCCTAAGAAGGTGACAAATTTAGCAGCTTGAGTACAGTGGTGTACATGCAATGCCACTCTAAACATAATGCCATGGCATGTGCTTGGTGCATGCCTCAAGGTGTGTCTGTCAGGCAGTCGCGAAGGGCACGTATGGTTGGCTTCTGAGGTTCACTCATACAAATTCTTTAGCTTATATTGGGTTGCCATAAGCAGGGAACTCTGCTTCGGTTCTGGATCAATCATTGTTGCATTCATTTCTGCATTTGTGAACTGTTTCTAAAGGTGTCTTTTGTTGGTATTTCTCTGGGCCCGTGCAGGTGCGTTGTGGGAAAAAGACTGCAGTGTTGGCTGTTGCGGACCAAGCACGGAGGTCAAAGGAGAAGAAAGAAAAGCTGTTCCGGCTGTACAGGCCAAACACGGGCCTCCAGGTTCGCCAGGAGAGCCTCAATGAGCTGAAGAGCAAGTACAAAAAGGCAAGTGCCATATAACATCTTCCAACTCTGTTGAACTCTTCTTGAGACTTGAAAAGTGTTTAGGCCCATCGGCGAGACTCTCTTGTGCCCGATTTGCAGGTCACGCCAGATGAAGCCCAACCCCATTGGCAAGAGCAGTATGAATCATCTGAAAACACATGTAGTCACATCTACTGGTAAGTACCCTCTAAACGCTTTTAGACGGCTTTATGGCCAGCATGAAAAGTGGTGGTGTTATGGAACAATGACACCCTAGGGTATGGTATGAAAAACTTGATGTGAAGTGTTGCCCTTTAATGTGACACCGCAAGAAGCTCCCATGTACCGACAGTCGAGTACATCTGCTACTGTCCGATACTGCAGCAGTAAACCCTCGTAATACTGTTATTAGGCCAGAGAATGAATATTTTTGTGAAAAGTGTAAGGAAATTGTCCCATTTGCTTTATTCAAATGCAGCGACTCTAAAATATTTTCTCTGCACAACATCTACAATGTAGTGCAGTATCTCAGGCAGTCTGTAAAACAACAGGACACAATAGCAGAAGCAAACAAAAGGGATATTGGGTACGGTAAGCCATGTAGCCGTACATGAAAGTGAAGCATGCCAGCAGAATACAGGCGAGTCCAGTTATAACAATCACAGGTACATGGATCTATTGCTTGACTATATTGTGGAGCACTTGTGAATTTACTATGCTACCCATTGGAACTGCATTTACATAGAGCGACCATTTTTCAAGGCTTTTTACATTTAAAACAAACAATTCTGACATAGTCGCAGTAAAAATATGGTGCATATGAAGCGAAATGAAAGAAAGGAAAAAGTTTAAACATGCATTCTGAAGCATGTAAGAGGTGCGTGCTTGCGCGTGCCTCGAGGCAGTTTACTCATGACGAAGATATCGCTAACCGTGGTGAGCATTGCTTGCAGATTTCAGACACCGCGAGCGAGGTCGCTCACTTTCCGGCCGTTTCTTCACTGGCAGAATAACAATGAGGAAAAAGAAATACAAAGCGGCATGAAGACTTGTGGTCAACTTTCGCATGTCAAAGTTTCCTGGGGCCGTTATCTGCATGTGCAACCGCCGACAATTAACCAAATGCCTTCAAATGCAAGAAGCAAAACTTTGTCAGGAATAGTTCACTGCGACGCTCAACTTGCCAACGCTACTGTGTGACACAAAATGTCTTATCCTGTTCGGAAACGGTAGAGACTCGTCGCTCACGGACTTTGACGCGGTGCGACGGGGTCTTAACGGATGACCATAAGGAAAAAGTGAAGGCGAGGTTGCCAGTGGTGATAAAAGTGATCATTGCTGACAACCTTATCTCAGTCATCTGCAGATATTTGCTCGACTGCACATGTTTGAACTGTGCACAGTGATGCCGATACAAGCGCATCATTCATGCTGCCATCTGCTTGCGCATTGCTTTCAAACTGCATGTCTGTCATCTTGAATGAACGGGCTATTTGCCACATCTTAGCATGTCCCTTAGTGAAGCCTGCACGAGGAATGCACAATCCTGTGCGTACATAGGACTGCAAACGGTCTGGCATACAATGACAAGAGTCGAGTAAGAGTATGTGCTGCACGTAATTAGTCAAGAATGATAGGTTCGACGTGACGGTACTGTGCTGTGGAACGGCTTGAGTTAATGCGAACGTGGTGAGCACACAGGGGATGTCCCACATTAGCACGCGAGTAGGCCTAACTTGTCACTGAAGGGCTGTTTATTTATTTATTATTTATTTAAGTACTGCTATTTGCATCGTTACATAGAGGAGTGGTGTTACAAGTTGGAAGTGGCAGTCTTGAATGATTCATGATCAGGGTCGCTGGTGATGAAGGCAGGAAAGTGGTTCTATTTAGAAGTCCTGGGCACTTAGGAGTGGAAGTACATGTTGGTACGGCAGAATGGATGCAAGATGAAACGTAAGAAGGGGGCAGCAATGTGCATTTTATTTCAGGATTCATGAAAAAATTTTGTGGAAGAGGCACTCAGGTGGGCCTGTTTCTTTCTGTTAGAAAGGGTAGGGAGGTCAGGGAGGTTGATTTTTTTTTTTTTGCTCTGTTTAATAAAAATACACAGGGGAGAGAAAAATCTTTAGTCACTTGCTGCCCTTTTTTAAGGGCGAGTCCATCTACAATGAACTATTGAAATATCCTTATCGCAGCGCTTTCGAGTTTATGAATGGGTTTGACTGTAGTTCGCAAAATCAGCCTTCGTCTCCCCATAGCTGGGCTTTGAGTGTGTAGTTTGCCTCCGTACTAACCACTCAAATCTAGTCACTTGTGGGTGAAGTCCCATAACAGTACATTATACAGTCGCTGATGGATTTTTCATACTCCAAAAATACAGGCTATTACAGGATATTTCCTAAATATCCTGTATAAAATACAGGTTATTTTGTAATTTGCAAATGAACTGTCAAGGTTAACAAAAAAAGAATACATTCTTTTGATCGATATCTTTTACAAATCTATGCCCAGAAGTTTTGCTGAACTACATTGCTGCACGTATTGAGCCACACTGCTCGATTTTGAAATACACCATGGTGTATTTTATGCTGGCTTATCTAAGTTCTCTTTCAGTGGCCAGTTGTCTGGCTTTCAAGATTTAAAAGCACACACCATCTTCTGGTTTCTGAGGCCATCGCTACTATTCTTGTGCTGACAAAACGCTCTAGAACAGCTGTTCTTTTTCGTCAGCCTTATTGTTATTAGTACTCCGAGTCTAGTTTTTTTTTTTCTGTGCATTTGTTTTTCTGATGTTTTTGAAATCCTGTACACTTTGCATGTTCTTTGTGGTTGCTCAGTGGTCATGGTGCTCGGCTGTTGACCTGAAACGCACGAGTACGATTGTGGTCGCGTTTTGATGAAGCCTGAAGGTGAAATGCTAAAGGCTCGTTTGCTGTGGGATGTCAGTGGAGGTTAAGGAACCCAAGCCCTACCCTGATGCATCTTTAAGTCCTGTCAGCCAACGAAGGTGATGTGTGCAGCTGTCTGGGGTAAAATATTCTGTGTTTGGTGCCATGCAACCATCTCTAGTACTACCCACAATGGTTGGGCAGCAATCACAATCACCCATGTGCTGAAGTCGCTGCAGCCTCAATACAACCATTTTTTTTTTACTTGCAAGCGTATCTTGAAGCAGGGCGACACTACAGTGTTATTTAGGCCGCTCTAATTCGATAAACTCAACTTTCATATCATAATTTTTCAGGCTAGTTGATTTTTTGGACTATTTTGAGGCCTCTGCGAGGTTCAAAAAATCGGTTCGCAACTGTAATTGTGCGAACATGGATTCATGAAAAGCATGCTACTTGCTAAAACATAATAATTTTGGCTTCTGAAGCAAGGCTGAACAAGTGTTAAAAAAAACCGACTGAAACTTCTCAATTATACTCCGAGGGTGCAACATTTCTCATAAACAGAGTTAATTTTCTCATTTTTGCACGATTGGTTGTATGTTTGATGGATTGTCAGGGCGTGGCGGTTGCATGCGAGTGTAAACCGCGACTTGACAATCGCCGAAGCGCATGCAGGGTGCACGTGCTTCTGTCCTCCTCTTCCTTTTCTCCACCCCTTCTTTCAACTCTCCCTCTCTCACAAATGCCCTAACACTTTAGCCTAGCTGGGAGCATTGTTCGCTGCCAGTAATACTTGTAGTGTTCCTGGGAACTACAAGGGGAGCTCAGTGGGTTGAGAGACGACAACTGGCATCGCTGGCTTGCATGTTTCAGGCGTGTGTGAGGTCGCCAAATGTCACCTCCTCTTGTCTATGGAGTGACCACATGACGTCGCAGTTTGTGAAGAGCGCTATAAATTCATTATTTTTTTTGGAGTTCTTGCCTGACATGATTGTAGGACCCAATCTTTCAATCGGCAGAAAATTTCGGTGGCAAAATATTTGTTCAGCACCTCTTTAATATCCGTCAAAGCTTGCACAACACTTTTCTGCAAAAAGCATTGTGGTCTGTGAAGTTGGAATTCTATACAGTTCATGTTAATGCTGCCCATGGGCCATTACCGCACTATCTACACACCCAAGATGGGCAGTAGCCTATCCGTGCAATCTTTGAAGCCGTATTGAACGTCCACAGGTAACTTCGCAACGTGTGTTCAAGCCAGGCACTGATGGCCTCCCTCTCGCCTCTCTGCATTCAACAGGTACAACAGCTGCCGCAAGAAGACCATGGGCATGGCGTGCGAGATTGGGCTGAGGCGGCGCACGTACCACGTGTTGAGTGGGTCGGTGCTGGCTGTCTGGGCCAAGGTGGAGAGCGTGCTGAGCTCAGTCCACGGCCACCACAGTTCCTCCAAACTACAGGTGGTGCGCCTCAAGACTGAGGACAACTTGCGCATTGTCGGTGAGTGTCCTTGCAGAGCGGTACAGCAGCTTTGCACTCTACTAAGGAGCACTTCTGCTTGGCGATGGGGCAAAATGCTGGAAGCTTACGGAGGATGTTCAACTTGAATTGAGGACGACCGAGCAGGCCACGGAAAGAAAAATGATGAGTGTAACTTTAAAGCTACATCAATGCTGATAGCAATGTGGGTCAAGGAATAAGCATGTGCTACGGCCATACTATTTGGAATCAATAACAACAAATGGCCATGGTCAGGTTAGATCTCATTAATATTGTGTCTAACAAAGAAAACGAGCCCTTAAGTGTACTGTTCTTTCCTTCATTCATAGCGAGGGTCTCGTTCTGCCAGGCATCGTGCCTTCAGGTAGTATACGAGAGATTACTGGTCAGCTGCAGGCTCGTATTAAGATCATGTCACGTGCTACGTGACGCCAAGCAGACTGAAAAAGTGTGGCCCACACTTGCCGTCATGGCTACAGATGGCGCTGACTAACGCTCCCGCATTTAATTCACCCAATAAAGTGGATGGGGTGATAGCCACCGTGATAGCATCGGACGCGTTATTCCAAGGTAGCAGGTGTTCTCCCTACCCACGGCCAGTTATCTTTTCATTCACTTTCCTTTCTTCACATTTACATTTCAATTATCTCATATAACATCCCCTATACTTTCCATGGCATGATTGTCTGTTTGATCGCACTAACATGGTCAGGGTGCATAGCGCTAAGACAACATAGCGACTTGTTTTTGTGTAACAGGCTGGATTCTGCTGGCAAGGGGGAGGCGGAAAGTTGGGTGGGCAGATGACATAAGGAAGCTTGCAGTGAAAACATGCCTGCAAGTAGTACAAAACTGGTTTGATTGGCAAAACATGGGAGAGGCCCTTACCTTTCAGTGGGTGCAGTCAGGCTGGTGACATGTTGTTGTAAAGGAAGACTCGCGTGAAGGTGGTCAAGATTAGCGACTCTAATTTGAACCTCTCTTTCTTGCCCAGGTACTATTATTCCAAGCAACTGCGTTGCCCCACTGGTAAATGTTCTCTCTCAAGACGCTGAGAAGACCAACTCTGAGACCTTTTGAGGCTGGGCCTGCTGTCTGTGTGCGAGTGCGCGCTGCCAGCCTGCACTGCGTGTTGTCAGCGGGGCGGCGTTGTCGTTGTGCCTGGCAGTGGTGTTGGCAGCCGGGAAGGTTCTCCTCTGTGGACTCTCTCTCTCTCTCTCTGTGTCTTCGTCGGGTGTCTTGACTTCTTGTGCATGTATGTCGCAGTGCCGCTCTCCTCTTGCTATACAGTCCTCGATACCCGTGATGTCAGTAGGGACGTTGCTTCTTCATTTTATCGCGCTTTCTTCATCTCTGTTCTTTGTTTTTTTTTATTTGATGAAAGTGAAGGAAGAAGGTCTACGGCAAGAACTGAACCAATGCGTTACAACAAAACAACGGGCTAGGAAAGATGTTTCAATTTTTCTCACCCTCCTCTCGTGTCCCGAGAGAAGGGAAAGTTTAGTGAGAGAGGATGTTGAAAAAAAATATGTGGACGTCTCTTGTGTGTATGTTGTATGATGAAAGAAAATGTATGTAGGAGTATGTATGTATGTATCATGATCGCTTCCTCTCATAATGGAGGAGAACACAAAAGAAAGGACAGCTTTTGTAGATAATTGTCTCACCTTTTTTTTTGTACTCACTGCCCCTTTCCTTTTATTATTTTTTTTTATTCTCGTTGCTCTTCTCTCGCGTCGCCGAGTGGCACACCCTGTCAGGCATTTTTTTTTCCCCCTACCCATGTGTTGTTACTGAACCATTCGTTGTAAGTGACACATCATTTTGGAGAACGTTAAAAAAAGTTTGAAAAAAAAAGAAAAGTAAACGATCGTTCCCAAGTACACCCATCTCATTTAGCACACAGCACCCCATGCATTTCTGCATTTCAGGTCCCTCTATCTTATCTGTCCCTTTCATAATCTTCCTCTCCGAAAATGCCACTTCGTTCCGATCAGCCAGATTTGGCATGAATGTCGAGCAGTACTCAGTTTAGTCAGACCAAATCGTGTTTCCCACTCTTGACACAGTATAATTGCGTAACAGTGATGGGAAGGCAAGCTGGCAGGTGGCCATGTGTTTAGTGAAGCATATTTCGTAACTATTTATTACTCTCTAGCTCTTGCTGTTTACAGCAATGTTTACTGGCAGTAAAACAGTGACAATGCTTTGTCCTCCTCCTACAACTCTGTTTGGAACATCTTGATGAACACTTGTCAGTAAAGGCAAAATGAACAAGTTCATTTCTAAATTAACGAGCTATTCAACCATTCCCATGGAAATGACTCTGAGGACTCGAAACAGTTCCGAAATAAAAACGACAATGCAAACCTATTTAGCCTGTCTTATTTTTCTATGTTTATGCGCTGGCACACAGTCTGCTACTTCCCAAACAAACTAGTCTACCATCTTCGTGAAAATGGATACCTGCACTACATTCGGAACCCCCTTATAAATGATCATGACATAAGAGACACTGGCGTGCTTACCTTGAAATAGGAATTGACTAGAAAATGCATACGTTGCACTCTCAGACCTCATATGAAAGATGAAAATTGCTCCATAGTGCGTGTCTTCTATGGTGTATTTGGTTAGGCGTTTGAAGTGCATTCTGAAAAGAGGTGGCAAGTTAAGCTTGGTAGAATTCGAGCGCTCCGACGACCTTCGCTTGGTTCCTTCGGAGTGCCCAACTCTGATTCTGAGTGCTTTTGGCCGATAGGACGGGTCATTTGGTTGTTGGCAGGTGATAGTGCGATAATAAATTTCGGAAAGAGACATTGTTGGACACGTAATACTTTGCGAGCGTTTGTGGAGAGTTCGCATCTGCAAAGCCATAAATGCATCATGTCTGAAAGGAAACGGCTAGTGAAGGCAAAGGAAGCATCAATGCTGTAGTTTACAGCATCTCGCAGGTGAAATGCATGCCTCGAAGCTAGCAGCTTGGATGACTCGCCCCACCGTGGTGGTCTAGTGGCTAAGGTACTCGGCTGCTGACCCGCAGGTCGCGGGATCGACTCCCGGCTGCTGCGGCTGCATTTCCGATGGGGGCAGAAATGTTGTAGGCCCGTGTGCTCAGATTTGGGTGCACGTTAAAGAACCCCAGGTGGTCAAAATTTCCGGAGCCCTCCACTACGGCGTCTCTCGTAATCGTATGGTGGTTTTGGGACGTTAAACCCCGCAAATTGATCAAATCAAGCTTGGATGACTACGATCGCCAGATTCATGTGGTAAGCTGAGAAGGCTCCTCACTGACCATTTTGTCTGTCCTCTGTCGCACGTATTGTTTTGCTTGTGCCATGGCCACTGAAGCAAGCTGCACGACCACACCGGCACACCCTTTCCCGTGTGCTGGGAGAAGGTATTCCTGTGTTCCCAGCTCCCTGGTGGACACGATAGAGGCGTTTAGGAAACTGCCAAGAGTGGAGGAGGCAGAGGCGTGGTTGGCGCTACGTTAGTTTTTTTTCTAGTGACTTCAGCTGCTGCGAGATCGCCAATGTATTCGGTTGGTACGCTTCTTCAAGTGCTCCGATTGCAAGCTGCCGTGGCATCTGGCGACTGAGCCATTTGACCAGAGTGGCCGATTGAATACACCATTATAAAGGGGTTCAACAGTACTACGTATAAGGAAACCAGTGCTGGAGTATTGCGGTGTGGGCAGCACTGCCCTCGTGGTCAAAATGCACACTCTTCATTCAGCTGCTCCCGCAGGCGAGAGCGGCAAATGGTAGAGGTGGTACAGGCGCACATCGCTGAAACAAAATCGAAGGGCACTGGCTGTACTGTTCTGTATTAAAGTGCCACAACATGAGAAATGAGGGAGGAAGTATCCGTATACATTTTTCCTTCTAAATATTATGAAGGTGGTGTCGCATCCAAGCGGACAGGCAAGCAAAGTATGTTCTACTGTTGTTCCCCAGTCTAGTGGAGTTAGGCTAATTTATAAACTTAATTGTGAGTGTCTGCTATATTTATACGATAGTCATAAGGTCACCAGTAGAAACCAAGGTAACTCGGCAGCATTAAACTGGCGCTTTGTCGGAAGTGAAACGAGCATATTATGCAGCATATGGCACATGTAACATTGTCTGACCCCCACTGCCAAGATCCTTCTGATGCCACTGCCTAATGTTGAAGGATATGGTAGGCATGTAGTCTTTATCATGAGCAGACAGTTATGTAGCAGGAAAGTTGTTTTGTCTACGAGGTGTCGGCGGAGGCACATTTGCCTAAGGCGCTGAGCTAACCATTTTAAAAGAATACACACATGACGGATAATCGATGCTGAGGTACCTTCGTTTAACTTAATATAGATATGGTTTTCGTTACTGGTAAAGCAGTGGATGATTCGTAGCTTGGCCTACTGGAGTCTGCCGATGCAGTAAAGCTTCAATTTCAATTTGCATAAAGTGCCGCGATGAAGTAACATTGCGATTCGTGCCTCGCCAGGGAATTGTCAAATCTTTTGGATTTTTACTTGTTTAATTTGCTTAACCTAGTGTGTTAGTTTTTTTATTTGGCTGTGTCTCCTTAAAATAAAGGTGTCTGATCAACATTGATAATTGCCAAGGTTTTACGTGCCAGACCAGGTGTGATTACGAGGCACGCTGTAGTGCTGGTGCCAGGATTAATTTTAACCGCTTGGGGGGTTCTTAAATTGCACATGAACCTAAGTGCATGGTGTTCTTTCTACTTTGCCTCCATCGAAATGCGGTCGCTGTGGCCGAGAATCTGTACCGTGCCCTCATGCATAACAGCACGACACTATATACATGCTATGCTGCCGCAGGGGTTTGCTTGATCAGCGTCCACGTGCATACATACCGGGCATAGAGAATACATACTACGCCACAAAAAGGTGACGCGGCTACCCTTGCCCCCATTTTTCATACTGCAAAGCGTACAGCGTGGTATTGTTGCAGCACGTACTTATCAACGGAAGCATGTCGGCCTGCACTAGTTGAGCACAAATCCCAGCAAGCAGCCAGAAAATGTTGACGAGGGAATCACCGTCACTCTCTTTGCGGTTCGCTTTGAAAGGCTTCCCTCTGTTTTCCATTGATTTGCTGCGGCAGTAACCTTCAGCCCAATTTTTTTTTCTCGGCCACAGTGCAGTATTACTGACGAAATGGTTGTTCACACCATTCTTGCTCAACTAAATCGCGGGAACAGTGCACATGCTGCATGCTCTTGCCGCTGTACACTGTGGCCAATCGTCTGGCCATGAGCGGCTGAGTTGTGTCGCAACTCGTCACCAGTGCCCTTTTTCAGTACGCTACTTGTCCAGAGCTGGTCTTCTATGCGAAAGAAGGGAAACGTCCTCTATATTTGGCTGGCTTGTCTTTTAGTTCCAAGTATTGCTATGTAGGTGATAGGTGTGCGATATCTTGATATCAATCGAGTTTGGAGTCAAGTTAGCTTCGTTAATTCTTGTTGATGACAAAATTAAACCCTATGGGCAACTGGTAAGGAATGAAATTTTTTTTATGAAATCAGAATTACACCTGTATGTAGATTTCAAAACAGCGTATTAGATGCAGTGCAATTTTTTATGGTAGATGCATCGGAGCCTTGCCGACAGTTCAACATTCTTGCGAAACAGACTAACAAACACAGTAGATGTTCAGTAAATGTAACTTTTGCTCAAATGAAAAAAACTGTCTCCAGCATGATTGGTTTCATACTTGGGTTCTCCAGCCTTGTTTATCTCTCACTAAACAGAACACATCTTCCTGGTATTTTAAGGTTTCATTTAATCGAAGCATACTGTATGCCAGTTTAAACAAAGAGTGTACTATATAATTGTCGCATGCACTCTGAAAGACACCAGGGTTGTTGGAGGCATCACACAACACATCATACAAGTTATAGGTGTGTGAAATGTATTTATTAAAAGCATTCAGCCATATGCTAATACACACAACCTTGTTTGTTTCAGAGATTTCACAAAAACTAGATTTTCTACTCTTCTAGAAGCCGAGTAGGGTGGTGTTGCTTAAGTAGAATGATCTAAACACTGTACTGATTCGCTGCAACTAGTGCTTAGTAAATGTCAACTAGGTACATTAGCTTGAAGGGACACTAAAGGCAACTATTAAGTCAACGTTGATTGTTGAAATAGCGGTCTAGAAACCTCGTAGTGTTACTTTCGTGCCAAGGAAGGGCCTATTTTGAAATGAAATCACGTTTTGGTGGTGCGCATCGGGTTAGCGCACTTCTAATTACCTGCCTCAAGAAGCGGACCGATGGGACCGACTCGCGTCACTGTTGCCGTACACAGCGTTGCTCGGCTTTACTGCGCTAGTAGCAGCTGGCCGAAAGCAGCGGAAGCCACAGCAGCAACAACAGCCACTGATCGATTTCCCGTCATTGACTCTCAATATTGCAGGCATATTTTAGTTCGACTGCGCCTCGCTAGATGGCACCCACCACCTGTCCAGTGTAACTATGCAAAAATTTATTTTCAGATTACTCGCCTCAATGCCCATAGTAATGTCCGGCAATTCTTTTTTCTATCAATGAAACGGAAACGAACAAGCAGCATTTTATTGCGTCTCTTGCTGCACGGAAGTTTTATTTAGTGCAGCTAGATCGATTGCTAGTGATAATTGTAGGCAGTCCGTATGATGTCATCGGAATCAGTTTGAGAACGTCCTACTGCGGCGCATGTGTTCTTGTGTATTTACCTTACTTTCTCGGTAAGTAGAGCGCTCATGTTAATAATATTGTCGTTTTAGATGTTGTTATACATTGGGCTTTCTGACGTAAATTGTTATTTGACTTTAGTGTCCCTTTAAAATACGTGCGCTGGAGGGCGCACCTATGTTAAGTCGTCAAAAGTGGTGAAGTGCCCGAAACGGGAGCTCACGCATAGAAAGGTAAAAAAATGTTCCAAATATAAACGTGCCTTTACGTGTTAACTAGTGTGGTGAGTGAAAAACATTTCTGGCACTGCGGTGTCTTGGGGCCTGTAGTAGCTACGGGCTCACCAGACACATTGGCACGTGACAGTTCGTCTCGAGATGCGATACCAACCAGTTACAGCAAACTCTCGCAACTAACTACAGTGCTACCTACTGGGCTTAACTATGCACCATTAGTCATACATGATGTGCACACAAATACACGATTGCAAACACAGTGTCCCCATGTGGCCGGCTGTGCTGATAGGGCATACCAGCACTGTATAAATCTCGCTCTGGGGCACCTTTCGTGCTGCTAACTGCAACATTCTTTGTGCCAAGCTGCAAAACTGTGTGAGGCACACTTGAGACCATACACAATTCATTCAGAAAGACTAGGCTCACTACCTGCCATCTCAGCACACGTGAAGTTGAAGCATTGCATGGTTTACATTAAGCTGAGGGCCCTTAAAACATGTAGCACACATTTCAACAGTGGCGCGAACATATTTATTTGGTGACATCATCACAGCAACACAAGTCGTAGCTTCAACAGCAGCTTTTACACATGGAATGTGCACAAGTTTGTGCATACTGATGACTCTTCGACGAAAAAAAAAAAAGGAAAAGTGGGGTTATATACAAGGCATTTCAGACAGCACTGGTTTTAGCACTTTGTCAATGGACGTCAATAGATTGATCAATATGTGGGGTTTAACGTCCAAAAACCACCATATGATTATGAGAGATGCCGTAGCAGAGGGCTCCGGAAATTTCGACCACCCAGGGTTCTTTAACGTGCACCCAAATCTGAGCGCACGGGCAGGCCTACAGCATTTCCACCTCCATCGGAAATTCAGCCCCCGCAACCGGGATTTGATCCCGCGACCTGTGGGTCAGCAGCCGAGTACCTTAGCCACTAGATTACTGCGGCCGGGCACATGTCAATAGGCATACTACAGGCACATTGTGCTTCATACAATTTGTGTGACACTTGTTCCAAGTTGTCCATGCGCAGCAATATTTCAAAAGCAGCATTTTGCTATTTGGCTGTGACAGCTGTTAAGACTCGTGATTATGGTGGCAGTGAATGCCGAGCAGTGAGAGTAGCAAATACTTGTAGCGCTGCATTTCATTACAAAGGCATTTCAATTCATAAATAAGTTGAAATGTACAAATCACCATGTAAGGTAACACACTACCCACATTCATGAAAACACCAGTCTTGGGAAGTTAAATTTCACATCCCATGTTTAATCTGAATGGAGTCGATAGAATGCAGAATGCCACATCATTCTCATTCCAGTGTTAGTGTGAAATGATGGAAGTTTAAAGGCTGCACGAAATCCCAGAAAGCCATGAAGGTCAACTTCTTTCAAAAAGCACTGTTTACAGGGATGTCAATCAAGCGTGATATGCATGTGCTGTTGAATGGCCCACAGCTATTAGCAACACGGGGGTTAGATAACGATTGTGCTTGCTTGGCTGAGGCAAGGGAAGACTGGTCAAAGCTCATCTGGTTTCTAGGCATTACACACCACCACATGCAAAAGTGCTTCCTTGAAAAGCTTTCATTGGGCATTAGCTAAAAAAACATGAAGACAAATCCATAAAACCGTGCCGACAGCCGTGCTTGCAAGGTATGTGGGCAAGCATGTAAGCAAGCTGCTGCTCTGTAAAAACCGTTCTTTTGTAATCCCAGTGCTTCTTGCTAAGAAACATCATTAAACAATCTTGGTAACAAATGTCATACCTTCAGCAAATGCATTATATACTTAACGATTGTTTAAACCATGGATAAGTTAATTCAGTCATGATTTGGTGCTCATTGTAAATTCTGTCATGATGCCTGAGACAGTTGCTTTTCGTGCATTGTGGCCACACAAGAAGCACCGTGCATATTGGTACAACAGGCGAACTACAATTGGTCCTTGAACATGGTGGCACACAGTTTGACATCAGGTGCCATAGAGGTTTATTTCAAATTTACCAATGGGTGCACTTCTGAGTGAAACCAAACAAAGCAAAGAACATAAGAATTCTATATAGAGATAATTGAAAAATGATTTCGAACACCAATGAAGGAATCCAACTCTAATATGAAGTTGAGTTCACGAATTTAGCTTTCTGAGAAATGGCATTTTTCTCGCATATCAGTAAAAAAGAAAGTGTGACACATCTTGGCACGGCACTGCTTAAAAAAGAATGTGTCGGGCATCACAAAACAAGTGCTATGTTAGCACGCAGTGCTATTTTCATAGAAACCTACTGGGCCTTTTCCAACACACATATTCTGCCCTAAATGACATTTTGATTACTGAACTGAACTGCATTCTTAACACAGCATATGCTAAGGTTGTGCCAGCTTCTTCATTAATGACTGCAGGTATCTTTGAATAGAATACTGTCAGTAGCTTCAAGAGCATTGAACACTGCACCCCCATAAAAAATTTTCTTAACAATGCCAACAACAAATTTACATTTTGTTGCCAGATGTACATCTCATAAAGCAGAGTGCGATGCCTACTTCTCTACTGAACAAATATGAAATGATCTAACCCACAATAGTTAAGAATTGTGGGTGTAAGTAGTGATAGTGGGTTGGACTTTTTTCCTAGGCTTGTGCGAATAGTGAATATTAGGCTCAATTTAAATAGTAAATTTGTACAAATAATTTCAAATCGAATTTGAATAGTACATGTACTACATATTATAAGAAAAAGTGCGCATATTTGTCATTACCCTACTAAACTAAAGAATATTTTTTAAAAACTGGAAACTTTTATTTGTTCTTCAAAGAAAGTGGAAACAACTTTGAATAGTAGCAGGATTCGACTTTCGGGTGAATGCAAGTGACAACCTGTAAAATTTCTTTTAAAATTTAATTTACTTAGAGTGTGTAAGCCGGTATAACAAGGTTTTAAACTTAAAAAAAAAATTATATGATGATTCGATGTAAGAAATAACATGCAAATTTTTTCCAAATAAATGTTTTTACAGCTTTGCACCCTGTCACTGCAGTGTAAGTATCTTCACAAGGAGTTACATGCAAACTAATATAGTACGTAGCTTTTGGTTCATTTCAAATACATTAAAATTTTTAACAATTTAAATTAAAATTGAAGCAATTTCAAATACAGTAATATTCACTCAAATATACAAAGTATTTGATTATTCGCACGAGCCTGCTATTTTGACATGCCCTACTTTATAGATAGGGTCATTTTCAGAGTGCCTTAAAATTATTTCATAATAAAGCACAGTCCCATGTAAGTGAAAAAAAAAGAGAGAATACTTTACTACAAAGGCTTAAACTAAAATGCATGAACAGTAAAAAATAGGTGAACTACTAAAATACATTGAATAAATAAAATCTACACAAACAACATCACAAAAGTGAGGTCTCAAAAGCCACAGAAATAAACTATACAACATAAATTGTCGACTCGGCATTTGTCCCCTCTTAAAACAGCAGCCAAAGCCATGTGCACAAACTTCATGGTGTATGAGTGCACAACGTTCTTGTGCCTACTGGAAAATTGTTACAGTTGTACGTGGATGTGTGCAGATAAACATCAAATGCGTAGAACATGCATCATGTGCAGTTCCAGTCACGACGTTGCCTCGTCTATTCCACAAAACACGGTGTCCACATTGCTATCGCGGCTTATCAATGCTCCGCTTTATTGTTTAACTTATTTATCGCAACAACCCCGCTGAAAATGCCCCAGCTGGTATTGCAGCAGGGTGACAATGTGTAACAAAACGAAACCAACAACACTGCAACGAAACTACAAGTGAGGGATGTTCCACGTTGTTGCTGCTTGTAAACTTTGGCTGCAGTTTTGAGATGGGAGTGCATTGACAAGATGAAGTCACATTTAGCATTGCCCTACAGTGACACTTTAATTCAGTTTCAGAACTCGCTCTCACTTCTACAACCTGCTGCTCTCCTAGGTTGGCACGTTCACAGGGCAATCCGCGCATACACAAACACCCAGCCAGTGCCAGTGGCAATGACGCACATCACCAAGGGGCGAGTGTGCCACTTTCCATTCTCACCAATGGTGAAAGCACGGCTTCACAGTAACAGTCCGACTTCTGAAAACAGGGCCACATGCAGTTCGAAGAGCGGTGCTACGTCGACAAAAAACTCCGACGGCAGGCTGCCGTGAGAGAGCAGGCCTCGCAGGAGGCAGCAGACAAGGCTCCTCATCCCGGCTTGACGCGGGGCCACAGGGCACTTGGAAAACTGAAACGTTCGGGCAAGATTTCTAAGCGTGGCTCCTCTCCAGGCATCTGGAGGTTGTTCATCACGTACTGGAAACTGAGGCGGGGTGTGCGGCAGACATGCAGGTGGTTGTGCAGGCAGGCAGGCAGTGCAGGAAGGAAGCAGGAGCAAAAGAATAGCACAAAAGAACAAAGAAAAAGATGAAGGAGGAAAGTGCACTCATGCAAACTAAAAAAAAAAGAATAAAAAGACTGTTATAGATACAAGTTAAGATTTTTCTGTCTTTCTGAAAACATGTGACTTAGCAGCCAGTAGTGCTTGATGTAATGGACAAAACATGAGCTGAAACAAAGCTATTGTGTGATCACCTGATTTTAATATGAAAATGCGAGTTGCTATTGTTATTCACTTCTGGTTGTCACACATTATCTGATGAAGTCGATGCACTAGTGCCTTCTGTTTTTAGCAAAGTGTGGGTCATAGCGTTTTTCTTTTTCTTCTACTATTGATGATTATTTTATGTGCATTTGCATGCAACTTTGTAATGCTGAAACAGCAATTGATTTCGAGCAGAGCCACCTTATTTTAGAAGTTGCAGATATGGTGAAAATCTGTAAGTGTTAGTAACCGTTAGCACACCTGCTCTGAAGTAATTACAATATTTCATGCACACATCAGTCAGGCTGTTCCTATTTTGTGATATGCTTGTACAGGGACACACAGGCACAAAGCATGCAAAGTTGAGTTAAACAAAAAAAGCACAAAAAATAAGAGGCATTACTCCTAGGTTCTACCATTCATTGGCACTATGACTTCATCTTCTGTACTAAGTCAGAATATTCAACACAGCAAAAATTAATTACTATAATCATTAAAATGCACTGTAATTATCTGTCCCATTAATAGCAATAAATCGAAAAGTATCTTAACAATAATTTCTACATCAAGAGCAAATGAACATGTATGCCTGTAATAATCTTTAGCAGAGCTCTACACAGCTAATAGTCGTATGACACTCTGGTTGTGTGAAATTCTATGCAGTCGTATAGGGAACCAACAGTAACGTGAACTATCATGTGGAAAGCTCAAGGCAAATAAGACCTGCTTCGAGATAAAACATAACTCTGTCACTACTGCACTGTTTTCCTGCATGTCTTCATACCCTTTCTGTACACGTCTTGTGCTGCTGCTGACCTCGTCAAACGTATTCCAATTATGCACATACAGGCAGAACAGGACTAATCCGAGATAATTATGCTGTTTACCGGTGCACATAAAAACCTGGGATCAACCTTTAATATCTCATTTAATGTGGGAATTACAAAATATGTGCTGTGTTAGTTACAACTTGGTGAGGGGCTACTGGCTCATAATTATAGCAGAGGACCAAACAGTGCAATTATTAAAACAAGAACAACAAAGGAACTAGGACCACAGGACAAGTGTTCGCTGTTTCTTCACACTGTATAAAAGGCATGTTAGAGTCAGTCCAGTGGTCTTTGTTACTTTGTTGTTCTAATCACGTTGTTTCATCCTCTACTCCAAATGTGTTCTATGTTTCTATTCGCAATTCACATTATTTCAATTGCTGTCCCCTTGTTCATTTCGCCTGTTCAATGTGCTTCCACTGCGTTGCTGCTCAAATGCTTCCTTAACGTATTCAATGATGAAGGGCATCATGCAGAAAACATGACACATATGTCGTGTTTTGAAAACATCAAGGGAGGTGGAGCGGGAAAGGCAGTAGGATATTTTGCTGTTTTTTTTCTTTTTGTGTGCCGACTTCATGTGCGTTAAGTACAGTCTCCTGAGTGAAAACTTGGCTTTTTTCACAGCAGCATTTAGCACAATTTCTTTGTCATGCTAGCGTATCTGAGTTCTCCATCGCTGTGCAATGGCAGATGACCGATGGCATACTAAAATGAGTAATATTGTTCGTTTTCAAGCCAATTACACTTTAAGGCAAGCTGTAATTGTGGACATAAAGCTAGTTCTTGGCTTCTGTCGTTTCCAGGAAGAGGCGGTACCAGCACTACAGATAAAAGTGTACTGGCATAAAAATATTCATTGTGGTGCCTTCCCTCTCCCCCTTAAACTGTTTCTGCAGGCCTAATAGTCACAAGACATCGCTTGTTGCAGTTTGCCACAGATAAGTAATTACAGTCGGTTTATTACCGAGCAGTCTCAGTTTCTGTATGGGGGAGCTACGAGAACAACAAGCGGCTGTGTGTAACTAGCGTCATGTAACCGTGTGAAACTGCACACAGAACAGTGATCATGTTTCTGCCCTGCCTGCATAGATTTTAGCATGTGGCATGTGCAGCGCGATGCTGTTGCCGTCATCGCCGTCACCTCACGGCAAAGACTTTCTTGAGGTTGCCATGTGTTCACCACGAGCACTTATTTGCGAGCAGTAGCTGAAGAGTATCCTGCTGGCACAAGCGCAGCAAAAGTGCGATGGCCACTATGACGTCATTCAATTAGCTGGGGCATCTTGGAGCTCGGCTACAATGGCAACATTGTGGAAGTTTCTGGGTCCCTTAAAAGTTGTCTTATATGATGCCAATGTCGCGAGATGCATTTTATAAGAATGGATTAGGTACGGGAATTTCAATGTTCACATGAGTTACCTTCCAAAATGTATTTGCTATTAAAATTCGGCAAACGATATAGTATGGGTGTTCATGACAATCAATCTAGCAGGCTATCACAGTTATGAAATTTTGTGTCAGTACCCCTTTAAGTTGGATGTCAGTGCCCGTTTAAGTCTGCAGGTACACCTTTAAGGAAGGTGTACCTGCAGTAAAATGGTGTCACTCATATGGCTGTGCTGGAATTATTGCATGCACGACGTTTAGTACACCATCCCTTAATCTGCAACCTTGGTAGCTGTAGTCTGCAACACAAATAAGAACCCAGTAGTATAGTGCATCCAGACACATGCATAAACTGAGAATGTGCTACATGAGTGCCGCAATTTCAATGAGCTTTGCAGACTTATGTCAACAGTTGGTGAGACGAACAAAAAGTATAGCACTGAACCCTGAAATTGTAGCTTCCGGATGCGTGGCTAGCATTGAAAAAAGGGCTTTGAACGCAGGTTGATGGCAACACTGTGAGGCTCTAATGGTACAAGGCATTACTGCTACCTAGAGTCACGCCTTGTTGCTATGTTCAGGCACACAGAAAGCACACGGAGGTGGAGGGGGTATGAAAGGCGGTCGGCCAAAGCAGTGATGCCTACCAGTGACAGGGGGACGACTGTTGCAAGCTGCCTTTCTTCAAGGTCCAAGATACGGCAGCAAACTCATCCTCTAAGCTTATAAATGACCCGGAACCTTTGCCACCAAACAAATTTCCCATTAGCATCACTCAAAATTTAGAAGCAAAACAGGGGAGCATCAAAAGGTATGCCAAAAAAGTAAACAAAAAAAGAAAAAGAAAGCAAAACAAAATTAGGCCCTGACTAACACATGAATAAATTGAGAAAAAATGTGTTGGCTGGGGCTCTGAATGAGATTAATGAAGCTCCACAAACAGTAAGGGTTAGAACGTGAAGGTCACGACTCTATATTCTCTCCCAGTCTCTACTTCATGAACAAATTTATTCATGATGGTTAAAATAAAACTCTAGCACACAAATGTTAAAACTATCCCCAATTACACATAATTTAGGATAAGACTAGTGTCATACAGTATGTGTTAGTCCCCACATGATGCTTCCACAAACGAACTACATATTTATCACAGAAAAGCCGACGCCAGCCCACACATGCAAATTATACAAGCTAAGGCAGGCAGCTTACATATGCATGCCAATGCATCCCCTGCTGGAAATGTATTTAAGACTGACAGTTAGTCACATAAAGCGACACAAACACTGCACGCTGCCATATACATGATAACTATAAGCAATACTGAAGCCAGGAAAGCTTCAGACAATACATGGGAATACACTAGGTCTTTTTCTGAAAGGGAAAGAAGACAACCATGCGTTTGTAGCATGAAGCCACAAGAAAATCCGTACGGATTTCTCAGAAAAAAAAAGCCTCTTAGTTGCCAAAATTTCGTCCTGGTCCAGAGTTTAAACCTCAGACCAGGACGAATTTTTCGGTAACTACGAGGCTTTTCTTTCTGAAAAATTCATAAGGACTTTCTTGTGGCATTGCAAACCCAGTTTTTTTTTTGTCTTTTTAGTGAAATTTTCGTGACCCATCTTTATGTTGTCCCATTATTACAATTTCATTGGAGGTATCTTGGTAGCTACCACTGACTACCCTACATCTCATCGATTCTTCACCCCTGCATTGCACTGATAATTTGTCTGGCTACGACAATGCAGTATTCTGTAAATAAACTGCCTGAATTATAAGCAGGAGCCGAGAATCACGTTTGCATTTCCGGAAGGGGGTGCTCGGTTTGAAGGGACACTAAAGTCAAATAACAATTTACATCAGAGTGAAAGCTCAATGTATGAGAACATCTAAAATGACCATATTATCAACAGCAGTGCCCTAGTTACCGAGAAATTAAGGTAAATGCACAAGAATACATGCGCCACGTAAACATTTCAAATTGATACCAATGACGTCAGACAAACCGCCTACATGTAATCACTATTAATCGATCTAGCTGCACAAAATAAAGAACCTTTCGTTCATCAAGAGACGCAATAAAAGTTACTTGTTTGTATCTGTTTGATTCATGAAAAAAAAAAAAAAAAAACGCCCGACGTTGCTATGGAAAATGGTGCGATTGGTTCAAAAATTCAACTTTGGCGTAGTTACACTGGACAGGTGATGCCATCTAGCGGGGCGCAGTTGAACCAAGACACGTCTGCCATCTCGAAGCCAATCACAAAAAATTGATCAATCGCCATTGTTGCTGCTGTGGCTCCCACTGCTTTCGTTCTGTCTAATAGTGTGGGCGACCGCGCAGTAAAGCCGGGCAACGTTGTGCACGGCAACAGTGACTTAAGTCGGTCTGCTCCTTGAGGCGGGTAATTTGAAGTGTGGTAACCCGATTCGAGCCACTAAAGCGCAATTTTGTTTCAAAATAAGCCCTTCCTTGGCACAAAAGTAACACTACGAGGTTTCTGGACGGCTATTGAAACAATAAACGTCGACTTAATAGTTGCCTTTAGTGTCCCTTTAAACAATTTCACGACAGAGAGTGGAAGTGAGAAGAAAGAGGTGCACTCACAATTTGCGAATGCCGGAGGCCTTTCCGTAGGAAAAAAGCTTCTCCTCAGGCTCCTGGTTGATGGGTCCTTGGACGGGCCGGTCTTCGTCCTTGACCGGAGATGGTGGGTCAACCGGCCTGGTCAGAAGCGAGGTTGCCTCATGAGCCCACCACCTTCCGCGGGGGACAAGGCCGTTTATCAGTGTGCAGCCATGTCTCTCTCCAATTTTTTCTTTTACTTTGATGGCTTGCAAGTTATAGCTAATGCTCTCTTTAAGAGACAGTGCACACAGCTGTACACCCAAATATCAAAACAACTTTGTGCCTGATTAACATAACAAATTACACCGAACGAATTGCAGATGTTGGTCAAGTGACATTGCAAAACACTGATGCACTCCTTCCTTTTATACAAAGGTTCTTTCTTAGGTGGGCGAGTTGGATCATAAACACGGTAGAAGAACAGTGTTTCTTGCGCTGTTCTGCCACAATGTTCAAAAACTTCCTCATATGCAGTTATAAAATAATGGATAGGTTAAGGCTTATGCAACTGAATGCCTGGAAAAATTCTTCATAAGGCTTCTGAGAAGAACAAAATCTTAGCAGAACCCAAATGATGGCCTGACTTGTTGAACTGGTCTCCTGAAATTTATGACCCAATCTACATTGACTGTTGATTCAAATTAAAACCTACACGACATCATTACGAGGCCTCCAACTAGAGTTGATTCAACAATACATATGGCTGGAAACTTGCATTCAATTCCAGCAAGACACTACAGATAATGCACGTAAATGTAAAGTAGTACTTCGGTTCTGCCTTCATGCAGTGAGAGTGAAGTTAAACTAAGAGTGAGTTTAAAGCTTCTACACTGATTCTAAGTGGTCATTCTTTTGGCATGCTGCAAACTATCATTGTATGGTACATTAAGAAGTAAGTACAAAGCTTGCCTGAACAAACTTGCACACATAAGGCGTTCATTAGTGATTACCTTGGCCTGTACAGAGCCAGCTCGTCTTCAAGATCACTAACTCGAGCCTTGAGCTCATTCCTTTCAAAAAGGATGTGCTTGAGCTCCTCCAGCGTGAAGCGGGGTCGATTCGGGTCGTCCAGGTCAATGACCACTTTTCCATGCATATCCAGGACAGCATCCTAGCAATAAACAACGAAAAAGTATATATATTGGAGAGGGGGGTGGGGGGCATGCTGCTTGTATATAAACTGCGGCACAATATCGTTGTTCTGTTTTTGACATACGATTTGAATACTAACTGCGCACGGTATATCATAGGGCAGGTTTCATAGCTTTTCTTTTCACTAAAGCGAAAGTGTGCCAATGTCATTGCAGTGTCCACAAACGGACAAGTTCAAGGTTTAAAGGAGCCCTGAAACACTTTTTTAAGTAACCATGTAATGAATTCAATGGAAGAGCTTATTTCCTCACAAATTCAATGCCGCAAAAATTTTAAGAATCCGGCCAGTACGAGCGGAGTTACAAAAATTTGTCGCACATTGAAATCGCATTCTCTGCTTTCTTGTCCTGAAGAATGACCTGGATGCTAAGCAGGGAGGGATGACAGGGGCACAGAAAATATGTCACGCGCGCCACGTGAGCTTGAGCACTTTTTTCCTTTTCTTCGAATAAGCAGCTTTTACAGTGTGATCGCGCGTGCACGCGTGGACAAGTCATGGCCTCTCACGGCGATCTCTGTAACAACTGAGAGCGTCATGTTCAAATCAGCCAATGGCTTATAGATGGTCTTCTACGAGTGATTTTTCAGTGTCTTCCATCATTTGTTGAGGGAAGAGAAAGCAATTTTGAGCTGATTTTGATCATTTATTGTGAATTACAGGCCGTGTGCGCTACAAAATTCGGCTCACATGTTCTCGGGAGCCTCTACTACCTATCGGCAGCATTTTCTGTCCATGCTCAAAAAGTATTGCAAGGCCCCTTCAAGTGTTCAGATGCAATTTAAATGTTCTCAATAAAATTACAGGACCAGCTGTACAGCTTTGCTCGACCTACTTCAAGTCTTTACGTTGCTCAATGTCGATCAGCTGAACAAGTTTGAAATTTGATGACTAAAGTAGATTCAAGTAAACTATGGTAACTACTACTATTATACCTGCTTTAGTTATTGCTTTTGTAACTTTTACACTTAGCCTGTCTGAGAAAATATAATTTTTTTCTCCAGAAGTAAGTTGCCAGGTGCAGGATATGCCCATAAATATAAAAAATTACATTAACTAGCACTCAATAAACTGCCATGCAATTAATTATGCCAGGCACATAATGCAACTGGTGAATTGTAAAGACGTATCACTTGGAATCAAGTATAGGTGGTACAGTTTTTAAGACGTGCTCCTTCCGAAAGTGCTCTGAATTTGTAGTGTTGTTTGCATTTGTAATGAAACGAAATTTTGTGCACTGATGCACCGAGCAGCTAGAACACTTGGATATTTCACTGAACACTTTGGGAATGAATATCTCAAGAACTACAAAACTCTAACAATTCATTCAAAGTGGTTATGCCTCGTGAACTCACCACAACAATTTGCCAACTGCGGTATGTGCTGTATAGAAATCGGCGAATCTTAGTTTAATAGCTACCAACCTTTTTGGGCATTCGTTGCCCTCTTGCTGCAGTTTGCAGCTGAAGGAATTTCGTATTTTTTTAAACGCGAAGCCTGTACGAGTTACAGATTTTGGTGGCAGTACGTAGCATGGTTTGCCAAAACCCGGTGTCAGTGAGTGTACAGAAATGCGGGTGCACACAAATAGTAGGCCTTTGAAGATGCACCCGCCATAGGTGTATTTGTGTATACTGGCGTACACTTATACCTCGTTATTACAAAGTTGCATCATACACCAAAATATGCTTGTTATATCCGAAAATTCATTATAAAGGTATATTCCTAACACTATATCTATTGCAAGGCTAGTCTTCATTTACTTTTTATAACAGATATTTCATTATATCAGAGTTTGTTATATCGAAATTTGAGTGTATACAGTCGAAACTCGCAATAACGAAACCCCGCGAGTATGAAATCCCCGTGGCAACGAAATATTTCCCGATCCCCGGTTGACGTTCATAGAAGCCCATGTGTTACGTATCTCGCGGCAAAGAAATGTTTTTGGGCAGCGATCCCGCATTCACGAATTTTATACCATGGTGCGGGCCTTATTTTACCCTCCCACTAATGGTTAACTGTCAAAAATATGCCCGTATGCGTGTTATGCGCACTCAAAATTTGTAAACGTCTGCTTTTAACGCGCTAGCGTGGGTACTGCCATTTTTCTTTACTTAAATCGGCGACGGGGGTCTGTGTCCGGCAACATGGCTGGCCACACTGCAGCAGGCGATGGCAAATGATCATGCTGGAGTGCAGATGGCGCCGTCGGACGAGCTCAACAGGCTGAAGCAACACCAACACCATCGACATCCCAGATGAAATCACCGTTGATGCGTTCGTTCGTGCCGATGACGATGTAGTCGTGTACGAGGAAGTGACCGACGTGGCCATTATCGAAAGCGTGCACGAAGCTGACGACAGCGAGGACGAAGAAGGGACGCACGCAGAGAAACCCAACCCGCGGGTTGTTTTGGATGCGCTGGACACCCTTCGCTCCTTCTTCGGCGCACATTGACGACGACGTAGCAATGAACCACTTGCGAAGGAAGAGCTTTGATGTTGTTGCATGGCAAGGGTCGGCAAAGCAAGTTGACTGACTTCTGGCAATAAATTTTCATTCTGCTGGCCGCACTGTTTATATGTCTCATACTCGTGGCAATGAAATTCTCGCGAAAACGAAATTTTTCGGTTTCCCCGGCGATTTCGTTATTGCGGGTTTCGACTGTACAACCACAGATGTATATTAGAGAGCATCAGATGACTGATGCTCTCTAGATTGTGGGCTTGTCATGATCAGCCGCTTCCAACACAGATATCTGATCTTGTATTGAGGTCACTGGTGATTTCACATGGGCACATTAATTGTTTCACATAAGACTGTCATCATTGCCTGTAATAAAAAGAAATGTTGAATAGGAACAAATGTTGGGCTGCTAGACATGCTGACGAACATCCATTTCCAGGCACAAAGGAAGAGAGAAGTTGAGAGGCAGCATTGAACAATACCAGAGATAGAGAGGAATAGTAGCAGGTCAGGCATGCACGCTCCAGGGTTCACTTACCCCCATTTTACCAACAGTAGAAGGGCTCCAAACTTTTTTTTTTTTCATGAATACCACATGTTTGATGCACGGCCTAAAACACATCATTACATAGCCATAGGTTTGAAAAGAGCGCCTCCAGTCTCACCCTGGACTGGAGAAGGTCGTCGTGGTCCTTGACAGCGAGGCCTAGTCGCTCCTGCAAGGCCTGCAGCTGGCTCTGTTGGTCCTGCAACTGCACCTGCAGGTCGCCACGCTCGTCGCACAGCTGCCGCATCTGCTGCTGCAGCCGCCGGTTGCGTCGACTCTGCTCCTGAGTGGCCTTCTTGCTGGCATCCAGCTGCTGCTGAAGCTGGTAAAAGGCAAGCCGCACATCTTTGTTATTCATTTACTACATAGTGCAACCACAAGACGCAGCAGAGAAGGAGAAAGAAAAGGAACGTGGTGAAAAGTGACCCAACATTGGAGTTCAGGCCTGCTGGCATGGCAACGTGAGAAGATCTCAAACAGGGCGAGTGAAAAGAAACTCTTCTTTTTTTTCTCACTGATTGGCATTATTTCAGAACCTTCACATGAGGTGATTACAGATTTTAGAGGTTATACAACCTAACAAAACAGTAATTACTTTCTTATAGCAGACGTGTGAGCATTATGTTGTTCGAGCATGTTCGAGAGTGGTCAAAGTATGGACATTGCCATGCAGTCAAGAACAAAGTGTATACGAAAAATATACACATAGTCAAGAGTGCCAAATTTTGATGACACAAATGGACCCTGCTACTTTGCCTCCGGCTTGAATCCAGGTTTCCATCTTGGTTGACACAACAGCAAACAGAACCATACCTAAATGGCTAGAAGTTTGGTAAGCTTCGCTAATCTAACAGCTTTAAGGCCTCAGTATGGGATCTTTTACTACTTTGCATAAAGTTTTGCTGTACATCACGAAGAGTCTCTTTGGAGTTCACGCAACTAAATGGGGGAGACTTGGAGTCGGAGGGCACCAGCACTTGGTTGGTGCAAAATGAGTTTGACCAACCCAGCAGAGTAGGTCAGCGTGCTCTGCTGAGTATACCAATATGTAGACACAAAAGTAAGTCTATTTCACCTACAGATGTCCCCACAGAGTCCAGCAGACACCACTGGTATGCTAGCTCCCAATCTCAAGTCCTCCCGATTCATCTCTGCTTCATACATAAAGCTTCCCCTCAAATTCAGAGCGGTACAAAGACTAAATCAGTTTGTCTATATGTAGGTTAACTTGTGCATCTGTCTATTCAACCATGCCTCTATCTATTGGTTTGTCCAAATTAACAGAAATGGTCAACGTGCTTTTTAAAGGTTTTTAAATAATTGCTTCAAATTAAAAAAAAAATGATTGGCTTGTGCAAATATCCAAGCACTTGGAATATTCAAACGAATATTACAGTATTCCAATCCACTTTGATTTGAATTCAAATTATTAGAAATTTTTGAAATGAATGAATAGTTGTATATTAGTTCACATGCAACACGCCCCCCTTGTAATGGGGTTTTGCTACAGTGGAGAGGTGCCATGTCGTGAATACGCCCACCCAGGAGAAATTCTCACTACCACAAAGCCCCCATTCAAGGTTAAATGAACACATTACCCTCACATCGATTATTCATATTTTAAGCTTCATTTTAAAAGCTCTTTAAACTGGCTCATATGCTCTAAACACAGTAAATTTTAAAATTCAATGTATTTTATGATTATCACTTGCATTCAACCAAAAGTCAAATCCTGCAACTATTTAAAGTTGTTTCCACTTTCTTTGAATAAAAAAAATGACTTTTGCACAGTCATTGTTTCAATTAAAAAAAAATATTGTGCAGGTTAGTTCCATCACGACAAATATGCTTTTTCATAATATGTGATGAATACTAATTGAATTCAATTAGAAATTATTTGACCAAACCACTATTTGCTTATAAATTAAAATTTAGTATTAGCAAAGCCTTAAAAGAACAGCACTACCCTTGCACGGTGTGCTTAGGAAATTAATGCAATATATAAAAAAAAGTAATGTACATATAAAACCTGACACTCGGCTAGTTGGTCAAACATGATCAACTTTCTTTGTGTATTGGGAGACTGCAAAGATAGACACATACAGAACACATTAGGATGAAAAGTGTTGATTGTCCCGCATGTGTCCTTCACAGTGTCCAGTACTTTTTGTAGCTTGCACAAAGAAAGTTTATCATCATTTTATGAAGTCACCGCAATGTAAGCTACACCAGACTTAAATGGACGAAGATGTGGTGATGGCTAGAAATGCAGAAGCAATAATGAAAGCGGCAATGCACACAACCTGTACAGCAGACAATGTTGAAAAAAAAATATGTGACAGCAGGTGCTCCCTTACAGATTCTATGTCGGCAGCTTGCTTAGCCTTGTCCTTCTCACACTGCTTCAGCTGAGCTGCTTGTTTGTCAAAGGCGTCCCGGAGTCGTTCGAGGACAACAATGTCTTCGCCAAGCGTCACACCTGCACACATTACACCGGAGTTATAGCTGCAACAGGAGTACAGTAGGTACTCACTTCATTTGATGGGCAGCACACAATGGAATTACCACCGTTACCAAAGAAGCTCAGGGACCACAACAGCCAAGAAAAATTTTTACACTCAGTGAAGGCATGCAGATTGGAGTTGGTTCGAATGTCTGGACTGCGATGAACTAGGTGCGCATTTTTGCAGCTGCAGTTACCAACGCGCTGTTAAATGTGAACTTTCAGTCTTATCTTTGCATTGTGCAAACCAGACCTGCAGTGGCGCTTAGATCGGAACACTCAGTGTAGTAACTGACAGACCAAGATCAAAGTAACAAAACGAATTCCTTGCTTGTTTCTAGTTCCATGCAATGTTTGCTACTGTTACACTGTCACAAAATTCTTTGTCTTTTCCATTTAATTTTTTAAAACATTCTTTCTGACAACAAAACCATTAAAAGAACACCTGAAGCAACTTCACTGATCAAAGCAAAGTTGTCCCAATGCATCGTAGACAAGCAAAGCTAGGAGAGGAAACCAACGGCAATGCTGTTTTAAAGTACTTTTTCTTTCATTTTTCTTTAATAAAGCACACTTTGAACATGAAAGAAGCATGTTAAGTAATTTTCACCACTTAGATTTATATGCTCCTTTAAAGACTGCTCAGAGTCCAGAACCTGAAAGACACTATCGCCCCTGTATCGATGATCTCAGTGGTTTAACGATACCTTCACCGTAAAGCTTAGTTCTTCACACATTTCAAAGCCTAATGATCTGGAAGAATGACCAACTTCAGCAACAAGGTATCTGCCCCAAAAGACATCCACTCCAGCAGACTGCCAATATCAGATATCAGGCTTGAGTTAGAATATTATGGCTAAATAAGCTGTGGGAAAATAAATAAAAACTGGCCCATGAAACAATGAAGTGATAAGATATCAGTGCACAAGTCAATGAACTGTGCAGAATTACAGGTTACACCAGCTGTTAGGCTATTCGCGCAGCAACCTATCAAATAACAAACAGTCAGCAGCAGTGCAACACAAAGTGCTTTGAAAGGAATTTTCCCATTCGTTTATTTGCAATATCCCAACAGTGTTTGCAATCAGACAATCATGAATGCACACCTCATAAAAAGAAAGAATGTTCTTCACACGTGATAAAGCAATATGGAGCTAACAAACTAGGCACAAAGTTGTAAAGAAAAGAGCAAATAGGAGTGTCCATTAAGACTCAGAAACGGAAACCTCCTGCTGCAACTGCTTTAAGACAAGGACATCTGGTCATAAAGTTCCAGGGTCATAAAGCACTGAGAAGAGACAAGGGCACCATAAAAGCTTCACTTCACAGCTGTGCAAGCAGAGGGCTCTAGGTCTACAAGACTGCCCTCTTCTTCTTATCTCCACATTGGACTGATATAGACTGCTGTAGCAGAGAGATTAGGATAAGGATTGAGAAAAGCACTGGTGTGAGGGAACATCCATGCTTGCAATAGTATCATTCATCCATCAGAGGAAGCAAACATCAAAGTAGTGGAACCAAGAACAGACTCACAGCTGTGACCTGCTCCTTTTACAACACTAATTTTTCATTGCAATACCACTAAATGCAGTTAACTTGCTTAGTGGGAGTACAACAATGTAAAACAGAAGCAAAGCGTATCGTAACTAAGGCCACCAAACAGTATGTCTATCTAGTTTGATGTGCAGACTGGAAATTACGACAAAGCTGAGAACTCCTTGAAACAATGAAGATGGTCGATAGATGGTATTAATATCTGGGGTTTTACAAGGCTAAACAACGATATAATTTTATGACATGCAGTAGAGGACTCTGGAAAGTGACCATTCTTTAACATGTGCTCATATTGTACATCATAGAGCTTCATATAAATACACGGGAGAGAACTCGGGCGCTAGTGTCTATGGGAGCTGCAACGCATAGCGCTTCAGCCAGCGTGGGAGTAATGGGTAGCACATGGAGTTGTCTGAACTTTGTTCTTTAGCTCTGCATTGCCTGGAGCCACTTTCTTGCCAGACAAAGTTCAACAAATGTTCAGCACTTCCACTTCAACACCTTAAACGGGTGGTGTCACCATATTTATAGGTTGCACATTCTTGATTGATTGATATGTGGGGTTTAACGTCATATTTGTAGGCTGCACATTCTTGATTGATTGATATGTGAGGTTTAACGTCCCAAAACCTCCATATGATTATGAGAAACGCCGCAGTGGAGGGCTCCGGAAATTTCGACCACCTGGGGTCCTTTAACGTGCCCCCAAATCTGAGCACACGGGCCTACAACATTTCCGCCTCGATTGGAAATGCAGCCACCGCAGCCGGGATTTGAACCCGCGACCTGCGGGTCAGCAGCCAAGTACCTTAGCCACTAGACCACTGCAGCGAGGTAGGTTGCACATTCTTTGCTGCAAGCACTTCCTATAGCTCCAGGAAGCGTGCTACACACACCAGGATTCATTTACTCTCGCTAAATAAAGTAATATTGCCTTTTTCATGTGGACTATTTTCAGTTTCAGTTTCTGGGTGCAAAATAGGGCTGTGACGTTACAGTGTGGCCTGGTCACATGGCGACACAAGGCTGTGGCGCACGTTGGGCGGATTATTGTCTGCTCTCGCTGGCTTTCTCGTACACATGCGCCGCACAAGCACCTGCAAAACAAACGTGTAGCAGCCACAATGCTTGAACGGTACAGTACGTCCGTGGCGGAGGTCTCCCGAGATTACTCCCCTCACTACAATAGGCATGCGCACGGGACAGGGGTAAGCGGCCAGCCACTTCCATAGTCACTTACGAGAGGGTTTGTGCAAACACAGCCCAATACATTGACATAATAGGGAGGGGGTGCACTGCGATGAACTTTTGTTCCTCCTGATGGGGAAACCTGCGCACGCCTATGCTCACTACAGGTCTGGTGTGACAGCGCTGCAATTTTAGTTGCCCTTCCAACGGAGCTACGACAGTTCCGGACAAACTTGTGATGGGCTTCAGCCGGAAAATGAGCCTTTAGGTACACTTTGGAGGTGAATTAAAATATATCCTAATGTTTGCTGTGTCCCACCGTTCGTGTGGAGTGTCCTTGCATACTAAAAAAATTCACAAGAGGCTTGTTTTAGCTTCGAAATTTGATATCACAACTTCTTTAACCCTTTTAAGCTCACCAATACAAATCGGCTCACAAAGTTCACAACAAAACAAATGCTAATAGACAACTAGAAAAACGAAGCCACAAGTGCGTTCGAGGCGGCAAGCGAAATGATTAATCAAATCCATGTACTACACATTATTCCCATGGCGGCTGAACGATAGCAGTGCCAGAATTCTATCCAGTTCATACGGGGAAACTTTATGTCGCACAGTACACGGGCCTCTAGTATCACAGCCATCAAAATGGGATGGGCACGACCAGGATCAAACAGACGGCTTCAGGTCAGCAGTCGAGCGCCTTAACAGTTACACCATCGAGGCGGACTAATAGATTAGCACAGAAAGGTGTGCATAGTTTTTGAGAATAAAAAGACGTTTTTGCTGACCTTGTATGCATCACAGCATAATATTTACAATCATAACATCCCAGCAGAGAGAGCAAGGAACGTTTTCAAATACAAGAACACTGATATAATAGTGTACACGCTACGAATGGCACGTGTTAAAGGATGCAAAGTGAACAGCAATCAATGAAAGAGCCAAGTGCTTAGAAGCATGTCCTGTACATCTGCAGAGAAAAGACACTACCAAATGAAATAGGAGTAGATGCAGCAAAGATTAAACGACTTCACGTGCTTAGTTGATAAGGCTATCTTTCAACCCAGTGCTCGAAGTGCAGAATCACAATGCAGTAGCAATCGACCAACATTTATATCATCGGCACACAAGAACCTTGAGTATTTATACATCCCTAACCCTTGTATCGTAGGACAGCAGAGCCCTGTAGTTGTAGTAGTAGTATACTTATTATGCAAGGAAGAACTACGAGGTCCCAGGGCCTGATGCATGCATAGATAATAATAAAGATAATAAAAACAGTCAACATAAAGAATGTAAGTAAAAAGAAAGGGAAACTAAAACAAAAAACTGGGAATAAAAGGGCCTAATATGAGAAAAGCAAACACAAGCTGAGTAAAAGGAAAGTGTCAGCTCAGGCACAACATTGTGCTAGGTAACCTTATATGATAACGAAGAGAGGGGAAAGGATGTAAGCAATGTGTGATGCAATGTTACAACAATGAGAAGCTAGAAGAAAAAATAATAACAGGGACTATGAGTTATAACAAATATCGATAACAAAATAAGCATAAAAAAAGCAAATACTGTTCATTCTCTGAATGGAAGAGTGCTGGCTATGGCAGGCAGGAACATAAAAGGTATAAGCTCTCTTATGCATAATTCGGAGAATAATAATAATAATAATAAAAGAGCTAAAAAAAAAGCCGACACAACTGAGCTGTTCTGAGCAGGTGAGAATAGTGTGAAGAAGCTTGAAAAGAAACAAATCAGCACCGTGCTGTTGGAAATGTTATGTTGGCATGAACATTTATTATAAACAATTTCTGGTTCTTGATGTCATTATTCACACTGTGATACCCAGAAGTTTAAGGAACTGTGACTGAACCAACTTGGCTAAGGTTCGATACGCAATTTATAAATGCTTTATTGCGGCGGAGCACTCACTCCTCAGTTGAAATCACCATGAAAACTAGCGCGAAGCAGGCGCATTTATAAAGGTAGCTCACTGTGTGTCCTCGCAATGCAGGGAACGGTGGCTCTCTTTCTCTTTGAGGGAGCTGCTTAACTTGGAGTTTTCCTCCTGTAGCCGAGCCACGAGGCCACCCAGATCTTTCATTTCTTGTCTCCAGATGTCTTCATACTGCTCCATTTCCTGGATACGAAAGCGCAACAAGCGGGAATGAGAGAGAGAGAGAGAGCAATAAGAACAGAGCCTTCTTAAAGAGTTCTAGTTAATATACAAGGTAGTAAGTTGCATGCACGGCTCCTTTGTGCTTGCAACGTGCCGGTGACGGAAAAGCCATTGTCTTCGAAGAAACGGGGATAACTATGCATGGGTTTATTTTAGTTCTTGAAAGTGACGATGGCCTCGACACTTCTTAACGCTGTCCCCTGTCTGGCCCTGCTACTTAATTCGTGAAAACAATATTAGCAGAACCATGTTTAACATAGTTTTGCTGGTGTTGTTAAGTGATAATACGCACGATTGATTGTGTATTTATTACCATCTCGTTAGGATAAATTGGAGTGAGGAGTGTCTTTCATAAGAAACAAGGGCTCAAAAAAGCAGTATTCAAGCAAGCAACAGTACTCATGTTTTCCTGTCTGCGATCGTCTACGTTGCAGTGTTTCAGCGCCACTCGACCAAACGAATGACGGCACAACAAGCAGCGGTGGCCGCAAGTCTGATTTCTGGCGTGCGCTCCCAACTACGCGTCGGCCAGCCCTCCCACGGAGTACTTTCTAAGGAGGGCAGCGAAAAAGCCGCGAAGTGGCACGCTCTTAATTGCGCGGAGATACCGCGGAGGTAAAAGAAAAGAAACGTACTCGTCAGCCGTGACGACAACGCACAGCGATGCGTTACGCGCAATCGCCCAACTGTGAGTAGCTTGGAAAAGGGCAGCCGATAAGCTTACATGCTGCGCGTATAGATAGGTCACAGCCGAGAAAAGTGCCGATAAGTGTTGGGCAATATCGCTTTGGGCCGGCCTATTCACGGGACTTGACTGCTAGCCTCGCCCTCCACGCGAGGAAACCACGGAATATGCGTGTTTCACGAGCTCGGGAGACAAATATACCAAAGTTTCCCGGGCAGAGCTACCACCTGAGACAACGCAAAGCTGAAAGTCCTTCGGCGTCGAAATGGCCTATTCGCTACCTACACTTCCTCGACGGGGAGGAGCGATTAACGACACAAAAAGTATGCCGCGCTTCTCTTCCTCTGAGTCACGCAGCGACTTATGCGCGCACAACGTCCTTGACGTTCACGCGAACGGCAAAACACAACTACGGGTCGGTAGGGGTAGCGACAAAACCCAGTAGGCGATTTGTCAAGACGTGCCAGCTGCTCCGAGACCAGACGAAGCCGTGTCAATCAGGTGCCACTTCCCAGTCACCCGATTTGTGACGTATCCTACCGCAAACACGTACGGGAAAGTAATCGGTCGGAAACGAAGACTGACCTTTTCGAGCTTGCTCCTCGACTCGGCCTTCTCGTACTTGTCGTGTTCGAGCTGGTATATCTGCGCCCTGAGCTGGGCGATCTCGTCACTGGCGATGTCATTCTTGGTGGCGTACGCTTCTAGATACTCCAACACACGAATCACTTTGGTGACCAACTTGTTCACGGGATCGACGCCGTAGCTGTCAATGAGGATTTCGAACTCCTTGCCGATCTCCTCGGCAAGGCTGTAGACGTCATCGACGCTAAGCGCCTCCGATGCGCGCTCCATGGCGTCGCGCAATTTGCCGCTTCAGACTTTGCGTTAAGTGTAATTAAAAAGCGCATCGACGGCACGAAGCTGCTACGAGCACGGAATCCACCAACACAACGCGACGTGACGCACGACTACACCAGCCATTCGTAACTGAGGCCGAGAGCGATCGCGAGATTGGCAGACTACCGGAACAAGCCGAGCAGCTGTGACGTACATAAATCACAAAAACTACACAAAATAAATTCAATGCTAAAAACGTACATGACACAAAGTTAATAATAAAATAAAAAGTTTTGCAGATATTTTGTACTTGATTTCAACGATGATGTTCGAACTCACTAAGTAGGCAGGCTACATAAGTAATCTCTGAGTACAAGTTTTAAATCTCAAAGGCTATGCTTGCGTGCTTCAAAAGTTTCACAACTATTACTAAAAAATATAATGTTCATATTATATTTTAAAATTTTTTATGCTTTAAATTAATGCTCACAAATTTATGTTCTTGAACTTGCACAAAAGAAAACTGAAAACGTCACGACGACCTTTCTTAAGTGTTAATTATTTTGCTTTTACACTTGTGCAACAGATGACGCTAGCGTCGCACAAAAATTTTAGAGAAACATGTCATGTTTCTTTATGCAAAAGTGCCGAAAGTACAGTGCCGAAAGTTATAAAGGGTTATGAGTATGATTGACGCACGCAGCGTGCGCACTTCGAACTTCGTGAGACAGAAGGACGCTTTTCGGGTGGTTTTATGACATAGTGAGGACATCCTTCAAATTTTGCGCGCGATTTAATGAGTCGAATGAACGCGCAGCGCCCATATTCTCTTTTCCACGGCACTGCGATTTGCGACGAGATGAGCCTCAGCGAGAAGTCGGCAAACGCAGAGTGGCCCGTGTCACCGGAGGAACAACATAGGAAGTTCGGGCACATGAACTGCAAATGTGAGTACTGTGTGAAAGAGTTCAAAGTTCACTTACTTGTTTGCCTTAATGTCTACGTGATCCCACAGTCCGCGGTTCATTTTTGTGAAGAGTTTGCATAATTCCTGGCAGTATATGTTGTACTTAGCGAGGGGGTTTGTTGAACCGATCAAGACCTCGCTGTGTTGCGGCAAACCCACCAGTGACGGCAAAATAAGGGAACGCAGGGAAGTGAGAGACTGCAAACAACATTTTCCCGTTTTAAACGGCATGTAATGCGAGAAAGTGACATGAAAGCACTAGCGATAGTCAGGGAATTAATGGGAGCCAGATTTTGTTTGAAGCGCGTCGGTCCTAGTGTTAGATGTAATTTTTAATGTGACGGCGGATGAGTTATTGTTCCGCCTAATCGAGAGAACAAACGACGTGCGCTCATTAGCGGTCGATATTGAGCAACGATACGTTGAACTTTTTCTAGTGCGTCAAAAAGGCGCGGACAATGAACTGTCGTCTGCTACGCCGAAGCCAGCTGGCGCAACAGCGGCGTTTCTTGTAATTCCCGAGAGAGGTCGAGAGCATCGCACGCGTCTGTGCGAGGTCATTTGTTCGAGAGTTCTTTAACTGCGCAGTTGCGAAACGATGTTACTAAGCGAAAATAAACCTAATGATGACTGTAAATTTTGCAGATGGTCGCGTCATCTAGGAGCGGCAACATAAAAAAAATGCTGCAATGCCGTTTGTGTGCGCTTACGTTTGTTAGTTGATTTGTTGATTAGTAGATGGCGCGACGATCATTTAACAATTTTAATGTTGGCCAATGGCGAGTTTGTACTTAGAGTTTCGCAACTCGTGTGATTGAAGAACTCTGATTCGTTCAGCGTTGCCAGCGCCCTCTGCAGGCTGTGCGGCGGCGTCCCTCTCAGCCTTCTGCCGCGGCGGCCGTCGTCGAGAAAAGAGCCGCGGAGTGGCAGCGGTGCCCTGTTCAGTAGTCGCGGGGGCTTCCTCTGGTGTGTGCTGTGCGTGCGTGGTGGCGGGGGTGATGCCGATTGCGGCCCAATTAGCAGCAGCGTCGTCCCACTGATCTGGAGGTGTTCTGCGCCATTGCCGCAGGCTGCCGTTGGTCGAGCTTGGGCCCGCCGGTGTACCACAATGGAGACCTCGATGGAGTAGTAGCGTACCGCAGCCAGCGCGCCGCTGGGTATCGGCCTTTGTCTGGCGGCGACACCATGGCGGTGGTGGGTGCCCGCTCGGGCCGCCCCGTGATCGCGTTCACGGGCGCCACGGCGGCCGCTCCTCAGCAGGCCATCCTGACCGCGGCACAACCCTTCTACCACCCGCCCGTCACGGTGCAGGATATACAGCCGGACAGACCCATTGGATACGGAGCCTTCGGCGTCGTCTGGTGAGTGGCCTCTCTTTGTGCCCTTTGTGCGAGGCCGCTTCGGGGGCACAGCCCGCCGTGCCAAAGCCCTCGCGCCGCCGGTCATGCACCCGCCGCCGGGGCTGGCGCTCGCTGCCGGGACGCCAACATCTCTTCGTTGGCCGATCCACAGGAAGACGCCGTTCTTCCAGGTTTCGCGAAACCTCCGCTCAAACAGACCGAAAGTAGCGTCGGAAGCAGTCGTGCACCGATCGGGACAGCTCGTCGTGGAGTGCGTTCGCGATCCGTTCTGATCTTATCGTTCTGGTGATTTAACGAAACGTAATGAGCTGCCGCGACAGCGGTACGACTCGGAACTCACTCATTTTGTTTCTGGTTTGCATCTCCTCCTCGCGGCCGACGATCTGGCCGATTTCGTGACGAACGCGCGCGTTGAGAGGCCGTGCGACGGGGTGTGTGCGTCTGGTGCGGACACGGCTCAGCGGTTTCACGGTCGTCGGTGGCGTTCGTCGTGCAGGCCAGCTGTCCGCCGCCGCGAGCGGTCACCGGCGGGCTTCCTCTCGTTTGCGTGGACGGGCTCTCCGCACGCACGCCGATCCTTCTGCGTGCGGGCCACGTTACGACGTCCTGCGATTCTTTTCGGTGGGCTTAATTAGGCGCGGGCATGCACTTCGCGAGAAGAAAAAAAATGCTTGTCCCTTCTCTTGCCATGAGTAACGGTCCGCTGCTCTTCTCTGGCTACGCGGAACGGATTTTGTCGTGCGCCGGACGGAGGTCATTGGCCACTGAGTTTGTTCCCCCGCCATCTAGCGCGGCTCCGCTCTGATCTGCAGTTGTGATAAGGGTCGTTGTAGCAGTGTGCGACCCTGTCCCGGAACAATGGTTTCGTTGCCGTTGTTCGCTGGCGCTTTTTAACGTTGAGTTCCTTTGCCCCCGCCCTTCTTCGGCCTCTAACCCGGGTGGTGTCCGAATTCTGTCACCTGCAAAGCGGAACCTGTAGTCACCATGTCGATCATCGTGAGTTGTGTGTACAAATTTCATGATATTATGGACTGACTTCTTGAAGGGCGAGTTGGTTAAGCATCTTGAAAGGAAAGGCGCAAATTTTATACATCAGGCAAATGGACAACAAGATGAGCGTCCCTTTCTTGTTTCGCTTTCGCTTGTCTAAGTTAGCGCTTGAAATTTTGTAACATTCTTTTTTTCCTGCACTCTTACCTCCTAAACTTCTGTTGCGGCACGCTCGTCAGAACCACTAAAGCAGCGCTCTCGAACTCGCATCATCTGTCGGACCGAAGTCACGCAAATTTACCCCTGCAATCGCCAGGACAGTGCAAAATTTAGAATGACGTGAGAGAGAGAGGACTGGACACTAAAATGTCTGCTGAATTCGCCATTTCAGCGGCCTTTCTACATAGAATGGGGAGAAGATGGTGATGTGCGGGCCGCAGGCGGTCCACGTACCGCACGTTCGCATTATGCGAAGATCGTAGGTTCCGCACCTACTTCTCGAAAGTTGTACACCATGGGATTTGAACCCGGTACCTCTGCGTGCCAGCCCGGTAATGTACCCCTGAGCTGCGCTGGTGCTTGGGACTTCTGTGCAAACGGACCTTAGTCGGGCTTGGTGTCGGGAAAGAAATCTCGTTGTGAGTAATGAAGCATTTTAGAACAGCAAAGGAACGACCAGGTGTCAAAACAATACGAATCGCGCAACGAGTAAGTAGTCGAATGCTCCAACCCTTTACGAAAGCTTGATCTTGTTCACCTATTAACTGTGGCGCATACCCACTGTGGGGAACTACAAAAAGCTTGTGGCATAATGCTTCATCGTCGTGCTGTTACACAACACACATAAAAAAAGTGCGCAGTGTTCCTTGAAAGTGCGTAGCGGGTACCACGCTTCTCCGAAGAATGGCATAGTGAATGCGTGCCTACTAAATGATTTATGGAGTAGTGGGTACCCTGCAAGTGCGCTTGCAGCAGCAAAAGGCTGTCGCTCTTCTAGCTTTCTTGTCTTGTCTCCTAGGAGATCGGCTCATACCCACATGGGGGATTGGCCACACTGTACCTCATAGTAGATCATTTTTTACAACGCTTGCTAAAAAAATAAAGAGAAATTAGATAGGAACAATAAAATGTTCCTTTGAAAAAACGTGAAAAATTGCAGAATGCAATAAACCAGATTATATAAAACTAATTAACAAGAATGAGGAAGGGGGAGAAAGAATTGGATATATCTGGCAGTACCAATAGCAGCGTATCCTTCCGGTTGCCTGAATGAATTTATGTAGCGCTGACAGAATAGCTTTAAATAGCTCTCGCTGTGGCAGCGCAGCCCTGGCGGGTGTTTTTTTTTTTTTTTGTTCGCTTGTTGCTCTTTTCCTCTTACGTCCTAATTTCTTTACATTAGTTAAAACATGCATGTTCCTTAGCATCATTATCTCTTGGTTGTATCATGTGTAGTCCCGCTAAGCTACACTCATCGGCACCGAATGTTCGTTTGGTATCCTCAAAATGCTTGAGACGGCACGGTATGTTTTTGTACGACGTTCCTTCGAACGCTATTGCCGGATCGAATGCGGTAGGTGGGCTTTGTATTTGCGCCATGCTTCCTTCACTGCATGTATGCACGTATTGGTTATTGGTTGTCAAGTCTACTCGACTCTCGCACAGCGTGCCCCAGAAAACTCCGTAGACTACCCCGCGCAGGCGGATCACCAAAAAAATAAAAATTAAAGTAACGTAAGGCGAGAACTACGCTTATGGTGCTCGGCGCAGCTGCGAGGGGTTGTTTGTTATTGTATTATTATTTTTTCCCCTGCAACGGCTGACTGTCGTGGATTAAGGTCAAGAAGACACGGCAGGTGCACTGCTGGGTGTTGCTTCGTACTGGCGTTAAAAACTATTGGTTTGTCTCTACGTGAGCGGCAGGAAAGCGTGTTGTACTACGTAACTTGCGCGTCAGGTAAGACTGGACAGCTGGCTGGTGGAGGTAACCAGCAGTTGCACAGAACTAAGTGTGTGCCGACAAAGTCCTTTTTTTTTTTTAACTCCGCGTTCCCGTTCGTTTGGACAAAGTAGTGTCTCTCTTCGCAGCGGACCCGTCCACTTGGTGAATCGCGTTTACCGCGCGTCTGACTCCGTGGAAATGGCGGATACCAACACGATCCGCTTTTACGATGCATCCCCTCGAACCTGTAGTGCGCGCGTGGATTCTCGGAACGGGCGACTCGTTCCGAGCAGGCCGTCTCTTTGTCCGCTGCGGGAGCGGCTCTCACTATCTCAGTGAAGATAGTTATAGCGCGAAAACAAAACGACGACACAGAGACAAGAAGGACACGAAATACACATAGCGCTCGTGTCTTTCGTGTCCTTCTTGTCTGTGTCGTCGTTTTGTTTTCGCGCTATAACTGTCGTCATGCCATACCAACAAGCCCAAGCTGCCACAACCGTAGTGAAGCCTGCCTTTCAAGACTTCGGCGTTGAAAACGGACACGCGATATGACTTCCGAGCGCTAACTGCGATTGCAAGTAATGCGCTTTGCGAACCAGAGCTTGGGTCAAAATTTCCGGAGCCCTCCACTACGGCGTCTCTCATAATCATACGGTGGTTTTGGGACGTTAAACCCCACACATCAATCAACCAGAGCTTGTACAGCAAACTTGATCGCCGTCTGGCGCATTTCATTCAATTGTTTATGAAAGTGTATAAAAGACGCAAACGTGATGTACAAAAGTTAATGTTCTAATGACAGCTGCTTCCATGGAGTAAGATTCACTCAAAAGTGTACCATGCAAATGTAGTTCATTAATAATTAGAGATTAATACAGACAGAACGTGCCGTTTCAAACAAATATTATCCAAGTACGACGGAGGACCTGAAGAGAGCGCTTGTCCACACTGCACCAACCTGCCCCATCGGGCGCTTATAGGTGACGTCAGGTCTTCCACACAGGATCATCACCAGCAGCCATTTAGTGGTCCTGCAACCGTGATGCGTTGGTCCAACGATGGCGACGGCGTCATCTGTGCAATTCTGACAGGTGGTGGTTATCTGGATGATTTGCTCTTCTCCAGTGTAGTACATTAGTTAAGGCTCGCGATATGTGTGTAGAGCCAACCAATGCCCGCCAGATCGCCCGGCCCGAACCTTTGGAGGCTATTGTAGTTTCTGCGTTTCGGCCCGCCCCCATCATCGCCCTTAGTTCTCAACTCTGCGCGGCCATATCGTCTTGGCGAGGTTAGTCTCCGCCTACATGCAAAAAGGGAATACACATGGGTACAGTGTACTTCTAGTACACTTTAACATGGGGCCATTGGCTCATTATTGCTTTGTTCGACAGCTTAGGCGAGCATATTTTCGCTCTGCGCGTGGCTGCGGAGATGACGCTGTGCGGCGGCAGCGTTCCTCCGAGGTCGGAGGTCACATGTGCGCGTCCTCTCTGTTCGCTCCCTCCCGAGGGTGTACGAAGGAAGTCGGGCGGGCCAGCCGATGATGGCTGCCGGTCGGGGCAACATGCGAAGCCGACAGGTCTTCTTCTCTTTCAATTTTTTTTCCCTCTCATTGTTGCTTCGGCACTTGGTCTGCTCGCTGTTCTCCTTCCCCTTCCGGTCCCCCATCTTTTACCAGCCGGGTCGGCGAGCTCAAATGGAAGTGGGGGGGTGTCGTTGGCACAGGGGTGGAGGGGGATTCCCCGTCTCCCGCAGACAAAGAAGTTTCACGCTCGCGTCGTTCCTCGGGGGGCCTCCCTCTCTACTCGCTGCATGTGAGTGTTGGTTGAGGCGGTCGGTCGCCGAAGCGTCGTGCACTACCCTTGTGGCCCCCGTTTTGATATTATTATTTGTCTCGGTAGTTCAAGAATACATCCTCGTGTGCGCGTCCGTATTCATCCGTGGGCAGCCTTGACGGCGGCGGCGGATTCTCGCCGGCGGTTGGTTCATGGGCTCGACTTGTCGAGATCTTTGGGCTCGGTTCAGAGGTGTGGGGGTGTGTGCTCTGGTTGCACGGCGGCTGTAT